GGGATCAGGGAGATCCTGGAAAGGGATCAGTGGGTGTCCTGGAAACGGACTGGGGGATTCTGGGATCAAAGGGATCCTAGAAAGGGATTGGGGGAACCCTGGAAAGGGATTGGGGATATCCTGGAAAGGGATCAGGGAAATTCTGGAAAGGGATAAGAGGGATCCTAGAATTTGGGAGAGGATGGGGCTGGAATTCAGGAGAGGATGGGGCTGGAATTCGGGAGAGGGATGAGGTTGGCATTTGGGAGAGGGATGAGGCTGGAATTCAGGAGAGGATGAGGTTGGAATTTGGGAGAGGGATGAGGATGGAATTCAGGAGAGGATGAGGTTGGAATTCGGGAGAGGGATGAGGTTGGAATTTGGGAGAGGGATGAGGCTGAAATTCAGGAGAGGATGAGGTTGGAATTTGGGAGAGGGATGAGGCTGGAATTCAGGAGAGGATGAGGTTGGAACTTGGGAGAGGGATGAGGCTGAAATTCAGGAGAGGATGAGGGGCCAAGCAGCTTTTCCCTGCTCCGGGATGTGCCAGACGGAGACACTTCCACGCCTTTCGGAGCCCTTCCAAACCTGGCTGCCGGCACCCTGCCCAGCCCAGCTGCTTTGCATCCCAAAAAATCCGGTTTGCACCTTTATCCCCCAGCCTGGGCATGGATAAAAATGCAGCCCCAACAATATTTCCTGATCCCGAGGGATTGGGAGCACTGGGATATCTCCCCTAAATAAGGGGCTGGGAGCAGAGCCTGGATCAGATCCCAAGGGATCGGAGCACTGGGATATCTCCCCTCATTCCCGGGCTGGGAGGAAAGGATGGATCAGATCCCAAGGGATCGGAGCACTGGGATATCTCCCCTCATTCCCGGGCTGGGAGGAGAGGCTGGATCAGATCCCAAGGGACTGGGAGCATTGGGATATCTCCCCTAATTCAGGGGCTGGGAGCAGAGCCTGGATCAGATCCCGAGGGATCGGAGCACTGGGATATCTCCCTTCATTCCCGGCTGGCAGCAGAAGCCGGATCAAATCCCGAGGGATCGGAGCACTGGGATATCTCCCCCCATTCCCGGCTGGCGGCACAGGCCGGTCCCACCCCGGGCCACCGTGCGGCGATGAAAGGAGCGATCAGCGGCTGAAAGGAGCAATCACCGCCCGCCGCCTCCTCTGCGCATCCCGGCGGGGTCTGCTCTGCCCCAGACCCGCTCCGATCCCTCTTCCCCTCATCCTCCAACTGCTCCATCCCGGCGGAGATTCCCAAGGCGAGGAACTGGAGCGGGAATCGTTCCTTCTGTGCTCGCTACAAGGTTTGGCACCGATCTCCGCTGTCCTTCAGGCGTGTCGGGGTTGATTTTGCATCAGCTGCCTCTGCCCCGGCTCTGGGGCCCGATAGGATCGCACAGACAGCCCGGGGAGGGGAGGGGAGGGGAGGGGAGGGGAGGGGAGGGGAGGGGAGGGAAGGGAAGGGAAGGGAAGGGAAGGGAAGGGAAGGGAAGGGAAGGGAAGGGAAGGGAAGGGAAGGGAAGGGAAGGAAGGGAAGGGAAGGGAAGGGAAGGGAAGGGAAGGGAAGGGAAGGGAAGGGAAGGGAAGGGAAGGGAAGGGAAGGGAAGGGAAGGGAAGGGAAGGGAAGGGAAGGGAAGGGAAGGGAAGGGAAGGGAAGGGAAGGGAAGGGAAGGGAAGGGAAGGGAAGGGAAGGGAAGGGAAGGGAAGGGAAGAAGGAGAAGGAGAAGGAGAAGGAGAAGGAGAAGGAGAAGGAGAAGGAGAAGGAGAAGGAGAAGGAGAAGGAGAAGGAGAAGGAGAAGGAGAAGGAGAAGGAGAAGGAGAAGGAGAAGGAGAAGGAGAAGGAGAAGGAGAAGGAGAAGGAGAAGGAGAAGGAGAAGGAGAAGGAGAAGGAGAAGGAGAAGGAGAAGGAGAAGGAGAAGGAGAAGATGACCCACGGGCTGTGCACTGGTTTGCACGGGGCGGACTGGGGCCAGGTGTGAGAAACTCCATGAAAACAAAGCCCAGTTTTCCACCTGGAATTCAGCAGGGCTGGAAAGGGCATTTTAAATGGGAATTAAATCCAAAAGTGCGGCTGGAACAGCCGGAATTTGGGGGTTTGGGAGCAGGGGGGGAGGCAGCCTTGGGCGGGGAAGGACCCGGCCCGGCTGCGGCACTGGGACATACTGGGAGCACTGGGAGCGGGGGCTGGGATCTGCATCCCTGGGAATTCGGGATGTCCATCCTGGGGATTTGGGATGTTCATCCCATGGGATTTGGGATGTTCATCCCTGGGGATTTGGGGTGTCCATCCTGGGGATTTGGGATGTGCATCCTGGGAATTTGGGGTGTCCATCCTGGGAATTCGGGATGTCCATCCTGTGGGATTTGGGATGTCCATCCTGTAGGATTTGGGATGTCCATCCCTGGGTATTTGGGGTGTCCATCCTGGGGATTTGGGATGTGCATCCTATGGGATTTGGGGTGTCCATCCTGTGGGATTTGGGGTGTCCATCCTGGGGGATTGTGAATGTCCATCCTGGGGATTCAGGATGTCCATCCTGGGGATTTGGGATGTGCATCCTATGGGATTTGGGATGTCCATCCTGTAGGATTTGGGATGTCCATCCTGTGGGATTTGGGGTGTCCATCCCTGGGTATTTGGGGTGTCCATCCTGTAGGATTTGGGGTGTCCATCCTGGGGATTCAGGATGTCCATCCTGGGGATTCAGGATGTCCATCCTGGGGATTCTGGGTGTCCATCCTGTGGGATTTGGGATGTGCATCCTATGGGATTTGGGGTGTCCATCCTGGGGGGTTCAGGATGTCCATCCTGGCAGATTGTGAATGTCCATCCTCAGGGATTCAGGATGTGCATCTCTGGGGATTTGGGATGTCCATCCTGTGGGATTTGGGATGTCCATCCTATGGGATTTGGGATGTCCATCCTGGGGGATTTGGGATGTCCATCCTGTGGGATTTGGGATGTCCATCCTGTGGGATTTGGGGTGTCCATCCTGGGGATTTGGGATGTCCATCCTGTGGGATTTGGGGTGTCCATCCTGGGGATTTGGGATGTCCATCCTGGGGATTTGGGATGTTCATCCTGTGGGATATGGGATGTCCATCCTGGGGGAATTTGGGATACCCATCCTGGGGGATTTGGGGTGTCCATCCTTTAGGATTTAGGATGTCCATCCTGTGGGATTCAGGATGTCCATTCTGTGGGATTTGGGGTGTCCATCCTGTGGGATTTGGGGTGTCCATCCTGTGGGATTTGGGGTGTCCATCCTGTGGGATTTGGGATGTCCATCCTGTGGGATTTGGGGTGTCCATCCTGTGGGATTTGGGGTGGCCGCTGCTCCAGCGGCCTTTGGGGTCGCGCTGCCCGGGCACCGCCGCTCCGCTGGGCTCGCACTGCCCTCCAGTGGGCACATCCCGCGCTTCCAGGCGTCCCCTGCCACCTCCCAAGTGTCACCTGCCACCTCCTGGCTGTCCCCTGGTACGCCCCGGCTGTCCCCTGCCACTCCCCAGATGCCCCTTGCTACCCCCCAGATGCCCCTTGCTACCCCCCAGATGCCCCTTGCTACCCCCCAGATGCCCCCTGTCACCCTCCAGATGTCCCCTGCCACCTCCCAGGTGTCCCCTGCCACCTCCCAAGTGTCCCCTGCCACCTCCCAGGTGTCCCCTGTCACCTCCCAGGTGTCCCTTGGCACCCTTGGCAGTCCCTTGCCACCCCCAGCTGCCCCCTCCCACCTTCCAGATGTCCCCTGCCACCTCCCAGCTGTCCCCTGTCACCTCCCAGGCGTCCCCTGGCACCCCTGGCACTCCCCTGCCACCCCCAGCTGCCCCCCTGCCACCTCCCAAGTGTCCCATGTCACCCCGCAGCTGTCCCCTGCCACCTCCCAAATGTCCCCTGTCACCCCCCAGGTGTCCCCTGTCACCCCACAGGTGTCCCTTGGCACCCTTGGCAGTCCCTTGGCAGCCCCAGCTGCCCCCTCCCACCTTCCAGATGTCCCTTGCCACCCCCAGCTGCCCCCTGCCACCTCCCAAGTGTCCCCTGCCACCTCCCAGGTGTCCCCTGTCACCTCCCAGGTGTCCCTTGGCACCCTTGGCAGTCCCTTGCCACCCCCAGCTGCCCCCTCCCACCTTCCAGATGTCCCCTGCCACCTCCCAAATGTCCCCTGCCACCTCCCAAGTGTCCCCTGCCACCGCCCAGGTGCCCCCTGTCACCCCCCAGGTGTCCCCTGGCACCCCTGGCACTCCCCTGCCACCCCCAGCTGCCCCCCTGCCACCTCCCAAGTGTCCCCTGCCACCTCCCAACTGTCCCCTGTCACCCCCCAGGTGTCCCCTGTCACCCCACAGGTCCCTTGGCACCCTTGGCAGTCCCTTGGCAGCCCCAGCTGCCCCCTCCCACCTTCCAGATGTCCCTTGCCATCCCCAGCTGCCCCCTGCCACCTCCCAAGTGTCCCCTGCCACCTCCCAAGTGTCCCCTGCCACCTCCCAGGTGTCCCCTGCCACCTCCCAAGTGTCCCCTGCCACCTCCCAGGTGTCCCCTGTCACCTCCCAGGTGTCCCTTGGCACCCTTGGCAGTCCCTTGCCACCCCCAGCTGCCCCCTCCCACCTTCCAGATGTCCCCTGCCACCTCCCAAGTGTCCCCTGTCACCCCCCAGGTGTCCCCTGCCACCCCAGGTGTCCCCTGCCACCCCAGGTGTCCCCTGCCACCCCGCAGGTGTCCCCTGCCACCCCGCAGGTGTCCCTTGGCACCCTTGGCAGTCCCTTGCCACCCCCAGCTGCCCCCTCCCACCTTCCAGATGTCCCCTGTCACCCCCCAGATGCCCCCTGTCACCTCCCAAATGTCCCCTGCCACCTCCCAAGTGTCCCCTGTCACCTCCCAGGCGTCCCCTGGCACCCCTGGCACTCCCCTGCCACCCCCAGCTGCCCCCTCCCACCTTCCAGATGTCCCCTGCCACCTCCCAAGTGTCCCCTGTCACCGCCCAGGTGTCCCCTGCCACCTCCCAAGTGTCCCCTGTCACCCCAGGTGTCCCCTGGCACCCCCAGCCATGCCGGTGCCCCCTTGCCAGCCCAGGCCGCGCTGAGCTGGGGGTGTCTCATCTCTGGGGGTCCTCTAAAGCCCCATGGGGACATTTGTGGCGTCCCCTCCTCACTGCAGGTTCCTCTTGGCGGCCGCCCTGAGGGCCACGTTGTCGTAGTCGCAGCGGCCGAGCCACTCCCGGTCCCGCAGCGGGCAGGGCGGCGCGGGCACCGCGTAGTCGTCGCGCTGGGGGTCGTAGGGACAGCCGGGCCCGGGGGGCTCCTCGGGGGCCGCCTGCCGCCGCCAGGCCTCGCCCGCCACCTCCCGCGGCTCGTCGTACAGCGACAGCCCCGACAGCGCCTCGGGCTCGTCGTAGATGTGCTCGGCTTTGGGGGCCGGGGGGCGGCCGGGGGGCTGCGGAGCCCGCCCGCCATCCCTGGGGGTGCTGGGGGGCGCGGGGAGCCCCTCCTGGGCCCCGAACTGCCGCGCCAGGAAGGATTTGGCCACGGTGTCGAAGGGAACGGCGTACTCGGCCTCCAGCCCGGCGCTGTCCGGCCCGCGGCGCTCGGCGGCGTCGTCGAGGGGCTCGGCGTAGGGACAATCGGTGCCCTGTGATGGCTGGAACGGCGCTGAGGCCTCGCCAGCCCCTGTGGGCATCCCCAGCCTGCCCTTGGCGCCTTTCCCGTCGCCTTTGGGTGCCTTCACCTCGCCGGACGGGCACACGGGCTCCTCGTGGTCCGTTGTGCCCGCCTGGCGTGGGCGGCCCCGCTGGACCTCGATGGCCGCCTCGATGGCCTGGAAGATCTCGTTGCCCTGCCGCGTGTCGAACTCGAAGTTGCCCTCTCCGGACGCGCAGCGCCGGCCGGCCTCGAAGGAGAAGGTGGCCTGAGGAGGGCAGGGGTCAGTCCCCGCGGCGCCCGGGCCCGGCTGCGTCCGGCCGGCCTGGCTGTGGAGCACTGACCTTGTCGCGGCCGAAGCGGCGCAGGAAGCGGTAGGGCCAGCTGGCCAGCAGCTCCCGGCCCTGCGCGTGCCACAGCTCCAGCGCCGCCTCGCCCGCCCGCAGCACGCAGCGGCCACGCAGGCGGCAGCGCTGCGATGGGGGTGTCACCCTCACCGTCACCTCGAACGCCTGCTCCGGCCCGGCTGCGGAGGGACACGGCCTTGGACACGGCTCCTGCACCGCAGAGGGGCTGGAGGGACCCCCGGCCACAGCCCTGGACATGGCTGGGGCTGGACACGTGTCCCACCCCACTGAGTGACCCCCAGGCCAGGACAGATGTCTCCAGGCCAGCTGGGATGGACATGGTGGACACCAGACATGTGTCCCACCCCACAGAGTGACCCCCAGCCCAGGACAACAGCTCCAGGCCACCTGGGATGGACACCAGACATGTGTCCCACCCCGCCCAGGGGCTGTGAGTGACCCCCAGGCCACAGCCCTGGACACGGCTGGGGCTGGACATGTGTCCCACCCCACTGAGTGACCCCCAGGCCAGGACAGATGGCTCCAGGCCACCTGGGATGGACATGGTGGACACCGGACACTTGTCCCACCTCACAGAGTGACCCCCAGCCTAGGGCAGATGTCTCCAGGCCAGCTGGGATGGACCCAGCACTGGACACATGTCCCACCCCACAGAAGGGCCGCAGATGACCCCTCCAGCCAGGACAGCCGTGTCCAGCCGATGATGGCAGGACAGGATGACCACTGCACGGCCGAGCCGGCCCCATAAGCAGGGAGGGGCTTTTGGGGCAGATTTCCCCAATTTCCCCACCCCACAGAGCCCCCGCCCCGCGCCCACCTCTGCCCCGCCAGCTGTACAGGGAATTCTCCTCCATGGAGAACTCGCCCTCCGCGCCCTCCGGCGCCGCTCCCGGCTCCTCCCGGCTCCTCTGCCCCGGGAGAGCGGCACGTGAGGGCTCCGGTCACCCCGGGGGATCCCATCCATCCCAGTGGATCCCACCCATCCCGGTGGATCCCATCCATCCCGGCAGATCCCATCCATCCCGGCGGATCCCACCCACCCAGTGGATCCCACCCATCCCAGTGGATCCCACCCATCCCAGCAGATCCCATCCCTCCTGGTGGATCCTACCAACACCAGTGGCTCCCCCATCCTGTTTAATCCCACCCACCCTGGTGGATCCCACCCATCCCAGTGGATCCCATCCATTCCAGTAGATTCCATCCGTCCCAGTGGACCCCACCCATCCCAGTGGATCCCATCCATCCCAGTGGATCCCATCCATCCCGGCCGATCCCATTCAACTCAGTGGATCCCATCCATCCCGGCAGATCCCACCCACCCAGCGGATCCCACCCACCCAATGGATCCCACCCGCCCAGTGGATCCCACCCACCCAGCAGATCCCACCCATCCCAGTGGATCCCATCCATCCCAGTAGATCCCATTCATCCTGGCAGATCCCACCCATCCCAGTGGATCCCATCCATCCCAGTAGATCCCATTCAACTCAGTGGGTCCCATCCATCCCGGCAGATCCCACCCACCCCAGCCGATCCCATCTATCCTGGCAGATCCAATCCATCCTGGGGAACCCCACTCACCCCAGTGGCTCCCACCCACCCAGCGGATCCCACCCACCCCAGCAGACCCCACCCACCCAGCGGATCCCACCCACCCAGCGGATCCCACCCACCCCAGCGGATCCCACCCACCCAGCAGATCCCACCCACCCCGGTGCATCCCATCCATCCCAGTGGATCCCACACACCCAGCGGATCCCATCCATCCCAGTGCATCCCATCCACCCCAGTGGATCCCATCCATCCCAGTAGATCCCATTTAACTCTGTGGATCCCATCCATCCCGGCAGATCCCACCCACCCCAGCCAATCCCACCTATCCTGGCAGATCCAATCCATCCTGGGGAACCCCACTCACCCCAGTGGCTCCCAACCACCCAACGGATCCCATCCACCCAATGGATCCCACCCACCCCAGCGGATCCCACCCACCCAATGGATCCCACACACCCAGCGGATCACATCCATCCCAGTAGATCCCACCCACCCAATGGCTCCCACCCACCCAATGGATCCCACCCACCCAGCGGATCCCACCCACCCCACGGATCCCACCCACCCAATGGATCCCACCCACCCAGCGGATCCCACCCACCCAATGGATCCCACCCACCCAGTGGATCCCACCCACCCCAGTGGATCACACCCACCCAGCGGATCCCACCCACCCAATGGATCCCACCCACCCAGCGGATCCCACCCACCCAGCGGATCCCACCCACCCAATGGATCCCACCCACCCAATGGCTCCCACCCACCCAGTGGATCCCACCCACCCAGCGGATCCCACCCCTCCCGGCACACACCGGGAACGCCAGCTCGCAGAGCCGCCGGATCCACTCGGCGGCCTCGGCGGCGTGGGCGGCCAGCAGGAAGCGGCGCTCGGTGGTCTCCAGCAGGAAGGGGACGGTGTCCCCGGGCCCGGCGGCGTCGGCGCCCGCCTCGGCCACGTGCACGCAGTCACAGAGCCGCACCAGGCGCCGGCCGGCCTCGGCCCTGCGCGCCCACTCCGCGCCCTCCTGCAGCTCCAGGCGCGCCGCGCAGCGCGGGCTGCCCCGGTACAGCACGGCCCAGAACCGCTTCCACTTCTGCGGGGGGAAGCATTCCCAAAAGGCATTCCCAAAACGGCATTCCCAAAATGGCATTCCCAAAGCGGCATTCCCAAAGGGTTCAGCATTCCCAAAATGGCATTCCCAAAGGGTTTGGCATTCCCAAAACAGCATTCCAAAAGGGTTCGGCATTCCCAAAATGGCATTCCCAAAACAGTATTCCAAAAGGCTTCAGCATTCCCAAATCCGCCTTCCCAAAGGGTTCAGCATTCCTCAAATGGCCTTCCCAACAAGGCCTTCCCAAAGGGCTCGGCATTCCCAAAATGGCATTCCCAAAAGGCATTCCCAAAATGGCATTCCCAAAATGGCACTCCCAAAACGGCATTCCCAAAAGGGAATTCCCAAAGGGTTCAGCATTCCCAAAACGGCATTCCCAAAAGGGCGTTCCCAAAATGGCATTCCCAAAATGGCATTCCCAAAATGGCATTCCCAAAATGGCATTCCCAAAATGGCATTCCCAAAAGGGCATTGCCAAAACAGCATTCCCAAAACGGCATTGCCAAAACAGCATTCCCAAAACGGCATTGCCAAAATGGCCTTCCCAAAACGGCATCCCCAAAATGGTATTCCCAAAACAGCATTCCCAAAACAGCCTTCCAAAAGGGTTCGGCATTCCCAGAATGGCATTCCCAAAACGGCATTCCCAAAATGGCACTCCCAAAATGGCATTCCCAAAACGACATTCCCAAAACGGCATTCCCAAAATGGCATTCCCAAAATGGCATTGCCAAAACGGCATTCCCAAAATGGCATTCCCAAAATGGCATTCCCAAAACGGCATTGCCAAAACGGCATTCCCAAAATGGCATTCCCAAAATGGCACTCCCAAAATGGCACTCCCAAAAGAGCATTCCCAAAACGGCATTACCAAAACGGCATTGCCAAAAGGGCGTTCCCAAAATGGCATTCCCAAAATGGCATTCCCAAAATGGCACTCCCAAAATGGCACTCCCAAAACGGCATTCCCAAAGCGGCATTCCCAAAACGGCATTCCCAAAGCGGCATTCCCAAAACGGCATCCCCAAAATGGTATTCCCAAAGGGTTCGGCATTCCCAAAATGGCATTCCCAAAACGGCAATCCCAAAACGTCATTCCCAAAAGGCATTCCCAAAATGGCATTGCCAAAACGGCATTCCCAAAATGGCGTTCCCAAAAGGGCACTCCCAAAACGGCATTGCCAAAAGGGCATTCCCAAAATGGCAGTCCCAAAACGGCATTCCCAAAACGGCATTACCAAAATGGCATTCCCAAATTGGCATTCCCAAAACGGCACTCCCAAAATGGCACTCCCAAAACGGCATTCCCAAAATGGCATTCCCAAAATGGCATTCCCAAAACGGCATTCCCAAAAGGGCGTTCCCAAAACGGCATTCCCAAAACAGCATTCCCAAAATGGCATTCCCAAAATGGCATTCCCAAAATAGCGTTTCCAAAACGGCATTCCCAAAACGGCATTCCCAAAATGGTATTCCCAAAGGGTTCGGCATTCCTAAAATGGCCTTCCCAACAAGGCCTTCCCAAAGGGTTTGGCATTCCCAAAACGGCATTCCCAAAGGGTTCCACATTCCCAAAATGGCATTCCCAAAGGGTTTGGCATTCCCAAAATGGCATTCCCAAAGGGTTTGGCATTCCCAAAACAGCCTTCCCAAAGGGTTCCACATTCCCAAAACGGCATTCCCAAAGGGGTTCAGCCTTCCCTGGGATTTTCCTTCCCAAAGGGGTTCAGCCTTCCCTGGGATTTTCCTTCCCAAAAGGGTTCAGCCTTCCCAAAAAGCTTTTTACCTTCCCGGGGTTTTTACCTTTCCAGGACTTTTTTACCTTTGCAGGGTTTTTATCTTTCCAGAAGGGTTTTAACTTTCCTGGGGTTTTTACCTTCCCAGGAATTTTTACCTTCCCAGCAGTTTTTACCTTTCCAGGAATTTTTACCTTCCCAGGAATTTTTACTTTCCCATGAGTTTTTACCTTCCCAGGGGTTTTTATCTTTACAGGAGTTTTTACCTTTCCAGAAGAGTTTTACCTTCCCAGGAATTTTTACCTTCCCAGGAATTTTTATCTTCCCAGGAATTTTTACCTTCCCAGGAATTTTCATCTTCCCAGGAATTTTTACCTTCCCTGGAGTTTTTACCTTCCCAGTTGTTTTTACCTTCCCAGGAAGGTTTTATCTTCAGGAATTTTTACCTTCAGGAATTTTTATCTTCAGGAATTTTTACCTTCCCAGGAGTTTTTCCAGGGGTTTTTACCTTCCCTGGGGTTTTTACCTTCTGGGTATTTTTATTTTTACCTTCCCGGGAATTTTTGTCCCCTTGGGATCGTGTTTGGCACCACCTGAGGCAGGACAAAGCTGCAAAGCCCCGCGGGGTCCGGCTGAAGGTGAGGGTGACAAAAATTGGGATTTAAATCCCTGGACCCCCCAGCCTCACCCACCCCATTCCCCCACAAGCCGTGAACAACTTCCAGCTTCTTCTTGCTCCCATTTTCCCTAAAAAACCCCAAATTTTCGTCTCTCCAGCCCTGCCCCAAAAGCAGTTCCGGGCTCGGGGCAGAGGGGAAGTGGGGGTGGGGAAGTGGCCCCAAAACTGGCACAGCCCCCCCAAACCCACGGCTCCCTTCGCCCCGAATGGGATTTTGGGATCTCCCTTGGGATCCCCCTTTGGGATCCCCTGGGGACGGGATCCGTGGGGAGGAAGAGAAGGGAGAGGGGCAGGGGGGCCCCTCAGCTCCTTCCCCTCGCAGCCATGGCCCAACCCCGACTTTTATCAGCAGCGGAAACCGCGCGGCTTTGGGGCCGTCACCGCCCCCAAATGCGGCTTTGGGGCCGTCACCATCCCAAAACACTCTGCCCAAATATGGATTTGGGGCCCTCACCATCCCCAGATGTGGCTTTGGGGCTGTCACTGTTCCCAAATACGGATTTGGGGCCTGCAGCCATCGCTGTCCCCAAATGCAGCTTTGGGGTCGTCACTGTCCCCAAATGTGGCTTTGGGGCCTACAATCGTCACTGTCCCAAAATATGGATTTGGGGCCATCACCGTCCCCAAATGTGGCTTTGGGGCCGTCACTGTCCCCAAATGTGGCTTTGGGGCCTACAATCGTCACCGTCCCCAAATGTGGCTTTGGGGCCTACAATCGTCACTGTCCCCAAATATGGATTTGGGGCCGTCACTGTCCCCAAATGCGGCTTTGGGGCCTACAATCGTCACCGTCCCCAAATGCGGATTTGGGGCTTGCAGCTGTCCCCAAATGTGGCTTTGGGGTCGTCACTGTCCCCAAATGTGGCTTTGGGGCTGTCACTGTTCCCAAATACGAATTTGGGGCCTGCAGCCATCGCTGTCCCCAAATGCAGCTTTGGGGTCGTCACCGTCCCCAAATGCGGATTTGGGGCCTGCAGCCGTCCCCAAATGTGGCTTTGGGACCTACAATCGTCACCTGCAGCCGTCCCCAAATGAGGCTTTGGGGTGATCACCGTCCCCAAATGCGGCTTTGGGGCTGTCACTGTCCCCAAATACGGATTTGGGGCCTGCAGCCGTCACTGTCCCCAAATGTGGCTTTGGGGCCATCACTGTCCCCAAATGCAGCTTTGGGGCTGTCACTGTCCCCAGATATGGATTTGGGGCCACCACTGTTCCCAAATATGTATTTGGGGCCTGCAGCTGTCACCCTCCCCAAATGTGGCTTTGGGGCCTGCAGCCCTCACTGTCCCCAAATGCAGATTTGGGGCCATCACTGTCCCCAGATACAAATTTGGGGCCTGCAGCCATCGCTGTCCCCAGATGTGGCTTTGGGGTCTGCAGCTGTCACCCCCCCGGAGCTGTCCCCAAACATGGCTCTGGGGGTCACATCCCTCACCCACCCCCCAGCTTTGAGGGATGTCTTTGTCACCCAGCATGGCTTTGGGGTCACATCTGTCACCCCCTAACTCTGCAGAGCCTCTCTTGGGGGGCGGGGGGGGTTGTCTCTACAAAGTGTCCCCAAAGTGTCCCCAAAGTGTCCCCAAAATGTCCCCAAAATGTCCCCAAAATGTCCTGGCCCCCCACAGTGGCTGAGGGACAGCTGGGCATCAACAGGTGGGATCAGCCCATAGCTGTGGGGTTCACCCCATTCCTGTGGGATTCACCCCATTTCTGTGGGGTTCACCCTGTTCCCATGGGGTTCCCCCCATTCCCATGGGATTCACCCCATTTCTGTGGGATTCACCCCATTCCTGTGAGATTCACCCAATTTCTGTGGGGCTCCCCCCATTCCTGTGGGGTTCACCCTGTTCCCATGGGGATCACCCCATTCCCATGGGATTCACCCCATTTCTGTGGGGTTCGCCCTGTTCCCATGGGGTTCCCCCCATTCCCTTGGGATTCACCCCATTCCCGTGGGATTCACCCCATTCCTGTGGGGTTCACCCCATTCCTGTGGGATTCACCCAATTTCTGTGGGGTTCCCCCCATTCCTGTGGGATTCACCCCATTCCTGTGGGGTTCCCCCCATTCCTGTGGGGTTCACCCTGTTCCCATGGGGTTCCCCCCATTCCCTTGGGATTCACCCCATTCCTGTGGGGTTCCCCCCATTCCTGTGGGGTTCACCCTGTTCCCATGGGGATCACCCCATTCCCGTGGGATTCACCCCATTTCTGTGGGATTCACCCCATTCCTGTGGGATTCATCCAATTTCTGTGGGATTCACCCCATTCCTGTGGGGTTCACCCTGTTCCCATGGGATTCACCCCATTCCTGTGGGATTCACCCAATTTCTGTGGGATTCACCCAATTTCTGTGGGATTCACCCCATTCCCGTGGGATTCACCCAATTTCTGTGGGATTCACCCCATTTCTGTGGGATTCACCCAATTCCCGTGAGGTTTCACCCCATTCCTCTGGGATTCCCCCCATTTCTGTAGGAATCACCCCATTCCTGTGGGGTTCACCCCGTTCCCATGGGATTCACCCCATTCCCATGGAATTCCCCCCGTTCCCACAGAATTCCCCGCTGACCTTGCCGAACGTTTGCTGCAGCTGCAGGTACAGCGCGCCCTGCTTCACCACCAACTCCTCCATGGCCGTGTCCGAGTGCCCGAGTGTCCCGAGTGTCCGAGTGTCCTGAATATCCCTGAGTGTCCGAGTGTCCCGAGTGTCCACAGTGTCCTGAGTGTCCCGAATGTCCGGAGTGTCCTCAGTGTCCTGAGTGTCCCGAGTGTCCCAAGTGTCCCGAGTGTCCGAGTGTCCCGAGTGTCCGAGTGTCCGAGTGTCCCAAGTGTCCTCAGTGTCCCGAGTGTCCCGAGTGTCCCGAGTGTCCTGAGTGTCCGGTGTGTCCACAATGTCCCGATTGTCCTGAATATCCCTGACTGTCCGGAGTGTCCGGAGTGTCCGGAGTGCCCAGAGTGTCCGGTGTGTCCACGGTGTCTGGAGTGTCCTGAGTGTCCGGTGTGTCCTGAGTGTCCTGAGTGTCCGGCGTGTCCGCAGTGTCCAGGGCTCCCGGGGGTCGGGGCCGTGTCCCCGCGGTGTCACCGGGCCGGGCCCTGCCCGTGCCGCGCTCAGCCCGGGCGCTGCCGCTTCCTGCGCGCCACCGCTTCCTGCGGGGACGGGGACACGGGGGGGCGGAGGGGTGGCACTGGGGACAGGGGGTGGCACTGGGGACAGGGGGGTGGCACTGGGGACAGGGGGGTGGCACTGGGGACAAGGGTGTGGCACTGGGGACAGGGGGTGGCACTGGGGACAGGGGGTGGCACTTCTGACATGGGTGTGGCACTGGGGACAGGGGGTGGCACTGGGGACAGGGGGTGGCACTGGGGACAGGGGGTGGCACTTCTGACATGGGTGTGGCACTGGGGACAGGGGGTGGCACTGGGGACAGGGGGTGGCACTGGGGACAGGGGGTGGCACTTCTGACATGGGTGTGGCACTGGGGACAGGGGGTGGCACTGGGGACAGGGGGTGGCACTGGGGACAGGGGGTGGCACTGGGGACAGGGGGTGACACTGGGGACAGGGGTGTGGCACTGGGGACAGGGGGTGGCACTGCTGACATGGGTGTGGCACTTCTGACATGGGTGTGGCACTGCTGACACAGGTGTGGCACCGTGGGTCACCTTGGTGATGTGGGGACACATTGGTGTGACAGTGAGGACACGTGGGTGTGGCACTGCAGGTGTGACACTGGGGACATGGGTGTGGCACTGGGGGTGTGACACTGTGGGTGTGGCACAGTGGGTGTGGCACTGATGGTGTGGCACTTCTGACATGGGTGTGGCACTGCAGGTGTGACACTGAGGGTGTGACACTGCAGGTGTGGCACTGCGGGTGTGGCACTGGGGGTGTGGCACTGAGGACAGGTGGGTGTGTCACCGCGGGTGTGGCACTGAGGACACGGCCCTGTGGCCCTGCTGGTGTTGGCAGGCGCTGGGCAGGGCACAGGACACTGGGCACAGGGCAGGACACTGGGGGCACTGGGGGCACTGGGGACACTGGTTATACTGGTGCCAGGGCTCACCCTGGTGACACTGGGGGCACACAGCTGTCCCCTCTGTCCCCCCGCTGTCCTTGTGTTGTCCCCTCTGTCCCTCTGTCCCCCTGTCCCCTCTCTGTCCCTCTGTCCCCTCTGTCCCTCTGTCCCCTCTCTGTCCCTCTGTCCCCTCTCTGTCCCTCTGTCCCTCTGTCCGTCTGTCCCCCTGTCCCCTCTGTCCCTCTGTCCCCTCTCTGTCCCCTCTCTGTCCCTCTGTCCCCTCCCTGTCCCTCTGTCCCCTCTGTCCCCTCTCTGTCCCCTCTCTGTCCCTCTGTCCCCTCTCTGTCCCTCTGTCCCCTCTGTCCCCTCTGTCCCCTCTCTGTCCCTCTGTCCCCCCTCTGTCCCCTCTGTCCCCCTGTCCCTCTGTCCCCTCTCTGTCCCTCTGTCCCCTCTCTGTCCCCTCTCTGTCCCTCTGTCCCTCTGTCCCCTCTCTGTCCCTCTGTCCCCACTCTTTAAAAGGTGCGCGGTCCCTTTAAGGCCGTGTCAACAAACCGCGCTCGCGCCCCGCGCCGCCGCCGTGACGTCAGACGCAGCGCGCCGCGCGCGCCCCGCGACGGGCGGCCCGGGGAGAGGCGTGGCCAAGGCTCGGTGGGCGTGTCCCGCCGGCGCGCGCGCAGGCCCAGAGCCGCCCACGGGGGCGTGGCCCGGCCGGGGTGGGCGTGGTTTAGCCGAGGTGGGCGTGGTCACTCAGCGATGGGCGTGGTTTGCACTGAGGAGTGGGCGTGGTTTCGGCGGGGTGGGCGTGGCCCGGGCGCGGCGCATGCGCGGTGCGGCGGCGGCGGCGCTGAGGGGACGCGGCGGCGCCGGGCCCGGCGCAGGCGGGGGCGGAGGCGCGAGCGGAGCATGAATGGGGCAAGATGGCGGATCCTGTGCAGGTGAGCCCCGGCCGCGCTCTGCGGCCCGTCCCGCTCCTCCCGGACACCCCCCGCCGCTCTCCGGCTGCCCCCCGGGCCGGCCCCGCGCCGCCAGGCCCGCCCCGGCCCGCCGCGGCCCGGCCGCGCAGGCCGCGCTGCTCCGGTGCGGCCCCGGGGCTGCTCCCGGCCCCGCCGCGTGTCCCCGGTGCCCGCACGGTGCCCGCCCGGTGTCCGCACGGTGTCCGCACGGTGCTCCCGGGGCTGCTGCGGGGATCCCCGGGGCGCTCCCGGAGCCGCGGCCGCTCCCGCCGGCAGCGCGGGGCCTGCGCGGGCACAGCGCTCCGGGAGCCGGGGGGACGGCACCGGGCCGGGCTCCGGGGATCGGCACCGCCGGCCCGGTGCGGGGCATCTCCCAGCCCGGTTCTGGTCCTTTCCCTGCTGGATCTGGGGTCTGTTCCGGGCCGGATTTGGGATCCTTTCCCAGCCAGGTTCAGGTCCCTTTCCCAGCTGGATTTAGGATCATTTCCCTGCTGGATTTGGGTTCATTTCCCAGCCGGGTTTGGGTTCGTTTCCCAGCCCGGTTCTGTTCCTTCCTAGCCATGTTTGGGGTCATTTCTGAGCTGGATTTGGGGTCCTTTCCCTGCTGGATTTGGGGTCTGTTCCCGGCCGGATTTGGGATCCTTTCCCAGCCAGGTTCAGGTTCCTTTCCCAGCTGGATTTGGGTTCATTTCCCTGCTGGATTTGGGTTCATTTCCCAGCAGTGTTTAGGTTCATTTCCCAGCGGTGTTTGGGTTCATTCCCCAGCCGGGTTTGGGTTCATTTCCCGTCCCAGTTCTGTTCCTTTCCCAGCTGAATTTGGGATCATTTCCCAGCCCGGTTCTGTTCCTTCCCAGCCATGTTTTGGGTCATTTCCGAGTTGGATTTGGGGTCCTTTCCCTGCTGGATTTGGGGTCACTTCCCTGCTGGATTTGGGATCATTTTCCAGCCGGGTTTGGGTTCATTTCCAGCCATGTTTGGGGTCATTTCCCAGCTGGATTTGGGGTCTGTTCCCGGCTGGATTTGGGATCATTTCCCAGCTGGATTTGGGATCATTTTCCAGCTGGGTTAGGGTTCATTTCCACCCATGTTTGGGGTCATTACCCGGCTGGGTTTGGGCCGAGTTTGGAATCATTTCCAGCCATGTTTGGGGTCATTTCCTGGCCCGGTTCTGTTCCTTCCCAGCCATGTTTGGGATCCTTTCCCTGCTGGATCTGGGATCCTTTCCCTGCTGGATCTGGGATCCTTTCCCAGCTGGATTTGGGATCTTTTCCCAGCCAGGTTCAGGTTCCTTTCCCAGTTAGATTTGGGTTCATTTCTCAGCTGAATTTGGGATTATTTCCCAGCCAGGTTTGGGTTCATTTCCCAGCCCGGTTCTGTTCCTTCCCAGCCATGTTTGGGATCCTTTCCCTGCTGGGTTTGGGATCCTTTCCCTGCTGGATCTGGGATCCTTTCCCTGCTGGATTTGGGATCCTTTCCCTGCTGGGTTTGGGATCATTTCCCAGCCGGGTTCTGTTCCTTTCCCAGCCCGATCTGGGGTCATTTTCCAGCTGGATTTGGGGTAATTTCCAGCCATGTTTGGGATCATTTCCCGGCCCGGTTCTGTTCCTTTCCCTGCTGGATTTGGGGTCCGTTCCTGGCCGGATTTGGGATCATTTCCCAGCCAGGTTCAGGTTCCATTCCCACTGGATTTGGGATCCTTTCCCTGCTGGATTTGGGGTCATTTCCCTGGATTTGGGATCATTTTCCAGCCAGGTGCAGGTTCCTTTCCCTGCTGGGTTTGGGATCCTTTCCCTGCTGGATTTGGGATCCTTTCCCTGCTGGATTTGGGATCATTTCCCACTCAGGTTCAGGTTCCATTCCCAGCTGGATTTGGGGTCATTTCCCTGGATTTGGGATCATTTCCCAGCCGGATTTGGGATCATTTCCCAGCCAGGTTCACGTTCCTTTCCCTGCTGGATTTGGGATCCTTTCCCTGCTGGATTTGGGATCCTTTCCCTGCTGGATTTGGGATCTTTTCCCACCTGGATTTGGGATCTTTTCCCTGCTGGATTTGGGATCACTTCCAGCCAGGTTTGGGATGATTTCCCAGCCACGTTTGGGATCATATCCCATCTGGATTTGGGATACTTTCCATCCAGATTTGGGATCCTTTCCCAGGGATTTGGGCCCTAAATCCCTCAGGAAGCGCCCTAAATCCCTGGGAAAGGATCCCGGATCTGGATGGGAAAGGATCCTAAATCCCTGGGGAAGGGCCCTAAATCCCTGGGAAAGGGCCCTAAATCCCTGGGGAAGGATCCTAAATCCCTGGGAAAGGGCCCTAAATCCCTGGGGAAGGATCCTAAATCCCTGGGAAAGGGCCCTAAATCCCTTGGAAAGGATCCTAAATCCCTGGGAAAGGACCCTAAATCCCTGGGAAAGGACCCTAAATCCCTGGGAAAGGATCCTAAATCCCTGGGGAAGGGGCCTAAATCCCTTGGAAAGGATCCTAAATCCCTGGGGAAGGGACCTAAATCCCTGGGGAAGGGTCCTAAATCCATGGGAAAGGAACCCAAATCCCTGGGAAAGGGCCCTAAATCCCTGGGGAATGATCCCAAATCCCTGGGAAAGGGCCCTAAATCCCTGGGGAATGATCCCAAATCCCTGGGAAAGGCCCTAAATCCCTGGGAAACCCTCAGGAAAGGAACAAATCCCTGGGGAAGGATCCTAAATCCCTGGGAAAGGATCCTAAATCCCTGGGGAAGGATCCTAAATCCCTGGGAAAGGATCCTAAATCCCTGGGAAAGGATCCTAAATCCCTGGGAAAGGATCCTAAATCCCTCAGGAAGGGAACAAATCCCTCTGAGTTGGCTCAAAATCCCAATGAAGGAACCCAAAACCTTTGGGAAATTTCTTGAAGGGACCTGAACCCCCTGAGAGGGACCCTGAAGGCCTCAAATTGATCCTAAACCCTCTGAGAGGGACCCTAAACCCCTGAAATTGGCCCTAAATCCCTGAAATTTGCCCTAAAACTCTGAAATTGACCCCGAATCCTCTGAGGGGGACCCTAAACCCCTGAAATTGATCCTAAATCCTCTGAGAGTGACCCTAAATCCTCTCAGGGGGACCCTAAACCCCTGAAATTTGCCTAAAATTCTCTGAGAGGGACCCTAAACCTCTGAAAAGGACCCTAAGTCCCCTGAAAGGGATCCCAAATCTCCTAAAATTGGCCCCAAACCCCGAGAAATTGACCTCAAAACCCCTAAAATCATTCCCAAACCCTGAGAAATTGACCCCAAACTCCTTAAAATTGATCCTAATCTCCCTAAAATTTGCCCCAAACCCTCTAAATTTGGCCCCAAACCCTCAGAGGCAGCAAACCCTGGGAGTTATTTATTATCCCTGGAATTTTGGGAATAAATGAATCCCTGGAAATTTGAGAATAAATGAATCCCAAGCAGTTCATGAACATTTCTGGGAATTCTGCTCCAAATCCAGGATTTTCCTGGGAATTCTGCTCCAAATCCGGGGTTTTCCCCTGTAATTTCCCAGCCTGGCTCCTGAGTGGGTTTTATGGAATTTTTATGGAATTTTTGGGAAAATCCCATTGCTGCTTCCCCAGGACTTCGCTTTGAGTGGCAGAAATTCCCAGAGGAATTTTGGGAATTGTGCCAGAGCCCAAAAAAAACTTTTCCATGGATTTTATTCTGTGGGATCGAGCCTGAATTAATTTTTTTAGGAATTTTTCCTGGTTTGATGATGCCCAAATCAAATTTTCATGGATTTTTCCTGGTTTGGTGAAGCCCTAAAATATTTTTTTATGAATTTTGCGTGGAGTGATGAAGATCGAATCCAATTTTTAGGAATTTTTCCTGGTTTGGTGGAGCCCAAATCCAATTTTAAGGAACTTTTCCTGGAGTGATGAAGATCAAATCCAATTTTTAGGGATTTTGTCTGGTTTGATCAAGCCCAAATCCAATTTTAAGGAATTTTTCCTGGTTTGGTGGAGTCCTAAAACATTTTTTTAATGGAGTTTTCCTGGAGTGATGAAGCCCAAATCCAATTTTAAGGAATTTTGCCTCATTTGGTGAAGCCCAGATCTGATTTTTTATGGATTTTTCCTGGTCTGGTGGAGCCCAAATCCGATTTTAAGGAATTTTTCCTGGTTTGGTGGAACCCTAAAATATTTTTTATGGATTTTGTGTGGAGTGATGAAGATCAAATCCAAATTTTATGGATTTTCCCTGGTTTGGTGGAACCCAAATCTGATTTTTTATGGAATTTTTGCTGGAGTGATGAAGCCCAAATCCAATTTTAAGGAATTTTTCCTGGTTTGATGAAGCCCAAATCTGATTTTCCATGGATTTTTCCTGCTTTGGTGGAACCCAAAAATATTTTTTATAGATTTTGTGTGGAGTGATGAAGATCAAATCCAATTTCATGGATTTTGCCTGGAATGATGAAGCCCAAATCCAATTTTAAGGAATTTTTCGTTGTCTGATGAAGCCCAAATCCCATTTTTTATGGAATTTTCCTGGATTGAAGAAGCCCAAATCCAGTTTTAAGGAATTTTTCTTGGTTTGGTGGAGCCCAAATCCAATTTTTTAGGGATTTTTCCTGGAGTGATGAAGCCCAAATCTGATTTTTGTGGATTTCTCCTCATTTGGTGAAGCCCAAGTCCAATTTTTATGGATTTTTCCTGGTTTGGTGGAGTTCAAATCCAATTTTTAGGATTTTTTCCTGGTTTGCTGAAGCCCAAATCTGATTTTTTATGGATTTTTCCTGGATTTTGCCTGGATGATGAAGCCCAAATGAAATTTCCATGGATTTTTTCTGTGTGAAGAATTCCTGAAAAATTCTGCAAAATCCCCGCTGAATTTCTGAAAATTCATGCAAAATTCCTGCCAAAAATTCCTGCAAATTCCTGAGAAAAATTCCTGAAAAAAAAAAACCCTGCAAAATTCCTGTAAATTCCTGCAATTCTCTTGTAAATTCCTGAAAAAAAAATCCTTTCGATTCCTGCAGAATTCCTATAAAATTCCTGCACAAAAATCCTGCAGTTTTCCTGTAAAAAAATTTCCTCCAAGATTCCTGCGAGGTTCCTGTAGATTGCTGCAAAATTCCTGTAAAATTCTTGTAAAATTCCTGTAAAAATGGAAAATGTGGGAATGGGAGGAATTCCCGTGCTGGGAATTCTGGAAATGCAATGGGGGAAGGGAAGGAAATGAAAGGAAAAAGGAAATAAAAGGAAAAGTGGGAAGGAAATTAAAGGAAAAATGAAATAAAAGGAAAAGTGGGAAGGGAAAGGGAGGAAAAAGGGAAAGGGAAACGTTTGCTCCCCATTTTCCCACCGTTTTTTCCCATTTTCCCTGGGTTTTCCCCCCCATTTTCCCCAATTTCCCCCATTCCCCCCCCGTTATTCCCTGTTTCCCATCTGTTATTCCCATTTTTCCCCATTATTCTGTGTTTCCCCCCGATTTTCCCTCCATTATTCCCATTTTCCCCCTGTTTTTCTCCGTTATTCCCCATTTCTCCCCTGTAATTCCCCGTTTTCCCCCCCATTATTCCCTGTTATTCCTTGTTTTTCCCCATTTTTCCCCATTTTCCCCCGTTATTCCCTTCCCCCCCATTATTCCCCATTTCCCCCCTGTTTTTCCCGGTTTTCTCCCCGTTATTCCCTGTTTCCCCCCCCCATTATTCCTGCTTTCCCCCATTATTCCCCATTATTTCCTGTTATTCCCCATTATTCCCCATTTCCCCCCCATTATTCCCTGGTTTCTCCCCGTTATTCCACATTATTCTCTGTTTCCCCCCATTATTCCCTGTTTCCTCCCCATTTTTTCCCCTTTTCCCCCAGTTTTCCCCCATTATTCCTGTTTTCCCCCCTCATTCCCATTTTACCCCCCACTATTCCCGTTTTTCCCCACCGTTTTTCCCCGTTTCCCCCCGTTATTCCCCGTTTTTCCCGTTCCCCCCATTTTCCCCCCCATTATCTCTGTTTTCCCCTGTTATTCCTGTTTTCCCCCCCATTATTCCCATTATTCCTGTTTCCCCCCCATTATTCCCATTTTTCCCCCTCATTCCTGTTATTCCTCCCCTGTCATCCCTGTTTTCTGCCCCTCATTCCCATTATCCCTGTTTTCTCCCCCGTTATTCCTGTTTCCCCCCCCCCCGTTATCCCCATTTTTCCCCATTATTCCCATTATTTCCCCCGTCATTCCCGTTATTTCTCCCCTGACTCCCGTTATTCCTGTTTTCCCCCCGTTATTTCCCCTGGTTATTCCCGTTATTCTCGTTATCCCCATTTCCCCCCTCATTCCCATTATTTTCCCTCCTTCATTCCCGTTACTTCCCCATTTTTCCCTGTTTTTCCCCCCCTCATTCCCATTTCCCCCCCCTCATTCCCATTATCCCCATTTCCCCCAGTTATTCCCCATTTCTTGCTGTTTTTTCCTGTTTCCCCCTTTATCCCGGTTTTTCCCCCCCTCATTCCCATTTCCCTCTAGTTATTCCCATTTTCCTCCATTATTCCTGTTTTTCCCCCCTCACTCCCATTATCCCTGTTTTCCCCCTCCGTTATTCCCATTTTCCCCCGTTATTCCCATTTTCCCCCCTGTTATTCCTGTTTTCCCCCCGTTATTCCCCCCATTTTTCCCCCGCGTTATCCCTGTTTCCCACCTCATTCCCATTTTCCCCCCCGTTATTCCCATTTTCCCCCCGTTATCCCCATTTTCCCCCCGTTATCCCCATTTTCCCCCCCATTATCCCCATTTCCCCCCTCCGTTATCCCTGTTTTCCCCCCTCACTCCCGTCATTCCCGTTATTTCTCCCCCGACTCCCGTTATTCCTGTTTTTCCCCCGGTTATTCCCATTCTCCCCATTTCCCCCCTCATTCCCATTATCTTCCCCTCCATTCCTGTTACTTCCCCGTTTTTCCCCCGTCATTCTCATTTTCCCCTGACTCCCATTATCCTCATTTTTCTCCGTTATTCCTGTTATTTCCCCCCGTCATTCCCATTATCCCTGTTTCCCTGTCATTCCCTGGTTTTCCCCCCAACTCCCGTTATCCCCGTTTTCCCCCCGTTGTTATCCCCGTTTTCCCCCCCTCACTTCCGTTATTTTTCCCATCATTCCCGTTATTTCTCCCCCTGACTCACGTTATTCCCATTTTCCCCCCGTTATCCCCGTTTTTCCCCCCCTCACTCCTGTTATTTCCCCCGTCATTCCCGTTATTTCCCCCCAACTCGCATTATTCCCGTTATTTCTCCCGGTTTTTCCCGTTTTTCCCGTTTTCCCCCGTTATTTCCCCCGGTTATTCCCGTTATTCCCGTTTTTCCCCGTTATTTCCCCTGGTTATTCCCGTTATTTCCCCCCTGACTCGCATTATTCCCGTTTTTCCCCCGGTTATTCCCGTTATTCCCGTTTTTCCCCGTCATTTCCCCCGGTTATTCCCGTTATTCCCATTTTTCCCCATCATTTCCCCCGGTTATTCCCGTTATTCCCGTTTTCCCCCGTTATTTCCCCCGGTTATTCCCGTTATTTCCCCCCTGACTCACATTATTCCTGTTTTTCCCCCGGTTATTCCCGTTATTCCCGTTTTTCCCCGTTATTTCCCCCGGTTATTCCCGTTTTTCCCCGTTATTTCCCCCGGTTATTCCCGTTATTCCCATTTTTCCCCGTTATTTCCCCCGGTTATTCCCGTTATTTCCCCCCTGACTCGCATTATTCCTGTTTTTCCCCCGGTTATTCCCGTTATTCCCGTTTTTCCCCGTTATTTCCCCCGGTTATTCCCGTTATTTCCCCCCAACTCGCATTATTCCCGTTATTTCCCCCGGTTATTCCCGTTATTTCCCCCCAACTCGCATTATTCACGTTATTTCTCCCGGTTATTCCCGTTTTTCCCCGTTATTTCCCCCGGTTATTCCCGTTATTCCCGTTTTTCCCCGTTATTTCCCCCGGTTATTCCCGTTTTTCCCGTTTTTCCCCGTTTTTCCCCCCGGTTATTCCCGTTTTTCCCGTTTTTCCCGCAGAGCCTGGCCCAGCTGGAGAACCTGTGCAAGCAGCTCTATGAGACCACGGACACGGGCACGCGCCTGCAGGCCGAGAAGGCGCTGGTGGAGTTCACCAACAGCCCCGAGTGCCTGAGCAAGTGCCAGCTGCTGCTCGAGCGCGGCAGCGTGAGTGAAACATTCCCAAATATTCCCAAAATATTCCCAGAAATTCCCCAAACGTTCCTCAAAACGTTCCCTAAAATAATGGAATTCCGTGTACTCGTGGAGTTCACCAACAGCCCCGAGTGCCTGAGCAAGTGCCAGCTGCTGCTGGAGCGCGGCAGCGTGAGTGAAACATTCCCAAATATTCCCAAAATATTCCCAGAAATTCCCCAAACGTTCCTCAAAACGTTCCCTAAAGCCATGGAATTCCATGTACTGGTGGGGTTTCACAAGAGCCCCGAGTGCCTGAGCAAGTGCCAGCTGCTGCTGGAGCGCGGCAGCGTGAGTAAAACACTCCCAAAATATTCCCAAAAATCATGGAATTCCACATCCCAAATATTCCCAAAAAATTCCCCCAGAAATTCCCCAAACTTTCCTCAAAACGTTCCCTAAAATAATGGAATTCCGTGTACTGATGGGGTTCACCAACAGCCCCGAGTGCCTGAGCAAGTGCCAGCTGCTGCTCAAGCGCGGCAGCGTAAAATATTCCCCAAATATTCCCAAATATTCCCAAAATATTCACAAACATTCCCAGAAAATCCCAAACATCCCCCCAAAGTCATGGAATTCCATGGGCAATTAACCATGGGGCTCACCAACAGCCCCGAGTGCCTGAGCCAAGTGCCAGCTGCTGCTCGAGCGCGGCAGCGTGAGTAAAACACTCCCAAAATATTCCCAAAAATCATGGAATTCCACATCCCAGAATTCCCCAACCCTCCTCAAAACATTCCCTAAAATAATGGCATTCCATATCCCAAAAATCCCCCGAGGTCGTGGAATTCCCTCTCCTTGTGGGGTTCCACAACAGCCCCGAGTGCCTGAGCCAAGTGCCAGCTGCTGCTCGAGCGCGGCAGCGTGAGTGAAACGTTCCCAAAATATTCCCAAAATATTCCCAGAAATTCCCCAAACGTTCCTCAAAACGTTCCCTAAAATAATGGAATTCCATGTACTCGTGGGGTTCCACAACAGCCCCAAGTGCCTGAGCAAGTGCCAGCTGCTGCTTGAGTGGGGCAGTGTGAGTAAAACATCCCCAAAATATTCCCAAAATATTCCCAAAATATTCCCAGAAATTCCCCAAACGTTCCTCAAAACGTTCCCCAAACTCATGGAATTCCGTGTGCTGGTGGGGTTCACCAACAGCCCCGAGTGCCTGAGCCAAGTGCCAGCTGCTGCTCGAGCGGGCAGCGTGAGTGAAATATTCCCAAAATATTCCCAAAATATTCACAAACATTCCCAGAAATTCCCAAACATCCCCCCAAAGTCATGGAACTCCATGGGCAATTAACCATGGGGTTCACCAACAGCCCCGAGTGCCTGAGCCAAGTGCCAGCTGCTGCTTGAGTGGGGCAGCGTGAGTAAAACATCCCAAAATATTCCCAAAAATCATGGAATTCCACATCCCAAATATTCCCAAAAAATTCCCCCAGAAATTCCCCAAACGTTCCTCAAAAAGTTCCCTAAAATAATGGAATTCCTTGTGCTGATGGGGTTCCACAACAGCCCCGAGTGCCTGAGCCAAGTGCCAGCTGCTGCTCGAGCAGGGCAGTGTGAGTAAAACATCCCCAAAATATTCCCAAAAATCATGGAATTCCACATCCCAAATATTCCCAAAAAATTCCCCCAGAAATTCCCCAAACGTTCCTCAAAACGTTCCCTAAACTCATGGAATTCCATGTACTGATGGGTTCACCAACAGCCCCGAGTGCCTGAGCAAGTGCCAGCTGCTGCTTGAGTGGGGCAGTGTGAGTGAAACATTCCCAAAATATTCCCAAAAATCATGGAATTCCACATCCCAAATATTCCCAAAAAATTCCCCCAGAAATTCCCCAAACTTTCCTCAAAATGTTCCCTAAAATAATGGAATTCCATGTACTGATGGGGTTCCACAACAGCCCCGAGTGCCTGAGCCAAGTGCCAGCTGCTGCTCGAGTGGGGCAGCGTGAGTAAACATCCCCAAAATATTCCCAAAATATTCCCAAAAATCATGGAATTCCACATCCAAAAATTCCCCAAAATCATGGAATTCTATATCCCAAAATTTCCCCAAAAATCCAGGATTTCCATATCCTGAAATGCCCCAAAACCATGGAATTCTACTTCCCCGAGATTCTCAAAAAAATTCCCCAAAATTATGGGATTCCGTATCCCGGAAATTCCCCAGAATCCTGGAATTCCGTATCCCAGAAATTCCCCAAAACCCCCCAAAAATTCTCCAAAATCCTGGAATTCCACATCCCAAAACTCCCAAGCCTGGAATTTCTGGGATCTTCCTCTCCCTCCCCCTCCTCCTCCTCCTGAATTCCCAGCTGGAATTTCCTCCCCACCCTTTCAGTCCTTCAATGCACCATTCCAGTTCCTTTTTTTGGGAATTTTCCCCCTTTTTTTCCCATTTTCCCCTTTTTTTCCTGTTTTCTTCCCTTTTTTTTCCCTGTGTCTTCCCACATTTCTCCCTTTTCCCCCGTTGTTTTCCCATTTTCCCCCGTTTTTTCGCACATTTCCCCATTTTTCCCCATTGTTTTTTCCCTTTTTTCCCATTTTTTCCCACCATTTTTTCCCATTTTTCCCATATTTTCCCTTTTTTTCCCGTTTTTTCCTGGGTTTTTTTCCCATTTTCCCCATTTTTTCTCATTTTTTCCCCACTTTTTTCCATATTTTCCCATTTTTTTTCCTGTTTTTTTTTCCAATTTTTCCCCATTGTTTTTTCTAATTTTTCCAATTTTTCCAATATTTCCCCTTTTTTCCCATTTTTTCCCACATTTGCCCACATTTCTCCCTTTTCCCCCGTTGTTTTTTCCCATTTTTCCCATTTTTTCCCTTTTTTTTTCCCCCGTTGTTTTTTTCCCATTTTTCCCACCTTTCCCATTTTTCCCATTTTCCCACCGGTTTTTCCCATTTTTTCCTGTTTTTTCTTTCCATTTTTCTCACTTTTTCCCGCTTTTTCCCATATTTTCCCATTTTTTCCTGTTTTTTCCTGGGTTTTTTTTCCATTTTTCTCACTTTTTCCCGCTTTTCCCCATATTTTCCCTATTTTTTCCTGTTTTTTCCTGGTTTTTTTTTTCCAATTTTTCCCATTTCTTCCCATTTTTTTTTCCACATTTTCCCACATTTCTCCCTTTTCCCCTGTTGTTTTTTCCCAGTTTTCTGCATTTTTTCCCCATTTTCCCCTGTTGTTTTTTTCCCATTTTTTCCCCGTTTTTCCCGTGTTTTCTTCCCATTTTTCCCATTTTTTTCCCCGTTGTTTTTTCCCATTTTCCCCACTCATCCCACTTTTCCCATTTTTCCCGTTTTCCCACCGTTTTTCCCCATTTTTTCCAGTCCTCCTACTCGCAGCTGTTGGCCGCCACCTGCCTGACCAAGCTGGTGTCGCGCAGCTCCAACGCCCTTCCCCTGGAGCAGCGCCTCGACATCCGTGAGTCGGAATTCCGGGGAAATTCTGGGAATTCCGGGGCGTTTCTGGGAATTCCGGGGCGTTTCTGGGAATTCCGGGGCGTTTCTGGGAATTTCTTGTGGTTTTTGGGTTTTTTTGGGGGGGTTTTCCTGGGAATTTCAGGGGGTTTTCCTGAAAAATCCTTGGGGATTTCCTGCGATTTCTTGGGGCTTTCCTGCGAATTCCTTGGAGTTTTTTTGGGATTTTCCTGGGATTCCATGGGGTTTTCCTGAAATTCCATGGGATTTTCCTCGGAATTCCGGGGGGTTCCTGGGAATTCCGGGGGGTTTCCGGGATTTTGGGGGATTTTCCTGGGAATTCCGTGGCTTTTTCTGGGATTCCTTGAGATTTCGTGGGGTTTTCCAGGGAATTCCTTGGGATTTCCTGGGAATTTCTTGGGTTTTCCTGACATTTCTTGGGGCTTTCCTGGCAATTCCTTGGTGTTTTTTGGGATTTTCCTGGGAATTCCCTGGGATTTTCCTCAGAATTTCGTGGGATTTCCCTAAAAAATCCTTGGGTTTTTCCTGGGAATTCCCTGGGATTTTCCTCAGAATTTCGTGGGATTTCCCTAAAAAAATCCTTGGGTTTTTCCTGGGAATTCCTTGGGATTTCCATGGGATTTCCTGCGATTTCTTGGGGCTTTCCTGCGAATTCCTTGGGGTTTTTTGGGATTTTCCTGGGATTCCATGGGGTTTTCCTGAAATTCCATGGGATTTTCCTCGGAATTCCGGGGGGTTCCTGGGAATTCCGGGGGGTTTCCGGGATTTTGGGGGATTTTCCTGGGAATTCCGTGGCTTTTTCTGGGATTCCTTGAGATTTCGTGGGGTTTTCCAGGGATTTCCTTGGGATTTCCTGGGAATTTCTTGGGTTTTCCTGACATTTCTTGGGGCTTTTCGGGATTTTCCTGGGATTTCTTGGGGTTTTCCTGAAATTCCCTGGGGTTTTCCTGGGATTTTGTGGGATTTTCTTGACAAATCCTTGGGATTTCCCTCCTTTCCCCTGGGGGGAGGTGCCCTGAGCCCAAATTTGGGATTTGGGGCTTCCTGGGATTTCTTGGGGTTTTCCTGCGATTCCCCCCTTTTCCAGGTTTATTCCGGGGCTAAATCCAACCTTTTTCCAGGTCTATTCCAGGGTAATTCCAACCCTTTTCTGAGTGTGTTCCAGGGATAATTCCAGCCCTTTTCCAGGGTTAAATCCAGCCCTTTTCCACATTTATTCCAGGGCTAAATCCAGAATTTCCTGAGTGTGTTCCAGGGCTAATTCCAGCCATTTTTCCAGGTTTATTCCAGGAGTAAATCCAGCTCTTTCCCAAATGTATTCCAGGGCTAAATCCAGAATTTTTTGAGTGTGTTCCAGGGCTAAATCCAACTTTTTCCAGGTCTATTCCAGGGTAATTCCAACCCTTTCCCAGGGCTAAATCCAACCTTATTCCTGGTTTATTCCAGGGCTAAATCCAGACTTTTCTGAGTGTGTTCCAGGGCTAAATCCAATGTTTTCCAGGTCTATTCCAGGGTAATTCCAACCCTTTCCCAGGGCTAAATCCAACCTTTTTCCTGGTTTATTCCAGGACTAAATCCAGCCCTTTCCCAGGTTTATTCCAGGGGGCTAAAGCCAAACTTTTCCCAGGTTTTTTTTCAGGGCTAAATCCAGACATTTTCTGGCATCTGAAATTCCCAACTAAACCCCCAACATTTCTGTTTTATTCCCAAAAATTCCTCAACTTCCTCCCCTGGAACCGAGCTCCCCGAGACTCCTTTTCCCTGGGGCCATTCCCACGGGACTGGGATTTACCTGGAGCTCCACCTTTTCCCTGTTTTTCCCTGTTTTCCAGGGAATTCTGTGCTGAGCTATGCGAAGGCATTCCCATGGGGCTGGGTTTTACTTGCAGCTCCATCTTTTCCCTGGTTTTCCCTGTTTTCCAGGGAATTCTGTACTGAACTACTTGGCCACGAGGCTGAAGGCATTCCCACGGGGTTGGGTTTTCTCTCCAGCTCCATCTTTTCCCAATTTTCCAGGGAATTCTGAGCCACGAGGCTGAAGGCATTGCCCCAGGACCAGAATTTACCCGCACCTCCACCTTTTCCCTGTTTTTCCCTGTTTTCCCTGTTTTCCAGGGAATTACATGCCCGAAGGCATTCCCCCAGGGCTGGGTTGTGCCTGCAGCTCCATCTTTTCCATTTTTTTTCCCTGTTTTTCCCAATTTTCCAGGGAATTCTGTGCTGAACTACCTGGCCACGAGGCCAAAGTCATTCTCCAGGGCTGAGTTTTCCCTGCAGCTCCATCTTTTCCCTGTTTTTCCCTGTTTTCCAGGGAATTATCTGCCCAAAGGCATTCCCCTGGGGCTGGGTTCTTCCTGCAGCTCCATCTTTTCCTGGTTTCCAGGGAACTCTTCCCTCTTTTCCAGGGAATTACGTGCTGAACTACCTGGCCACAAGGCCAAAGGGCTGGGTTTTACCTGCAGCTCCACCTTTTCCCACTTTTCCCGATTTTCCAGGGAATTCTGTGCTAAACTGCCCAGCCACGAGGCCGAAGGCATTCCCCCAGGAGCCTGCAGCTCCATCTTTTCCCTGTTTTTCCCTGTTTTTCAGGGAATTACGTGCTGAACTCCCTGGCCTGGGCTGTGCCTGCAGCTCCACCTTTTCCCTGTTTTCCCAATTTTCCAGGGAATTCTGTGCTGAACTACCTGGCTATGAGGCCAAAGTCCTTCTCATAGGGCTGAGCTTTCCCTGCAGCTCCATCTTTTCCATTTTTTCCCCTGTTTTTCCCAGTTTTCCAGGGAATTATGTGCTGAACTACCGGGCCATGAGGCTGAAGGCATTCCCATGGGGCTGGACTGTACCTGCAGCTCCATCTTTTCCATTTTTCCCCCTGTTTTTCCCACTTTCCCAGGGAATTCTGTGCTGAACTACCTGGCTATGAGGCCAAAGTCATTCTCATAGGGCTGAGGTTTCCCTGCAGCTCCATATTTTCCATTTTTTTCCCTGTTTTTCCCAATTTTCCAGGGAATTACGTGCTGCACTACCTGGCCACGAGGCCAAAGTTCTTCTCACAGGGCTGAGCTTCCCCTGCAGCTCCATCTTTTCCATTTTTCCCCTGTTTTTCCCAGTTTTCCAGGGAATTATGTACTGAATTACCTGGCTATGAGGCCAAAGGGCTGAGTTTTACCTGCAGCTCCATCTTTCCCTTTTTTTCCCAATTTTCCAGGGAATTCTGTGCTGAACTTCCTGAAGGCATTTCCCCATGGCTGGGCTTTCCCTGCAGCTCCATCTCTTCCCTTTTTTTCCCAATTTTCCAGGGAATTCTGTGCTGAACTACCTGGCCACGAGGCCGAAGGCATTCCCATGGGGCTGGACTGTACCTGCAGCTCCATCTTTTCCATTTTCCCCCTGTTTTTCCCAATTTTCCAGGGAATTACGTGCCCAAAGTCATTCTCACAGGGCTGAGCTTTCCCTGCAGCTCCATCTTTTCCATTTTTCCCCCCGTTTTTCCCACTTTTCCAGGGAATTACGTGCCCAAAGTCATTCTCACAGGGCTGAGCTTTCCCTGCAGCTCCATTTTTCCCATTTTTCCCCCCGTTTTTCCCCCTTTCCCAGGGAATTACGTGCTGAACTACCTGGCCACGCGGCCCAAGCTGGCCACCTTCGTGACGCAGGCGCTGATCCAGCTCTACGCCCGCATCACCAAGCTGGGCTGGTTCGACTGCCAGAAGGACGAGTTCGTCTTCAGGAACGTCATCAACGACGTCACGCGCTTCCTGCAGGTCCGCTTCCCGCTGGGAATTCCGGGGGATCCCAAAAATCCACCCAAATCCACTTTGGGGGTCGACTGAGGGAGTTTTGGCATTTCCACGTTGGTGTTTTCACCTGGGGCGTCTGAGGGTGAAGAGCTCCTCAAAAGTCAGGGAATTGTTTCATGATCAGGGAATTGTTTCATGATCAGGGAATTGTTTCAGGATTTGGGAATTGTTTCAGGATTTGGGAATTGTTTCAGGATTTGGGGATTGTTTCAGGATCAGGGAATTGTTTCAGGATCAGGGAATTGTTTCAGGATTAGGGAATTGTTTCAGGATCAGGGAATTGTTCCTGGATCAGGGAATTGTTTCAGGATTTGGGGATTGTTTCAGGATCAGGGAATTGTTTCAGGATCAGGGAATTGTTTCAGGATTTGGGAATTGTTCCTGGATCAGGGAATTGTTTCAGGATTTGGGAATTGTTTCAGGATCAGGGAATTGTTTCAGGATCAGGAATTGTTTCAGGGATCAGGAATTGTTTCAGGATCAGGGAGTTATTTCAGGATTTGGGAATTGTTCCAGGATCAGGGAATTGTTTCAGGGATTTGGGAATTGTTTCAGGATCAGGGATTTGTTTCTGGGATCAGGGAATTGTTCCTGGATCAGGGAATTGTTCCTGGATCAGGGAATTGTTCCTGGATCAGGGAATTGTTCCTGGATCAGGGAATTGTTTCTTGGAGCAGGGGATTGTTTCAGGATCAGGGAATTGTTTCAGGATCAGGAATTGTTTCAGGGATCAGGAATTGTTCCTGGATCGGGGAATTGTTTCAGGATTTGGGAATTGTTTCAGAATCAGGGAATTGTTTCAGGATCAGGGAATTGTTTCAGGATTTGGGAATTGTTCTTGGAGCAGGGAATTGTTTCTTGGAGCAGGGAATTGTTCCTGGAGCAGGGAATAGTTTCAGGATTTGGGAATTGTTCCTGGAGCAGGGAATTGTTTCAGGATCAGGGAATTGTTTCAGGATCAGGGAATTGTTTCAGAATCAGGGAATTGTTCCTGGATCAGGGAATTTTTTCTGGGATTTGGGAATTGTTCCTGGATCTGGGAATTGTTTCTTGGAGCAGGGAATTGTTTCAGGATTTGGGAATTGTTTCAGGATTTGGGAATTGTTTCAGGAGCTGGGAATTGTTTCAGAATCAGGGAAGTGTTTCAGGGATTTGGGAATTGTTTCAGGGATTTGGGAATTGTTCCTGGATCAGGGAATTGTTCCAGGATTTGGGAATTGTTCCTGGATCAGGGAATTGTTTCTTGGAGCAGGGGATTGTATCAGGAGCAGGGAATTGTTTCAGGATCAGGGAATTGTTCCTGGATCAGGGAATTGTTCCTGGATCAGGGAATTGTTTCAGGATCAGGGAATTGTTTCAGGAACAGGGATTTGTTTTTAGGATCAGGGAATTGTTTCAGGATCAGGGAATTGTATCAGGATCAGGGAATTGTTTCAGGATTTGGGAATTGTATCAGGAGCAGGGAATTGTTTCAGGAACAGGGAATTGTTTCTGGGATTAAGGAATTGTTTCTGGGATCAGGGAATTGTTTCTGGGATCAGGAAATTGTTTCAGGAACAGGGAATTGTTTCAGGGATTTGGGAATTTTTTCTGGGATTTGGGAATTGTTTCAGGATCAGGGAATTGTTTCGGGGATTAGGGAATTGTTTTTGGGATCAGGGAATTGTTTCAGGGATTTGGGAATTGTTCCTGGATCAGGGAATTGTTTCAGGGATCAGGGAGTTGTTTCAGAATCAGGGAATTGTTCCAGGAGCCGGGAATTGTTTCTTGGAGCACGGAATTGTTCCTGGATGCTCCCAGCTGCTTCCTGCAAGTCGGCTTCCCGCTGGGAATTCCGGGGAATCCCAAAAATCCACCAAAATTCAGTTTCTAGGTGGCCTGAGGGAGTTTTGGCATTTTCACGTTGGTGTTTTTCACCTGGGGCGTCTGAGGGTGAAGAGCTCCTTAAAAATCTGGGGAGCAGGGAATTGTTTCATGATCAGGGAATTGTTTCAGGAGCAGGGAATTGTTTCAGGGATTAGGGAATTGTTTCAGGGATCAGGAATTGTTTCAGGAGCAGGGAATTGTTTCAGGATTTGGGAATTGTTCCTGGATCAGGGAATTGCTTCTTGGAGCAGGGGATTGTTTCAGGATCAGGGAATTGTTTCAGGATCAGGGAATTGTTTCAGGATCAGGGAATTGTTTCAGGATCAGGGAATTGTTTCAGGATTTGGGAATTGTTCCTGGATCAGGGAATTGTTCCTGGAGCAGGGAATTGTTCCTGGGTTTGGGAATTGTTCCTGGGTTTGGGAATTGTTCCAGGATTTGGGAATTGTTTCAGGAACAGGGAATTGTTTCTGTGATTAAGAAATTTTTTCTGGGATTTGGGATTTTTTTCTGGGATCAGGGAATTGTTTCTGGGATCAGGGAATTGTTTCTGGGATCAGGGAATAGTTTCAGGATCAGGGAATTGTTTCAGGAGCAGGGAATTGTTTCAGGATTTGGGAATTGTTTCAGGATCAGGGAATTGTTCCTGGATCAGGGAATTGTTTCAGGATCAGGGAATTGTTTCAGGGATTTGGGAATTGTTTCAGGGATTTGGGAATTGTTTCAGGAACAGGGAATTATTTCTGTGATTAAGGAATTTTTTCTGGGATTTGGGAATTGTTTCTTGGAGCAGGGAATTGTTTCAGGAACAGGGAATTGTTTCTGTGATTAAGGAATTTTTTCTGGGATTTGGGAATTTTTTCTGGGATCAGGGAATTGTTCCTGGTTCAGGGAATTTTTTCAGGATCAGGGAATTTTTTCAGGATCAGGGAATTTTTTCAGGATCAGGGAATTGTTTCAGGGATTTGGGAATTGTTTCAGGGATTTGGGAATTGTTTCAGGAACAGGGAATTGTTTCAGGAGCTGAGAATGGTTTCTGGAATTAAGGAATTTTTTTGGGGATTTCGGATTTTTTTCTGGGATTAGGGAATTGTTTTTGGGATCAGGGAGTTTTTTCTGGGATTTGGGAATTGTTTCAGGGATTTGGGAATTGTTTCAGGGATTTGGGAATTGTTTTTGGGATCAGGGAATTGTTTCTGGAGGTTGGAATTGTTTCAGGGATTTGGGAATTGTTTTTTGGGATTTGGGAGGGAATTTTTTCTGGGATTAGGGAATTCTTCCTGGGATTTGGGAATTTTTTTCTGGGGTTAAGGAACTGTTTCAGGGATCAGGGAATTGTTTCAGGGATCAGGGAATTTTTTTCTGGGATTAGGGAATTGTTTCAGGGATCAAGGAATTGTTTTTGGGATCAGGAATTTATTCCTGTGTACTCCAACCTTTAGGCTCCATCTTTTCCCACCCTTTGGATTTTCCTGCATTTTCATCCCACTTCCTTCCTTCATTAACTCAACTCAACCTCCCAAAATCTCCTTTTCTTTTTATTTTATTTTTTTAAATTAATCTTTTCTACCCAATCATTTTTCCAAGGAAAAAAATAAAACAAAAAAAAGGAAATTTTCCCAAAAAAACCCACAAATTATGCCTTTTCCTCCCCAGGACAGTGTGGAGCACTGCATCATAGGAGTGACAATCCTGTCCCAATTAACAAATGAAATTAATCAAGTAAGTGCCACCTTCTTCCTCAATATTCCAATTTTCCCTTTAATTTTCTTCTCTCCTGCTTTTCCTGGAATTTTTGGATTTTATTTTTGGGGAATTTCGCCCTCTGGGAGGTGTTGGAGGGGGGATTTGGTGTTTTTTTGGGGGTTTTTTTGTGTTTTTGGGTGGTGAGGATTTCCTGTCTGGAGGGATTTTTGGTTTCGTTGATTTTCCGTCTTTTCCCAAATTTTCCTTTGGTTTTTTTGGGTTGGGAAGGGAAAAAAAAAAATAAAAACAAGGATAATTAATTATTTATTAATTATTGTAATTATTGTTATTAGTGAGGGGCAGAAATTTCTGTTGGCAGCTCCTTGTGTTTGCCAGGGAGAAAAATCCGAATTTTCCAATTGTCCCCTTTTTAAACAGCTCTGGAATCCCTCTGGAATTTCTGGAATTCTTATGGAATTTCCTCTGGAATTCCTGCTGGAAACGGGGATAAGCATCTTTAACTGGTGCTATTCCAGTTTTTGTGGTTTTTCCATGTTTTTTCCGTTTTTTTTCCATGTTTTTTCCATTATTTTTCTGTGTTTTTTTCCATGGTTGTTCCATGTTTTTTTGTCTTTTTTCCATGGTTTTTCTGTCTTTTTCCTGTGGATTTTCTGTCTTTTTTTCCATGTTTTTCCATGGTTTTTCTGTCTTTTTTTTTTTCTGTGGTTTTTCCATGGTTTTTCCGTGGTTTTTATGTCTTTTTTTTCCATGGTTTTTCCATAGTTTTTCCCTGGTTTTTCCATGTTTTTTCTGCCATTTTTTTTCATGGTTTTTTTATGATTTTTCCATCGTTTTCCATGGTTTTTCTGTCTTTTTTCCATGGTTTTTCCATGGAATTGTGTTCTGCTGGATCTGGGGAGGGAAACCTCAGTTTCCTGGGATTTTCCTGGGGATTTTCCTGGAAATTTTCATGAGGATTTTCCTGAGGATTTTCCTGGGGATTTCCCTGGGGTTTCCTGGGGATTTCCCTGGGATTTTTCAGCGATTTTCCAGGATTTTTGTGGGATTTTCCTGAGGATTTTTTCTGGCATTTTCCAGGGGATTTCCCTGAGGATTTCCCTGGGATTTTCCAAGATTTTCCTGAGGGTTTCCCTGGAATTTCCTTGGCATTTCCTGGGGATTTTCCTGGCATTTTCCAGGATTTTCCTGGAGATTTCCCTGGAGATTTCCCTGGGATTTTACGGTTATTTCCCTGGGATTTTCCAGGATTTTCCTGAGGATTTCCCTGGAATTTCCTTGGCATTTTCTGGGGATTTCCCTGTGATTTTTCTGGGGATTTCCCTGGCATTTTCCAGGATTTTCCTGAGGGTTTCCCTGGAATTTCCTTGGCATTTTCTGGGAATTTCCCTGTGATTTTCTGGGGATTTCCCTGAGGATTTCCTTGGGATTTCCCTGGCATTTTCCGGGATATCCCTGGGGATGTCCCTGGCATTTCCCGGGATTTCCCTGTGATTTTCTTTGGGACGTCCCTGGCATTTCCCGGGATTTCCCAGGGGGTTTTCCAGGATTCCCTGGAATTTCCCGGGTTTCCCTGCCGTGACAGCCCTGTCCCCGCAGGCGGACACGTCGCACCCGCTGACCAAACACCGCAAAATCGCCTCTTCCTTCCGCGACTCCTCCCTGTTCGACATCTTCACCCTCTCCTGCAGCCTCCTCAAACAGGTGGGAATGTGGGCAGGAATTCCGGACGGGAATGGTTCTGGGAATATGGGGAGGAATTCCAGCCGGGAATGGGAAACCTGGGAATGGGGGGAGGAATTCCTTCCTGGAATGGGAAACCTGGGAATGGGGGAGAAATTCCTTTCTGGAATGAGGCAGGAATTCCAGCTGGGAATGGGAACCCTGGGAGTGTGGGGAGGAATTCCAGACGGGAATGGGGCAGGAATTCCAGTCGGGAATGGGAAACCTGGGAATGGGGCAGGAATTCCAACCAGGAATGGTTCTGGGAATAGGGGGAGAAATTCCTTCCTGGAATAGGGCAGCAATTCCAGCCGGGAATGGGAACCCTGGGAATGTGGGGAGGAATTCCAGCCAGGAATGGGAAACCTGAGAATGGGGGAGGAATTCCTTCCTGGAATGGTTCTGGGAATGTGGGGAGAAATTCCTTCCTGGAATGGGGCAGGAATTCCAGCCGGGAATGGGAACCCTGTCAGTGTGGGGAGGAATTCCAGCTGGGAATGAGGCAGGAATTCCAGCCTGGAATGGGAACCCTGGGAATGTGGGGAGGAATTCCAGCCAGGAATGGGGCAGGAATTCCAGCTGGGAATGGGAACACTGGCAATGTGGGGAAGAATTCCAGCCAGGAATGGTTCTGGGAATGGGGCAGGAATTCCAGCCGGGAATGGTTCTGGGAATGTGGGGAGGAATTCCTTCCTGGAATGGGGCAGGAATTCCAGCCGGGAATGGTTCTGGGAATGGGGCAGGAATTCCAGCCGGGAATGGGGCAGGAATTCCAGCCAGGAATGGGAAACCTGGGAATGTGGGGAGGAATTCCTTCCTGGAATGGGGCAGGAATTCCAGCCAGGAATGGGAACCCTGGGAATGGGGCAGGAATTCCAACCTGGAATGGTTCTGGGAATGTGGGGAGGAATTCCAGCCGGGAATGGTTCTGGGAATGGGGCAGGAATTCCAGGCGGGAATGGGAAACCTGGGAATGGGGCAGGAATTCCTTCCTGGAATGGGAACCCTGGGAATGTGGGGAGAAATTCCATCCTGGAATGGGGCAGGAATTCCAGCCGGGAATGGGAACCCTGGCAATGGGGTAGGGATTCCATCCTCGAATGTGGGGAGGAATTCCAGACGGGAATGGGAAACGTGGGAATGGGGCAGCAATTCCTTCCTGGAATGTCGGGAAGAATTCCCTCCTGGAACAGGAGCGGGAGCTGGGAATGGTTGGGAATGTTGGCAGGAAATTTTTATCCCCTTTTTCCCGTTTTTTCCCGTTTTTCCCGGATTCCAGGCCTCAGGGAAGAGCCTGCACCTGCCGGACGAGAGCCAGCAGGGGCTGCTGATGCAGCTGCTGAAGCTGACCCACAACTGCCTCAGCTTCGACTTCATCGGCACCTCCACCGACGAGTCCTCCGACGACCTGTGCACCGTGCAGATCCCCACCAGCTGGAGATCGGGTACAAAAACACGATTTTCGGTCAAAAAATACAGTTTTGTAATTGATAATGCTGATTTTGTAGCAAATAATGCTGATTTTTTACCAAATAATGCTGATTTTGTACCAAAAAAATCCCGATTTCGGCACTATAAACCTGATTTGGGCGCCTAAAACCTGTGCACAGTGCAGATCCCCACCAGCTGGAGATCGGGTACAAAAACACAAATTTGGGTTAAAAAATCCTGATTTTGGTACAAATAAACCTGTGCACCCTGCAGATCCCCACCAGCTGGAGATCGGGTACAAAAACACGATTTTGGGTCAAAAAATACGGTTTTGTAATTGATAATCCTGATTTTGTACCAAATAATCCTGATTTTGTACCGAATAATCCCGATTTTTTACCAAATAAATCCTGATTTCGGCACTGTAAACCCGATTTGGGCACCAAAAACCTGTACACGGTGCAGATCCCCACCAGCTGGAGATCGGGTAAAAAAACGTGATTTTGGGTCAAAAATACGGTTTTGTAATTAATAATCCTGATTTTGTACCAAATAATGCTGATTTTGTACCAAAAAAATCCCGATTTTGGCACTGTAAACCCAATTTGGGTGCCAAAAACCTGTACACGGTGCAGATCCCCACCAGCTGGAGATCGGGTAAAAAAACGGGATTTTGGGTCAAAAAATACGGTTTTGTAATTAATATTCCTGATTTTGTACCAAATAATGCTGATTTTTTTACCAAATAATGCCGATTTTGTACCAAAAAAATCCCAATTTCGGCACTGTAAACCCGATTTGGGCGCCAAAATCCTGTGCACGGTGCAGATCCCCACCAGCTGGAGATCGGGTAAGAATAATCCTCAATTTGGGGTAAAAAATCCTGATTTTGGTACAAATAAACCTGTGCACCGTGCAGATCCCCACCAGCTGGAGATCGGGTAAAAAAATCTCATTTTTGGTAAAAATAAACCCAATTTTGTCACTATAATCCCCTCTCTTTTCCCAAATAAACCCCTCTTTTTCCACTAATTGACCCCAATTTTTTTCCCAAATAAACCCCAATTTTTTTTCCCCAAAAAAACAATTTTTTCCCCAAAAAAAACCCGTTAATTTTCCCCAAATACATCAGGGGTGTAAAATGAGAATTTCCCGTGTGGGAAGCAGAAAATTGAGGTAAAATTCTCTTTTTTTTTGCAGCTTTCCTGGATTCCTCCACCCTGCAGCTGTTTTTTGACCTTTATCATTCCATCCCTCCCTCCTTCTCTCCGCTGGTAAGTTCGGGGCTGTTTTATTTTTGGAAATAAATTAATTAATTAAAAAATAAATAAATTAAATAAATTAAATAAAAAATATAAATTAATTGATTATAATTATACTGTTGTAATTATTATATATATAATTTTATAATTATAATATGTGTTATATAATATGTTGATTATAATTAAATAAATATATAAATTAAATAAATAGATAAATTAATTAAATAAATACATAAATTAATTAAATAAATTAAAATAATTAAATAAATTGAATTATAAAATAAATTAATAAATAAATCAGATTATTTCTCCTGGGAAAAGAAAAAAATTCCGAATTTTTTTTTTTTAATTTCTTGGAAAATTAAAAAAAAATCAGATTATTTCTTCTGGGAAAAGGAAAAAAAAAATTGGATTATTTATTGGGGGAAAATTAAAAAAAAAATCAGATTATTTTTCCTTAGAAAAGAAAAAAAATTGGATTATTTCTCCTGGAATTCCATCATTCCAACCTCAGGAATTCCAGAATTCTGTGAATTCCAGAATTCCCTCCAGCATGAGGGAAAAATCTCTTTATTCCCATTTTTATCCCGATTTTTGTGATTATTCCTATCTTTTATCCCAATTTTTCTGTTTATTCCCATGTTTGATCCCAATTTTTGTGTTTATTCCCATGTTTAATTCAAATTTTTGTGTTTATTCCCATGTTTTTGTGTTTATTCCCATGTTTGATCCCTGATTTTGTGTTTTCGTCCCTGATTTTGTGTTTATTCCCGTGTTTTATCCCAATTTTTGTGTTTATTCCCATGTTTTCATCCCTGATATTGTGTTTTCAACCCTGATTTTGTGTTATCATCTCAATTTTTGTGTTTATTCCCATATTTTATCCCAATTTCTGTGTTTATTCCCATATTTGATCCCAATTTCTGTGTTTATTCACGCATTTTATCCCAATTTCTGTGTTTATTCCCGCATTTGATCCCAATTTCTGTGTTTATTCCCATATTTTATCCCAATTTTTGTGTTTATCCCCATGTTTTATCCCAATTTCTGTGTTTATTCCTGTATTTTATCCCAATTTCTGTGTTTATTCCCATATTTTATCCCAATTTTTGTGTTTATTCCCATATTTTCATCCCTGATGTTTTTTACTCCTGATTTTCTGTTTATACCAAGTTTTTATCCCAATTTTTGTGTTTATCCCCATGTTTTATCCCAATTTCTGTGTTTATTCCCGTGTTTTCATCCCTCATTTTGTGTTTTCATCCCTCATTTTGTGTTTATTCCATCCCTGATTTTCTGTTTATTCCCGTATTTTATCCCAATTTCTGTGTTTATTCCTGTATTTTATCCCAATTTTTGTGTTTATTCCCGTATTTTATCCCAATTTCTGTGTTTATTCCCAATTTGATCCCAATTTTTGTGTTTATTCCCATGTTTTCATCCCTGATACTGTTTTCAACCCTGATTTTGTGTTATCATCCCAATTTTTGTGTTTATTCCCATATTTGATCCCAATTTTTGTGTTTGTTCCCATGTTTTATCCCAATTTCTGTGTTTATTCCCTATTTTATCCCAATTTTTGTGTTTATTCCCATATTTTCATCCCTGATGTTTTTTACTCCTGATTTTCTGTTTATCCCAAGTTTTTATCCCAATTTCTGTGTTTATTCCTGTGTTTTCATCCCTCATTTTGTGTTTTCATCCCTCACTTTGTGTTTATTCCATCCCCAATTTTGTGTTTATTCCCAATTTTATCCCAATTTCCGTGTTTATTCCCGCATTTTATCCCAATTTCTGTGTTTATTCCCGTATTTTATCCCAATTTCTGTGTTTACTCCCGCATTTTATCCCAATTTTTGTGTTTGTTCCCATGTTTGATCCCAATTTTTGTGTTTGTTCTGATTATTTGATCCCAATTTTTGTGTTTATTCCCATATTTTCATCCCTGATTTTTTTTACCCCTGATTTTCTGTTTATCCCAAGTTTTTATCCCAATTTTTGTGTTTATCCCCATGTTTTATCCCAATTTCTGTGTTTATTCCCGTGTTTTCATCCCTCATTTTGTGTTTTCATCCCTCACTTTGTGTTTATTCCATCCCCAATTTTGTGTTTATTCCCAATTTTATCCCAATTTCCGTGTTTATTCCCGCATTTTATCCCAATTTCTGTGTTTATTCCCGTATTTTATCCCAATTTCTGTGTTTACTCCCGCATTTTATCCCAATTTTTGTGTTTGTTCCCATGTTTGATCCCAATTTTTGTGTTTGTTCTGATTATTTGATCCCAATTTTTGTGTTTATTCCCATATTTTCATCCCTGATTTTTTTTACCCCTGATTTTCTGTTTATCCCAAGTTTTTATCCCAATTTTTGTGTTTATCCCCATGTTTTATCCCAATTTCTGTGTTTATTCCCGTGTTTTCATCCCTCATTTTGTGTTTTCATCCCTCATTTTGTGTTTATTCCATCCCTGATTTTGTGTTTATTCCCAATTTGATCCCAATTTCCGTGTTTTTTCCCAATTTTAATCCCAATTTCTGTGTTTATTCCCATATTTTATCCCAATTTCTGTGTTTATTCCCTCATTTTATCCCAATTTCTGTGTTTATTCCCGTATTTGATCCCAATTTCTGTGTTTATTCCCAGTTTTATCCCAATTTCTGTGTTTATTCCTGCATTTGATCCCAATTTCTGTGTTTATTCCCATTTTTTCTTCCCAGTTTCTGTGTTTATTCCCGTATTTGATCCAAATTTCTGTGTTTATTCCCGTATTTTATCCCAATTTCTGTGTTTATTCCCGCATTTTATCCCAATTTTTGTGTTTATTCCCATATTTTCATCCCTGATGTTTTTTACTCCTGATTTTCTGTTTATCCCAAGTTTTTATCCCAATTTCTGTGTTTATTCCTGTGTTTTCATCCCTCATTTTGTGTTTTCATCCCTCATTTTGTGTTTATTCCATCCCCAATTTTGTGTTTATTCCCAATTTTATCCCAATTTGTGTTTATTCCTGCATTTTATCCCAATTTCTGTATTTATTCCCGCATTTTATCCCAATTTCTGTGTTTGTTCCCATGTTTGATCCCAATTTTTGTGTTTGTTCTGATTATTTGATCCCAATTTTTGTGTTTATTCCCATATTTTCATCCCTGATTTTTTTTACCCCTGATTTTCTGTTTATCCCAAGTTTTTATCCCAATTTTTGTGTTTATCCCCATGTTTTATCCCAATTTCTGTGTTTATTCCCGTGTTTTCATCCCTCATTTTGTGTTTTCATCCCTCATTTTGTGTTTATTCCATCCCCAATTTTGTGTTTATTCCCTCATTTTATCCCAATTTCTGTGTTTATTCCCGTATTTGATCCCAATTTCTGTGTTTATTCCCATTTTTTCATCCCAATTTCTGTGTTTATTCCCGCATTTTATCCCAATTTCTGTGTTTATTCCCATGTTTTCATCCCTGATTTTTTTTACCCCTGATTTTCTGTTTATCCCACGTTTTTATCCCAATTTCTGTGTTTATCCCCATGTTTTATCCCAATTTTTGTGTTTATTCCCGTGTTTTCATCCCTCATTTTGTGTTTTCATCCCTCATTTTGTGTTTATTCCATCCCTGATTTTGTGTTTATTCCCAATTTGATCCCAATTTCTGTGTTTATTCCCGTGTTTTATCCCAATTTCTGTGTTTATTCCCGTGTTTTATCCCAATTTCTGTGTTTATTCCCATATTTTCATCCCTGATTTTTTTTACCCCTGATTTTCTGTTTATCCCAAGTTTTTATCCCAATTTTTGTGTTTATCCCCATGTTTTATCCCAATTTCTGTGTTTATTCCCGTGTTTTCATCCCTCATTTTGTGTTTTCATCCCTCATTTTGTGTTTATTCCATCCCCAATTTTGTGTTTATTCCCTCATTTTATCCCAATTTCTGTGTTTATTCCCGTATTTGATCCCAATTTCTGTGTTTATTCCCATTTTTTCATCCCAATTTCTGTGTTTATTCCCGCATTTTATCCCAATTTCTGTGTTTATTCCCATGTTTTCATCCCTGATTTTTTTTACCCCTGATTTTCTGTTTATCCCACGTTTTTATCCCAATTTCTGTGTTTATCCCCATGTTTTATCCCAATTTTTGTGTTTATTCCCGTGTTTTCATCCCTCATTTTGTGTTTTCATCCCTCATTTTGTGTTTATTCCATCCCTGATTTTGTGTTTATTCCCAATTTGATCCCAATTTCTGTGTTTATTCCCGTATTTGATCCCAATTTCTGTGTTTATTCCTGTATTTTATCCCAATTTCTGTGTTTATTCCCACATTTGATCCCAATTTCTGTGCTTATTCCCGCATTTGATCCCAATTTCTGTGTTTATTCCCATGTTTTCATCCCTGTTTTTTTTCGCCCCTGATTTTCTGTTTATCCCAAGCTTTTATCCCAATTTCTGTGTTTATTCACGTGTTTTCATCCTTCATTTTGTGTTTTCATCCCTCAATTTGTGTTTATTCCATCCTTGATTTTTTGTTTATTCCCAATTTGATCCCAATTTCTGTGTTTATTCCCGCATTTTATCCCAATTTTTGTGTTTATTCCCATATTTTCATCCCTGATGTTTTTTACTCCTGATTTTCTGTTTATCCCAAGTTTTTATCCCAATTTCTGTGTTTATTCCCGTATTTTATCCCAATTTCTGTGTTTATTCCCATGTTTTCATCCCTGATTTTTTTTACCCCTGATTTTCTGTTTATCCCAAGTTTTTATCCCAATTTCTGTGTTTATTCCTGTGTTTTCATCCCTCATTTTGTGTTTTCATCCCTGATTTTGTGTTTATTCCATCCCTGATTTTGTGTTTATTCCCAATTTTATCCCAATTTCTGTGTTTATTCCCGTATTTACCCCAATTTCTGTGTTTATTCCCAATTTGATCCCAATTTCTGTGTTTATTCCCATGTTTTCATCCCTGATTTTGTGTTCTCATCCCAATTTTTGTGTTTGTTCCCATATTTGATCCCAATTTTTGTGTTTATTCCCATGTTTTCATCCCTGATTTTTTTTACCCCTGATTTTCTGTTTATCCCAAGTTTTTATCCCAATTTTTGTGTTCATCCCCATGTTTTATCCCAATTTTTGTGTTTATTCCCGTGTTTTCATCCCTCAATTTGTGTTTTCATCCCTCATTTTGTGTTTATTCCATCCCCGATTTTGTGTTTATTCCCATTTTTTCATCCCAATTTCTGTGTTTATTCCCAATTTGATCCCAATTTCTGTGTTTATTCCCAATTTGATCCAAATTTCTGCGTTTATTCCCGTATTTGATCCCAATTTCTGTGTTTATTCCATTTTTTCATCCCAATTTCTGTGTTTATTCCCGCATTTGATCCCAATTTCCGTGTTTTTTCCCAATTTTGATCCCAATTTCTGTGTTTATTCCCATTTTTTCATCCCAATTTCTGTGTTTATTCCCATTTTTTCATCCCAATTTCTGTGTTTTTTCCCAATTTTAATCCCAATTTCCGTGTTTTTTCCCAATTTGATCCCAATTTCCCTGTTTATTCCCAATTTGATCCCAATTTCCGTGTTTATTCCCGTATTTGATCCCAATTTCTGTGTTTTTCCCCCATTTTTCCGTGTTCTGCAGGTTCTGTCCTGCCTGGTGCAGATCGCCTCCGTGCGCCGCTCGCTCTTCAACAACGCCGAGCGCGCCAAGTTCCTCTCGCACCTGGTGGACGGAGTCAAACGGATCCTGGAGAACCCCCAGGTCAGATTCCGGGGAATCCCAAAAAATCCTTCTCGTGGGAAAAAAATTCATGGAAAAAATCGTTTTTGTGGGGAAAAAATTGCATGGAAAAGTCATTTTCAATGGGAAAAAATTGCCTGGAAAAGTCCTTTTCACGGGGAAAAAAATGTCATGGGAAAAAAATTCATGGAAATAATCCTTTTCATGGGAAAAAAATTGCATGGAAAAAAATCCTTTCCATGGGAAAAAAATTGCATGGAATAAATCCTTTTCGTGGGAAGAAATTTCTTAGAAAAGTCCTTTTCATGGGGAAAAAAATGTCGTGGGAAAAATCCTTTTAGTGGGAAAAAAATTGCATGGAAAAAATCCTTTTCATAGATTTAATGGAAAAAAAAATTGCATGGAAAAAATCCTTTTTGTTGATTTCATGGAAAAAATACTTTTTGTGGATTTCATGGAAAAAATCCTTTTTGTGGATTTCATGGAAAAAATCCTTTTCGTGGATTTCATGGAAAAAATCCTTTTCGTGGATTTCATGGAAAAAAATCCTTTTTTTGGATTTCATGAGAAAAATTCCATCCCAAAAAAATCCTTTCGATGGATTTCACGGGAGAAATTTCATGGAAAAAATCCTTTTTGTGGGGAAAAAATTTCCTGGGAAAGTCCTTCTCATGGGGAAAAAAATGTCGTGGGAAAAATCCTTTTTGTGGGAAAAAATTTCATGTGAAAAATCCTTTTTGTGGGGAAAAATTTCATGGAAAAGTCCTTTTCATGGGAAGAATTTCCTGCAGGAACAATTTCCCCATTGGAAGGGATTTAAAAGCTGGAAGCATCCCTGGAAATGCCCAAAAACCAGGAAATGTGGGAATTGCTGACCTGGTTTAATGGGCAGAGTGGGATTTGTTGGGAATTGTTCTTGGAGCTCTCTCTGATTCCAGGATGATCCATCAGATCCTCTGGCAGCAGAGCTGCTCCTGCAGGAACAATTCTCCATTGGAAGGGATTTAAGGGCTGGAAATGCCCAAAAATCAGGAAATGTGGGAATTGCTGATCTGGTTTAATGGGCAGAGTGGGATTTGTTGGGAGCTTGGGCTTGTTCTTGGAATCCTGATCCTCTGGCCCTGGGCAGCAGAGCTGCTCCTGTAGGAACAATTCTCCATTTAATTTAAGGGATTTAAGGGCTGGAAATGCCCAAAAACCAGGAAATGTGGGAATTGCTGACCTGGTTTAATGGGCAGAGTGGGATTTGTTGGGAATTGTTCTTGGAGCTCTCTCTGATTCCAGGATGATCCATCAGATCCTCTGGCAGCAGAGCTGCTCCTGCAGGAACAATTTCCCCATTGGAGGGGACTTAAGGGCTGAGTGGGATTTGATTTGAGGAACAATTTCCCCATTGGAAGGGATTTAAAGGCTGGAAGCATCCCTGGAAATGCCCAAAAATCAGGAAATGTGGGAATTGCTGACCTGATTTAATGGGCAGAGTGGGATTTCTTTGAGCTTGTTCTCAGAGAAATTGTTGTCTCTGATTCCACCATGCTCTGATCCTCTGGCCGGGGCCAGCAGAGCTTCTCCTGTAGGAACAATTCTCCATTTAATTTAAGGGATTTAAGGGCTGGAAATGCCCAAAAACCAGGAAATGTGGGAATTGCTGATCTGGTTTAATGGGCAGAGTGGGATTTGTTGGGAAATGTTCTTGGATCTCTCTCTGATTCCAGGATGATCCATCCCAGCCTCTGACAGCAGAGCTGCTCCTGTAGGAACAATTCTCCATTTAATTTAAGGGATTTAAGGGCTGGAAATGCCCAAAAACCAGGAAATGTGGGAATTGCTGACCTGGTTGAATGGCAGAGTGGGATTTGTGTGACCTCATTCTCAGAGCTCTCTCCAGTTTCCCGATGATTCCATGTCCCACCCGGGGCCAGCCCGGCTGCTCCCGACTCCTCTCCTCCTCTCTCTGTGCCCGCAGAGTCTGTCGGACCCCAACAATTACCACGAGTTCTGCCGGCTGCTGGCCCGGCTGAAGAGCAATTACCAGCTGGGGGAGCTGGTGAAGGTGGAGAACTACCCCGAGGTGATCCGCCTGATCGCCAACTTCACCGTCACCAGCCTGCAGGTACGGGAAAAACGGGAATTTCCACCCAAAATCCCCACCGCAGTTCCCGCACGGAGCCCACCTGGGTGGAAAGCGACAGTCGTTTGGGTTTTTAAATTTGTACAGTTGAATAATAATCAAATTATTCAATAGTAATTGAGTAATAACGTTTAGAGTGAGGATATAAAGTAATAAAGTTTGTTACAAGGCAATAAAAAGCAAAGAATCCCCCTCTGAATTCCTGCATGGAATCCAGCTGGGCGAAAAGCGACAGTCGCTTGGGTTTTAAAATTTTTACAAGTTGAATAATAATCAAATGGTTATAGAAATAATAATGCAATTAGGGTGATAAAGTTTAGAGTGAGGATAAAAGAATCCCCCTCTGAATTCCTGCATGGAATCCACCTGGGCGAAAAGCGACAGTCGCTTGGGTTTTAAAATTTTTACAGTTGAATAATAATCAAATTATTCAATAGTAATTGAAGTAATAATTGAGTAATAAAGTTTAGAGTGAGGATATAAAGTAATAAAGTTTATTACAGGGCAATAAAAAGCAAAGAATCCCCCTCTGAATTCCGGCACGGAATCCACCTGGGCGAAAAGCGACAGTCGTTTGGGTTTTTAAATTTGTACAGTTGAATAATAATCAAATTATTCAATAGTAATTGAGTAATAACGTTTAGAGTGAGGATATAAAGTAATAAAGTTTGTTACAAGGCAATAAAAAGCAAAGAATCCCCCTCTGGATTCCTGCATGGAATCCACCTGGGCAAAAAGCGACAGTCGTTTGGGTTTTAAAATTTTTACAGTTGAATAATAATCAAATTATTCAATAGTAATTGAAGTAATAATTGAGTAATAACATCTAGAGTGAGGATATAAAGTAATAAAGTTTGTTACAAGGCAATAAAAAGCAAAGAATCCCCCTCTGGATTCCTGCATGGAATCCACCTGGGCGAAAAGCAACAGTTGTTTGGGTTTAAAATTTTTACAGTTGAATAATAATCAAATTATTCAATAGTAATTGAGTAATAACGTTTAGAGTGAGGATATAAAGTAATAAAGTTTGTTACAAGGCAATAAAAAGCAAAGAATCCCCCTCTGAATTCCTGCATGGAATCCACCTGGGCGAAAAGCGACAGTCGCTTGGGTTTTAAAATTTTAAAAATAATAATATGGTTATGAAAATAAGAATACAATTAGATTTTTTTATAAAAATAGGAATACAATTAGAGTGATAAAGTTTAGAGTGAGAATAAAAAAATCCCCCTCTGAATTCCTGCATGGAATCCACCTGTGTGAAAATCGCCAGTCGTTTGGGTTTTAAAATTTGTACAGTTGAATAATAATCAAATTATTCAATAGTAATTGAAGTAATAATTGAGTAATAAAGTTTAGAGTGAGGATATAAAGTAATAAAGTTTATTACAGGGCAATAAAAAGCAAAGAATCCCCCTCTGAATTCCGGCACGGAATCCACCTGGGCGAAAAGCGACAGTCGTTTGGGTTTTAAATTTTTACAGTTGAATAATAATCAAATTATTCAATAGTAATTGAAGTAATAACGTTTAGAGTGAGGATATAAAGTAATAAAGTTTGTTACAAGGCAATAAAAAGCAAAGAATCCCCCTCTGGATTCCTGCATGGAATCCACCTGGGCGAAAAGTGACAGTTGCTTGGGTTTTAAAATTTTTACAAGTTGAATAATAATCAAATGGTTATAGAAATAATAATGCAATTAGGGTGATAAAGTTTAGAGTGAGGATAAAAGAATCCCCCTCTGAATTCCTGCATGGAATCCACCTGGGCGAAAAGCGACAGTCACTTGGGTTTTAAAATTTTTACAGTTGAATAATAATCAAATTATTCAATAGTAATTGAAGTAATAATTGAGTAATAAAGTTTAGATTGAGGATATAAAGTAATAAAGTTTATTACAGGGCAATAAAAAGCAAAGAATCCCCCTCTGAATTCCTGCATGGAATCCAGGCCAGTGGAAAGAAGTGAGGATTAAACACATTCTCACCCAAATTTTGAGAGAAAAACTTGAGTCAAACCACACAAATCATAACTCCTGGTTTGTTTTCCTTCTCCTTTCCCCATGGCAACAATGGGAATTTGCTCCCAACAGTGTGCTCTGAAATTCCTGGTTAATTTGGCCACCAGGCCATTCAAGGCCAGTGGAAGGTGTAGTGAGCTGAGCATTAAAACCTTCCAGGACAAATTCTGAGGGAAAAACTTAAACCAAACACCACAAACCATAACTGCCTGCTTTATTTTCTTTCTCTTTTCCCTCTGGAAGCACTGGGAATTTGCTCCCAGCAGTGTGCCCTGAAATTCCTGATTAATTTGGCCACCAGGCCAATGGCAGGAACTGAGCTTTAAACACCTTCCCACCCAAATTCTGAGGGAAAAACTCAAGTCAAACCACACAAATCATAACTCCCTGGCTTGTTTTCCTTCTTTTTTTTCCCCCTGAAAGAATTGGGAATTTGCTCCCTACATTCTGCTCTGAAATTCCTGCTTAATTTGGCAACCAGGCTATTAAAGGCCAGTGGAATGTCCAGCAAGCTGATCATTAAACACCTTCTAGGACAAATTCTGTGGGAAAAAGTCAAGTTAAAACACACAAATCATAACTGCCTGGTTTGTTTTCCTTCTGTTTTCCCTCTGGAAGCAATGGGAATTTGCTCCCAGCAGTGTGCACCGAAATTCCTGATTAATTTGACCATCAGGCCAGTGGCAGGAACTGAGCTTTAAACACCTTCCCACCCAAATTCTGAGGGAAAAACTCAAGTCAAACCACACAAATCATAACTCCCTGGCTTGTTTTCCTTCTTTTTTTTTTTTCCCTGAAAGAATTGGGAATTTGCTCCCTACATTCTGCTCTGAAATTCCTGCTTAATTTGGCAACCAGGCTATTAAAGGCCAGTGAAATGTCCAGCAAGCTGATCATTAAACACCTTCTAGGACAAATTCTGTGGGAAAAAGTCAAGTCAAACCACACAAATCATAACTGCCTGGTTTGTTTTCCTTCTGTTTTCCCTCTGGAAGCAATGGGAATTTGCTCCCAGCAGTGTGCACCGAAATTCCTGATTAATTTGACCATCAGGCCAGTGGCAGGAACTGAGCTTTAAACACCTTCCCACCCAAATTCTGAGGGAAAAACTTAAGTCAAACCACACAAATCCTAACTGCTGGTGTGTTTTCCTTCTCCTTTCCCCACGGCAGCAATGGGAATTTGCTCCCAACAGTGTGCTCTGAAATTCCTGCTTAATTTGGCCACCAGGCCATTCAAGGCCAGTGGAAGGTGGAGTGAGCTGAGCATTAAAAGCTTCCAGGACAAATTCTGAGGGAAAAACTTAAATCAAACAACACAAATTGTAACTCCTTGCTTTGTTTTCCTTCTTTTTTTCCCCTCTGGAAGCACTGGGAATTTTCTTCCACCAGTGTGCTTTGAAATTCCTGGTTAATTTGGCCACCAGGCCATTCAAGGCCAGTGGAAGGTAGAAGAAACGGAGCTTTAAACACCTTCCCCCCCAAATTCTGAGGGAAAAACTTAAACCAAACGACACAAATCCTAACTGCTGGTGTGTTTTCCTTCTCCTTTCCCTGTGGCAGCACTGGGAATTTACTCCCACCATTGTGCTCAGAAATTCCTGGTTAATTTGGCCACCCGGCCATTCAAGGCCAGTGGAAGGTGAAGCGAGCTGAGCTGTAAAACCTTCCAGGACAAATTCTGAGGGAAAAACTTAAACCAAACCACACAAATCCTAACTGCTGGTGTGTTTTCCTTGACTTTTGCCCGCGGCAGCACTGGGAATTTGCTCCCAACAGTGTGCCCTGAAATTCCTGGTTAATTTGGCCAAGAGGCCAGTGGAAAGTGCAGCAAGCAGAGCATTAAACACCTTCCAGGACAAATTCTGAGGGAAAAACTCAAGTCAAACAACACAAATTGTAACTCCTTGCTTTGTTTTCCTTCCTTTTTTCCCCTCTGGAAGCACTGGGAATTTTCTTCCACCAGTGTGCTTTGAAATTCCTGGTTAATTTGGCCACCAGGCCATTCAAGGCCAGTGGAAGGTAGAAGGAACGGAGCTTTAAACACCTTCCCACCTAAATTCTGAGGGAAAAACTCAAGTCAAACCACACAAATCCTAACTGGTGGTGTGTTTTCCTTCTCCTTTCCCTGTGGCAGCACTGGGAATTTGCTCCCAACAGTGTGCTCTGAAATTCCTGGTTAATTTGGCCACCAGGCCAGTGGAAAGTGCAGCAAGCAGAGCATTAAACACCTTCCAGGACAAATTCAGTGGGAAAAACTCAAGTCAAACAACACAAATTGTAACTCCTTGCTTTGTTTTCCTTCTTTTTTTCCCCTCTGGAAGCACTGGGAATTTTCTTTCACCAGTGTGCTTTGAAATTCCTGGTTAATTTTGCCACCAGGCCATTCAAGGCCGGTGGAAGGTAGAAGGAACGGAGCTTTAAACACCTTCCCACCTAAATTCTGAGGGAAAAACTTAAACCAAACGACACAAATCCTAACTGCTGGTGTGTTTTCCTTCTCCTTTCCCCATGGCAGCACTGGGAATTCGCCCCCAACAGCGTGCTCTGAAATTCCTGCTTAATTTTGCCACCAGGCCATTCAAGGCCAGTGGAAGGTGTAGTGAGCTGAGCATTAAAACCTTCCAGGACAAATTCTGAGGGAAAAACTTAAATCAAACAACACAAATTGTAACTCCTTGCTTTGTTTTCCTTCTTTTTTTCCCCTCTGGAAGCACTGGGAATTTTCTTTCACCAGTGTGCGTTGAAATTCCTGGTTAATTTGGCCACCAGGCCATTCAAGGCCAGTGGAAGGTAGAAGGAACGGAGCTTTAAACACCTTCCCACCTAAATTCTGAGGGAAAAACTTAAACCAAACCACACAAATCTTAACTGCTGGTGTGTTTTCCTTCTCCTTTCCCTGTGGCAGCACTGGGAATTTGCTCCCAACAGTGTGCTCTGAAATTCCTGGTTAATTTGGCCACCAGGCCATTCAAGGCCAGTGGAAGGTGTAGTGAGCTGAGCATTAAAACCTTCCAGGACAAATTCTGAGGGAAAAACTTAAATCAAACAACACAAATTGTAACTCCTTGCTTTGTTTTCCTTCTTTTTTTCCCCTCTGGAAGCACTGGGAGTTTTCTTTCACCATTGTGCTTTGAAATTCCTGGTTAATTTTGCCACCAGGCCATTCAAGGCCAGTGGAAGGTGCAGTGAGCTGAGCTTTAAACACCTTCCCACCCAAATTCTGAGGGAAAAACTTAAACCAAACCACACAAATCCTAACTGCTGGTTTGTTTTCCTTGTCTTTTCCCCGCGGCAGCACTGGGAATTTGCTCCCAACAGTGTGCTCTGAAATTCCTGCTTAATTTGGCCACCAGGCCATTCAAGGCCAGTGGAAGGTAGAAGGAATGGAGCTTTAAGCACCTTCCCACCCAAATTCTGAGGGAAAAACTTAAATCAAACCACACAAATCATAACTCCTGGTTTGTTTTCCTTGTCTTTTCCCCGTTGAAGCACTGGGAATTTGCTCCCAACAGTGTGCTCTGAAATTCCTGGTTAATTTGGCCACCAGGCCATTCAAGACCAGTGGAAGGTAGAAGGAACTGAGCATTAAACACCTTCCAGGACAAATCCAGTGGGAAAAACTCAAGTCAGACCACACAAATCATAACTCCTGGTTTGTTTTCCTTCTCCTTTCCCTGTGGCAGCACTGGGAATTCGCCCCCAACAGCGTGCACTACCTGCTGAGCCTGTGGCAGCGCCTGGCCGCCTCGGTGCCCTACGTGAAGGCCACGGAGCCGCACATGCTGGAGACCTACACGCCCGAGGTGACCAAAGCCTACATCACCTCCCGCCTGGAGTCCGTGCACATCATCCTCAGGTCAGCCATTCCCACCCCGGGGTCTCCACAGCCTCTCCTGATGATCCCAAAGCTGGGATGAGCAGAGGGGATCCCCCTGGGGAGGACATGGCTGGGGCGGCGTGGTGGGAGGTGTCCCTGCACGTGAGGGATTGGGGCTCTTTGCAGCATAAATCAGAATTCTCTGCTTGGTTTGCCTTCTCTTTTTCCTCTGGAAGCGCTGGGAATTTGCTCCCAGCAGTGTGCTCTGAAATTCCTGCTTAATTCAGCAACCTGGCTGGTGGAAGGAACTGAGCTTTAAGCACCTTCCCACACAATTTCTGAGGGAAAAACTTAAATCAAACAACACAAATCATAACTCCTTGGTTTGTTTTCCTTCTCTTTTTCCTGTGGAAGCACTGGGAATTTACTCCCAACAGTGTGCCCTGAAATTCCTGGTTCATTTGGCCACTAAAGGCCAGTGGAAGGTGCAGCGAGCAGAGCATTGAACACCTTCCATCCCAAATTCTGTGGAAAAAAAACCAAGTCAAACAACACAAATCATAACCCCCTGCTTTTTCCTTCTCTTTTCCCTCTGGAAGCACTGGGAATTTACTCCCAATGTTGTGCTCTGAAATTCCTGGTTAATTTGGCCACAAGGCCATTAAAGGCAAGCAGAAGGTTCAGCAAGCTGGGCTTTAAACCCTTCCAGCCCAAATTCTGAGGGACAAACTTAAATCAAACAACACAAATTGTAACTCCCTGGATTGTTTTCCTTCTCTTTTCCCTCTGGAAGCACTGGGAATTAGTCCCACCAGTGTGCTCTGAAATTCCTGCTTAATTTGGACACCCGACCATTAAAGCCCAGTGCAAGGTGCATCAAGCTAAGCTTTAAAAGCTTCCCGCCCAAATTCTGAGGGAAAAACTTAAATCAAACAACACAGATTATAACTTCTTGTTTTGTTTTCCTCCTGTTTTTCCTGTGGAAGCACTGGGAATTTTCTTCCACCATTGTGCTCTGAAATTCCTGGTTCATTTGGCAGCCAGGCCTGTGGAAGGTGCAAAACCCTCTGATTTTAAGGAACCCCACAGGGAGTTCCCTGCTCCATTTCCCACATGGGTTTTGCCCAATCCCCTCTGATTTTACGGAATCCCACAGGGCGTTCCCTGCTCCATTTCCCACATGGGTTTTGCCCAAAATCCTCTGATTTTAAGGAACCCCACAGGGAGTTCCCTGCTCCTTTTTCCCCGTGGCTTTTGCCCAATCCCCTCTGATTTTAAGGAATCCCACAGGGAGTTCCCTGCTCCATTTCCCACATGGGTTTTGCCCAATCCCCTCTGATTTTAAGGAACCCCACAGGGCGTTCCCTGCTCCATTTCCCCCGTGGGTTTTGCCCGAAACCCTCTGATTTTAAGGAACCCCACAGGGAGTTCCCTGCTCCATTTCCCACATGGGTTTTGCCCAAACCCCTCTGATTTTACGGAATTCCAGATGGGGGTGCCCTGCTCCATTTCCCCCGTGGGTTTTGCAGGGATGGCCTGGAGGACCCTCTGGAGGACACGGGGCTGGTGCAGCAGCAGCTGGACCAGCTGTCCACCATCGGGCGCTGCGAGTACGAGAAGACGTGCGCGCTGCTGGTGCAGCTCTTCGACCAGGCCGCCCAGTCCTACCAGGAGCTGCTGCAGAGCGCCAGCGCCAGCCCCATGGACCTGGCGGTGCAGGAAGGTCAGCCGGGCTCCTGCCCTGCCAGGGCTGGGGTGGTGTGGGTGCTCCTTGGGAGAGGTTCTGTATCCAGTGGTGCCCATCCCATGGATCCCATCCCATGGATCCCATCCCATGGATCCCATCCCATGGATCCCATCCCATCAGTGCCCCCAGCAGCCCCATGGACCTGGCGGTGCAGGAAGGTCAGCGGGGCTCCTGCTCTGCCAGGGCTGGGGTGGTGTGGGTGCTCCTTGGGAGAGGTTCTGTATCCAGTGGTGCCCATCCTGTCTGATGGATCCCATCCCATGGATCCCATCCCATCTCATGGATGCCATCCCATGGATCCCATTCCATTGATCCCATCCCATCCCATCCCATGGATTCCATCCCATCTCATGGATGCCATCCCATCGATCCCATCACATTCCATCCCATCCCATGGATCCCATCCCATATCCCATCCCATGGATCCCATCCCATCTCATGGATCCCATCCCGTCCTATCCCATAGATCCCATCACATCCCATCCCATGGATCCCAATCCCATCCCATAAATCTCAGTCCCATGGATCCCAATTCCATCCCTTGGATCCCATCCCATGGATCCCATCCCATCCCATCCCTTTCCATTGATCGCATCCCATGGATCCCAATTCCATCCCTTGGATCCCATCCCATGGATCCCAGCCCAGCCCAGCCCATGGATCCCATCCCATCTCATGGATGCCATCCCATCCCATCCCATAGATCCCATCACATCCCATCCCATCCCATGGATCCCATCACATGGATCCCATCGCATCCCATCCCATAAATCTCAGTCCCATGGATCCCAATTCCATCCCATGGATCCCATCCTATGGATCCCATCCCATCCCAAGGATCCCATCCCATGGATCCCATCCCATGGATCCCATCCCATCCATCCCATCCCATCCCATCCATCCCATCCCATGGATCCCATCACTTGGATCCCATCGCAATCCCATGGATCCCAAATCCCATCTCATCCCAAATCCCAATCCCATGGATCCCATCCCATGGATCCCATCCCATGGATCCCATCCCAAATCCCATCCCATCCATCCCATCCATCCCATCCATCCCATCCCATCCCATCGATCCCATCCCATGGATCCCATCACTTGGATCCCATCGCAATCCCATGGATCCCAAATCCCAATCCCATGGATCCCATCCCATAGATCCCCCTCCATCCCATGGATATTTTGGAGGAAAACTCATTTATTTTGGGAAGAAACGGATTTTTTTGAGGGGGGAAAAACGGATTTATTTTGGGGAAAAACGGATTTCTTCTGGGATTTCTTTCGCCGGACGGTGCCAACCCCGGTGCCAGCCTGACCCTGTCCCCGTGTCCCCGTGTCCCCAGGGCGGCTGACGTGGCTGGTTTACATCATCGGCGCCGTCATCGGCGGCCGCGTCTCCTTCGCCAGCACGGACGAGCAGGACGCCATGGACGGGGAGCTGGTCTGCAGGTGGGAATGGCGGGAGAATCCACAGGGAATTCCGGGGAAATCCACCTGGGAATGATGGGAGAATCTGCCGGGAATTCCCAGGAAAATCCACCTGGGAATGCCAGCAGAATCCGCCAGGAATTCCAGGGAAATCCAGATTGAATTCCAGGGAAATCCACCTGGGGATGGTGGGGGAATCCAGAGGGAATTCCAGGGAAATCCATCCGGGAATGCTGGGAGAATCTGCCGGGAATTCCAGGGAAATCCATCCAGGATTCATAGGGGAATCTAGAGGGAATGCCAGGGAAATCCACCTGGAAATTCCAGGAAAATCCACCTGGGAATGCCAGGGGAATCCAGCAGGAATTCCAGGGAAACCCACCTGGGAATTCCAGGGAAACCCACCTGGGAATGCCAGGGAAATCCATCCAGGAATTCCAAGAAAATCCATCCAGGAATTCCAGCAGAATCCATGTGGGAATGCCAGGAAAATCTATCCAGGAATGCCAGGAAAATCCACCCGGGAATTCCAGGAAAATCCCCCAGGGATATTCCAGCAAAATTCCCCCAATGATATTCCAGCAAAGCCCACCAGGATATTCCCTTAAATCCACCTGGGAATTCCAGCAGAATCCACCCAGGAATGCCAGGGAAATCCAGCCGGGAATGCCGGAGAATCCAGCGAGAATTCCAGGGAAATCCACCTGGGATATTCCATTAAATCCACCCGGGACATTCCATTAAATCCATCCGAGATATTCCATTAAATCCAGCCAGGATATTTCATTAACTGGATATACTGACAATTCCTGGGAATATTTGGCTTGGAAAATTCAGATTTTATGATGTTGTGACCTGGATTTCTGGGATTCGAATCCAGTGGGAATTTGGGTTGTAACAGAAAACAAGGGGGGAAGAACAGGGAAAATTGAATTTTTGTCTCCCCCATTTTCCCCCATTTCACGCCCTCTTTTCCCCCTTTTCCTTCCCTTTCTCCCCCCTTTTCCCCTTCTTTCCCCACTTCCTTTCTTTCCCCTTCTTTCCCCTTCTTTCCTCTCTTTCCTTTCTTTTCCCCCTTTTCTTTCCCCCTTTTCCCATTTTCTTCCCCCTTTTCCCCATTTTCTTTCCCCCTTTTTCCCGTTTTCTTTCCCCCTTTTCCCATTTTCTTTTCCCCTTTTCCCATTTTCTTTCCCCCTTTTTCCTGTTTTTCTTTCCCCTTTTTTCCCCTTTTCTTCCCCCATTTTCTTTCCCCTTTTCCCCATTTTCTTTCCCCTTTTCCCCATTTTCTTTCCCCTTTTCCCCTTTCCCATCCCCCTTTTCCCCTTTCCCATCCCCTTTTCCCGTTTCCATCCCCCTTTTCCCCATTTCCCATCCCCTTTTTTCCCCTTTCCCATCCCCGTTTTCCCGTTTCCCATCCCTTTTCCCCTTTCCCACCCTTTTCCCCCTTTCCCATCCCCGTTTTTTCCCTTTCCCATCCCCTTTTCCCATTTCCCATCCCCTTTTCCCATTTCCCATCCCCCTTTTCCCCTTTCCCATCCCCCTTTTCCCCTTTCCCATCCCCTTTTCCCCTTTCCCATCCCCTTTTCCCCTTTCCCACCCCCTTTTTCCCCTTTCCTTTCTCCCTTTTCCCATTTCCCATCCCCTTTTCCCATTTCTTATCCCCTTTTCTCCCCTTTCCCACCCCCTTTTTTCCCCTTTCCCATCCCCGGTTTTCCCCTTTCCCATCCTTTTCCCCCTTTCCCATCCCCTTTTTTCCCCTTTCCCATCCCCTTTCCCCCTTTCCCACCCCCCTTTTCCCCTTTCCCACCCTTTTTCCCTTTCCCATCCCCTTTTCCCCTTTTCCATGCCCCTTTTCCCCCTTTCCCATCCCTTTTTCCCGGATCCCAGGGTGCTGCAGCTGATGAACCTGACGGACTCGCGGCTGGCGCAGGCGGGGAACGAGAAGCTGGAGCTGGCCATGCTCAGCTTCTTCGAGCAGTTCCGCAAGATCTACATCGGGGACCAGGTCCAGAAATCCTCCAAGGTAGGATCCCGAATTCCCAGAAATCCCGGATTTTCCCTTCATCCGGGGCAGGGAAACTCTCAAATCCCACCTTTCCTTCCTCCGAGGTGGGGATCCCAAATATCCCGGATTTCCCTTCATCCAGGGCAGGGAAAGTCCCAGATACCCTGGATTTCCGGGGAATTCCCAAATCCCATATTTCCTGGGAATTCCCCAATCCCGGATTTCCTGGGAATTCCCAAATCTCGGATTTCGTGGGAATTCCTAAATCCCGGATTTCCGTGGAATTCCCAAATCCTGGCTGTCCTTGGAATTTCCAAATCCCAGCTTTCCTTCCTCCAAGGTAGGGATCCCAAATCCCAGATGTCCTGGGAATTCCCAAATCCCAAATTTCCGGGGAATTCCCAAATCTCAGCTTTCCGGGGAATTCCCAAATCCCATCTTTCCGGGGAATTCCCAAATCCCCGATTTCCTGGGAATTCCCAAATCCCAGATTTCCGGGGAATTCCCAAATTCTGGATTTCCTGGGAATTCCCAAATCCCAGCTTTCCTTCCTCCAAGGTAGGGATCCCAAATCCCAGATTTCTGGGGAATTTCCAAATCTCGGCTTTCCTGGGAATTCCCAAATCCCGGATTTCCGGGGAATTCCCAAATCCTGGATTTCCTGGGAATTCCCAAATCCCCAATTTCCTGGGAATTCCCAAATCCCTGATTTCCTGGGAATTCCCCAATCCCGGATTTCCAGGGAATTCCCAAATCCCAGCTTTCCTTCCTCCAAGGTAGGGATCCCAGATCCCGGATTTCCTGGGTATTCCCAAATCCCATATTTCCTGGGAATTCCCAAATCCCAGCTTTCCTGGGAATTCCCAAATCCCATATTTCCTGGGAATTCCCAAATCCCGTATTTCCCTTCATCCAGGGCAGGGAAATTCCCAAATCCCGGATTTCCTGGGAATTCCCAAATCCCGTATTTCCTGGGAATTCCCAAATCGCGGATTTCCTGGGAATTCCCAAATCCCACCTTCCCTTCCTCCAAGGTAGGGATCCCAAATCCCAGATTTCTGGGACAATTCCCAATTTTCCCGGCACTTTGGAAGGATTTTTCCGTGTTTTCTGTTGGCAGCTGTACCGGCGGCTCTCGGAGGTTCTGGGGCTGAACGACGAGACCATGGTGCTGAGCGTCTTCATCGGGAAGATGTGAGTGCCCCACAATTCCAGGGAATTCCTGGAATTCTCGCCCAAAAACCGGGAATTTCCCCCGCTCCCGGGGGGGCAGCGGGGGGTTTTCCAAACGGCCCAAAAGCGCCCCGAAAATGGCAGAAATTGCGGGGAAATTCCATGGATTTCATCAAAATTCCACAGAAATCCCACAGAAATTTGAGGTGCTGCCAATCCCACAGAATTCCAGGGGCCTGGAATCGCAGAGAATTCCAGAGAATTCCAGAGAATTCCAGGTGTAACCAATCCCATGGGAATTCCAGGGGCCTGGAATCCCACAGAATCCCGGAGAATTCCAAGTGTGACCAATCCCAGAGAATCCCAAATTCAGCCAATCCCACAGAATTCCAGAGAATCCCAAATTCTGCCAATCCCACAGAATTCCAGAGAATCCCAAATTCTGCCAATCCCACGGAATTCCAGGTGCAGCAATCCCACAGAGTTCCAGGGGTCTGGAATCCCACAGAATCTCAGAGAATTCCAGAGAATCCCAAATTCTGCCAATTCCATGGAATTCCAGAGAATCCCAAATTCTGCCAATCCCACAGAATTCCAGATGCTGTCAATCCCACGAAATTCCAGAAAATTCCAACATCAGCCAATCCCACAGAATTTCAGAGAATTCCAGGTGTAGCCAACCCCACAGAATCCCAAATTCAGCCAATCCCACAGAATTCCAGAGAATTCCATCTTCAACCAATCCCACAGAATCCCAGGTTCTGCCAATCCCACAGAATTCCAGGTGCAGCTAATCCCACAGAGTTCCAGGGGTCTGGAATCCCATAGAATCCCAGAGAATTCCAGAGAATCCCAAATTCAGCCAATCCCACGGAATCCCAAATTCAGCCAATCCCACAGAATCCCAAATTTCAGCCAATCCCACGGAATCCCAAATTCAGCCAATCCCACGGAATCCCAAATTCAGCCAATCCCACAGAATCCCAAATTCAGCCAATCCCACGGAATCCCAAATTTCAGCCAATCCCACAGAATCCCAAATTTCAGCCAATCCCACGGAATCCCAGCCGCTCCCGATATCCCGAACATCCTCAGATCCATTTTCCCAACCAAACCTCGTTCCCCTCCCGTTTTCGCTCCTGGTGCTGTTGGCAGATGGGAAAAAAACGGTAAAAACCTTGGAAAAAAATCCCGGAAAATTTGGGAAAATCCCGGGAAATTCGGGAAAATCCCAGAAATTCCCTCTGATCCGTGTTTTTCCTCCCCAGCATCACCAACCTGAAGTACTGGGGCCGCTGCGAGCCCATCACCTCCAAGACCCTTCAGCTGCTCAACGACCTCTCCATCGGATATCCTTCGGGAAGAGCTCCCAAATCCCGGGAAAAGCCGGCCGGGAATTCTGCTGGAACAGCAGCCGGGCCACATTCCTGCTTTTCCCCCCGGAATTTTGGGAATCGGGGGCGGGGAGGGAGGGAGGAGCGCGCTGGGATGGGGATGTTGGTGGGAATTGCTGTGGGAACGGGCGGATTTTTGGGAATTCTGCAAGTTCCAGGGAATTCCAGAGGTTTCAGGGAGATTCCACAAGTTCCAGGGATTCTACAAATTCCAGGGAATTCCACAAGATCCAGGGATTCCACAAGTTCCAGGGTTTTCCAGAGGTTCCATGGATTTCCAGAGGTTCCAGAGAATTCCAGAGATTCCAGGGAATTCCAGAGATTCCAGGGAATTCCACAAGTTCCAGGGATTTCCAGAGGTTCCAGGGAATTCCACGGATTCCAGGGAATTCCACAAATTCCAGGGAGTTCCACAAGTTCCGGAGATTCCAGGGAATTCTAGAGGTTTCAGGAATTCCGGAAATTCCAGGAGTTCCTGGGTTTTTCCCCAGATTTGCACAATTTGGGTTTTCCTTGGAACAAACGGAAGAGAATTCCCAAATTCCTGAATTCTCCAGGCCCAGCCCTGTTTTTCCATCATGTTCCTGGAACTGTTTTCCAGGAATTCCAGGAATCCCGGAATTCCCAACCCTGGAATTTTCTCCACTGCGTCTCCCCAGTCTGAGCTGTGCGCAATTCAGATTTTCCTTGGAACAAACAAAAAATTCCCAAATTTCTGAGTGCTCCAGGCCCAATCCCATTTTTCCAGCCCATCCCTAGGAACATTTTCCATGAATTCCAGAATTTCCAGGAATTCAGACATTCCAGGAATTCCTGAAATTTCAGACCCTGAGTTTTTCCCCAGAGCGTCTCCGCAAGCCGAGCTTTGCACAATTTGGATTTTCCTTGGAACAAACAAAAAATTCCCAAATTCCTGAGTGCTCTGGGCCCAATCCCATTTTTCCAGCCTATCCCTGGGAATGTTTTCCAGGAATTCCAGGAATTCCAGACATTCCAGACATTCCAGGAATTCCTGAAATTCCAGACCCGGTGTTTTTCCCCAGGGCGTCTCCCCAAGCAATTCCCAAATTTCTGAGTGCTCCAGGCCCAATCCCATTTTTCCCTCATGTTCCTGGAACTGTTTTCCTGGGAATTTCAGGAATTCCAGTCATTCCAGGAATTCCAGACCCGGAGTTTTTCCCCAGAGTGTCTCCCCAAGCCGAGCTTTGCACAATTTGGATTTTCCTTGGAACAAACCAAAAATTCCCAAATTCCTGAGTTCTCCGGGCCCAATCCCATTTTTCCAGCCCATCCCTGGGAGCATTTCCCGGGAATTTCCCGGGAATTTCTGGAATTGCTCCTTGACGGCCGGCACGTACAGCAGCGTGCGGAAGCTGGTGAAGCTCAGCGCCGTGCAGTTCATGCTCAACAATCACACGGTGAGTGTCCCTTCCCCCCTCCTCATTCCCAAAAAATTCCCACCTGGAATTCCCCTCTGGAATTCCAGCCCCTCCCCAGGTCCCCCTGCTGCTGGGATTTGGGGTTTTTCTGGGATTTTGGGGGTTTTTTTGGGTGGAATTCGTTGGGTTTTGAGGGGTTCGGGTTTGGCGGCGTTGCCCGTTCCCGAAGGTTTCGGTTCTCCGGGAAATCCTGGGAAAATTCCTGGAGAATTCCCGGCCTGGGAGAGGGGCAGGATGGGATCTGGGTCCCTTCCCACCCGGAGCATTCCAGGATTCCAGCAGCGTTTCCAGAGGGATTGCTTTCCAAGAGGTTTTCCAGGAATTTCTTGGAGTTTCTGGAATTCAGGGATGATTTCCTTTCATTTCCCAGATATTTTCCAGGAATTCCTGGAGTTCAGGGAGATGTTCTAGGAATCTCCGGGAGTTCAGGGAGGTTTTCCAGGAATTTCCAGGAATTCCTGGAGTTCAGGGAGATGTTCTAGGAATCTCCGGGAGTTCAGGGAGGTTTTCCAGGAATTTCCAGGAATTCCTGGATTTCAGGGAGGTTTTCCGGGAATGTTGTCCAGGCATACCTGGAATGTTTCCCAGGAATTCCTGGAGTTCAGGGATGATTCCCAGGAATTCCAAGACTGCAGGGATGCATTCCAGGAATTCCCAGGATGATTTTCATGAATTCCTGGTGTTCATGGAGGTTTTTCAGAATGTTTTCCAGGAATTCCTGGAATTAAGGTATGTTTTCCAGGCATTTCCAGGATGATTCCCAGGAATTCCTGCAGTTCATGGAGGTTTTCCAGGCATTTCCCAGATATTTTCCAGGAATTCCTGAAGTTCCCAGGATGTTTTCCAGGCCTTTCCTGAATGATTTCCAGGAATTCGTGCAGTTCATGGAGGTTTTCCAGGCATTTCTGGGAGTTCAGGGAGGTTTTCCAGGATGTTTTCCAGAAATTCCTGGAATTAAGGAATTCTCCAGGGATTGCCAGGAATGTTTCCCAGGAATTGCTGGAGTTCAGGGGTGATTTCCTGGATATTTTCCAGGAATTCTTGGAGTTCAGGGATTATTTCCAGGCATTCCTGGGAATGTTTTCCAGGAATTCCTGGAGTTCAGGGATGATTTCCCAGCATTTCCAGGAGGAATTCCTGGAGTTTCAGGGATGTTTTTCTGGCATGTTTTCCAGGAATTCTTGGAGTTCAGGGATTATTTCCAGAAATAATTTCCAGGAGGATTTTCACGAATTCCTGGAGTTCAGGGAGGTTCTCCAGGCTGTTTTCCAGGCATTCCCGGGATATTTTCCAGGAATTCCCAGGACATTTTCCCAGGAATTCCCAGGACATTTTCCCAGGAATTCCCATTTTTTTCCCTTTTCCAGAGCGAGCACTTTTCCTTCCTGGGGATCCGCAGCCAGTCCAGTCTGTCGGACACGGGCAGCTGGGAATATTTCCCTGGCATTCCCGGGATATTTTCCTGGAATTCCCGGGACATTTTCCATGAATTCCCAGGACATTTTCCCAGGAATTCCCGGGATATTTTCCTGGCATTCCCAGGATATTTTCCTGGCATTCCCGGGATATTTTCCATGAATTCCCAGGACATTTTCCCATGAATTCCCAGGACATTTTCCCAGGAATTCCCAGGACATTTTCCCAGGAATTCCCAGGATATTTTCCCAGGAATTCCTGTTTTTTCCCTTTTCCAGAGCGAGCACTTTTCCTTCCTGGGGATCAACAGGCAGTCCAGCCTGTCGGAGGGAATGTTTTCCCAGGAATTCCCAGGACATTTTCCCAGGAATTCCCATTTTTTTCCCTTTTCCAGAGCGAGCACTTTTCCTTCCTGGGGATCAGCAGCCAGTCCAGCCTGTCGGACACGGGCAGCTGGGAATGTTTTCCTGGAATTCCCGGGATATTTTCCATGAATTCCCAGGACATTTTTCCAGGAATTCCCAGGACATTTTCCCAGGAATTCCCAGGACATTTTCCCAGGAATTCCCGGGACATTTTCCCAGGAATTCCCATTTTTTTCCCTTTTCCAGAGCGAGCACTTTTCCTTCCTGGGGATCCGCAGCCAGTCCAGCCTGTCGGACAAGGGCAGCTGGGAATATTTCCCTGGCATTCCCGGAATATTTTCCTGGAATTCCCGGGACATTTTCCATGAATTCCCAGGACATTTTCCCAGGAATTCCCGGGATATTTTCCTGGCATTCCCAGGATATTTTCCTGGCATTCCCGGGATATTTTCCATGAATTCCCAGGACATTTTCCCATGAATTCCCAGGACATTTTCCCAGGAATTCCCAGGACATTTTCCCAGGAATTCCCAGGACATTTTCCCAGGAATTCCCATTTTTTTCCCTTTTCCAGAGCAAGCACTTTTCCTTCCTGGGGATCAACAGCCAGTCCAGCCTGTCGGAGGGAATGTTTTCCTGGAATTCCCAGGACATTTTCCCAGGAATTCCCAGGACATTTTCCCAGGAATTCCCAGGACATTTTCCCAGGAATTCCCGGGACATTTTCCCAGGAATTCCCATTTTTTTCCCTTTTCCAGAGCGAGCACTTTTCCTTCCTGGGGATCAGCAGCCAGTCCAGCCTGTCGGGCACGGGCAGCTGGGAATGTTTTCCTGGAATTCCCGGGATATTTTCCATGAATTCCCAGGACATTTTTCCAGGAATTCCCAGGACATTTTCCCAGGAATTCACGGGACATTTTCCCAGGAATTCCCAGGACATTTTTCCTGGAATTCCCATTTTTCCCTTTTCCAGAGCGAGCACTTTTCCTTCCTGGGGATCAGCAGCCAGTCCAGCCTGTCGGAGGGAATGTTTTCCTGGAATTCCCAGGACATTTTCCCAGGAATTCCCAGGACATTTTCCCAGGAATTCCTAGGACATTTTCCCAGGAATTCCCAGGACATTTTCCCAGGAATTCCCATTTTTTTCCCTTTTCCAGAGCGAGCACTTTTCCTTCCTGGGGATCAACAGCCAGTCCAGCCTGTCGGACATGCGCTGCCGCACCACCTTCTACACCGCGCTGGGCCGGCTGCTCATGGTGGATTTAGGTATTCCCAAATTCCCAACATTCCTACGGAATTCCGGCTCTTCCCGGCGCGAAGGAAAATCGGGAATTGGGCTTGGAGCAGGGAACAGCCCGGAAAATCAGGGCTTGGATTTTCCCCTCTCAGCAAAACTCGGGGTTGATTTTCCTGTACCAAAATTTGGGATCAATTTTCCCATTCTAAAATACGGGATCGATTTTCTCATCCCAAAAATTGGGACAGATCTTCCCATCCCAAAATTTATGGGATTGATTTTCTCATCGCAAAAATGGGGATCGATTTTCCATCCCAAAAGTTGGGATCGATTTTCCATCTCAACATTTGGGATCGACTTTTCAGTCCCACCAAGATTTCGGATCAATTTTCCCATCCCAAGATTTCGGATCAATTTTCCCCATTCTAAAATTTGGGATCAATTTTCCCGTCCCAAGATTTCAGATCAATTTTCCCATCCCAAAATTCCGGACAAATTTTCCCATCCCAAAAATTGGGATCAATTTTCTCATCCCAAAATTTCGGACAAATTTTCCCATCCCAGTAAGATTTGGGGATAAGTTCTCCATGGATTTTCCATGTTTTTTCCATGTTTTCTCATGTTTTTCCATGGTTTTTCCACATTTTTCTGTTTTTTCCCATGGTTTTTCCATGTTTTTCTATGTTTTTTCATGTTTTTCCATGGATCTTCCCTGTTTTTTCCATGGATTTTCCATGTTTCCCATGGATTTTCCATGTTCCAGGGGAGGACGAGGATCAGTACGAGCACTTCATAGGGGATTTCCCATGGGTTTCTCCATGGTTTTTCCATGGTTTTTCCATGTTTTTTTCATATTTTTTCATGTTTTTTTCCATATTTTTCCATTAATTTTCCATATTTTCCATATTTTTCCATGGATTTTCCATGGATTTTCCCTGTTTCCAGGGGAGGACGAGGATCAGTACGAGCAGTTCATGGGGGGTTTCCCATGGGTTTCTCCATGGTTTTCCCATGGTTTTCCATGTTTTTTCCATATTTTTCCACAAATTTTCCATATTTTCCATATTTTTCCATGGATTTTCCATATTTTTCCATGGATTTTCCATGGATTTTCCATGGATTTTTCCGTGTTTTCCAGGGGAGGACGAGGATCAGTACGAGCAGTTCGTGGGGGTTTCCCATTGGGTTTCTCCATGGGTTTCTCTATGATTTTCCCATATTTTTCCATGTTTTTTCCATATTTTTCCACGAATTTTCCATATTTTCCATATTTTCCCATGGATTTTCCATGGATTTTTCCCTGTTTCCAGGGGAGAACGAGGATCAGTACGAGCAGTTCATGGGGAGTTTCCCATTGGGTTTCTCCATGGTTTTCCCATATTTTTCCATGTTTTTTCCATATTTTTCCACGAATTTTCCATATTTTCCATATTTTTCCATGGATTTTCCATGGATTTTCCCTGTTTCCAGGGGAGGATGAGGATCAGTACGAGCAGTTCGTGGGGGATTTCCCATGGGTTTCTCCATGGTTTTCCCATATTTTTCCATGTTTTTTCCATATTTTTCCATGAATTTTCCATATTTTTCCATGGATTTTCCATGGATTTTCCATGGATTTTTCCCTGTTCCCAGGGGAGGACGAGGATCAGTACGAGCAGTTCATGGGGAGTTTCCCATTGGGTTTCTCCATGGTTTTCCCATATTTTTCCATGTTTTTTTCCATATTTTCCCACGAATTTTCCATATTTTCCCATGGATTTTCCATGGATTTTCCATGGATTTTCCCTGTTCCCAGGGGAGGACGAGGATCAGTACGAGCAGTTTGTGGGGGGGTTTCCCATGAGTTTCCCATGGGTTTCTCTATGATTTTCCCGTGTTTTTCCATGTTTTTTCCATATTTTTCCATGAATTTTCCATATTTTCCCATGGATTTTCCATGGATTTTTCCATGGATTTTTCCATGGATTTTTCCCTGTTTCCAGGGGAGGACGAGGATCAGTATGAGCAGTTCGTGGGGGGTTTCCCATGGGTTTCCAATGGGTTTTTCCATATTTTCCTATATTTTCCCTGTTTTTCCCATGGATTTTTCCTGTTTTCCCGTGTTTTTCCCTGTTTTCCATCGATTTTCCGTGGATTTTCCATGTTTTTCCCTGGTTTCCAGGGGAGGACGAGGATCAGTACGAGCAGTTCATGGGGAGTTTCCCATTGGGTTTCTCCATGGTTTTCCCATCTTTTTCCATGTTTTTTCCATATTTTTCCGTGTTTTTTCCATATTTTCCCACAAATTTTCCATATTTTCCATATTTTACATGGATTTTCCATGGATTTTCCCTGTTTCCAGGGGAGGACGAGGATCAGTACGAGCAGTTCATGGGGGATTTCCCATGGGTTTCCCATGGGTTTCTCCATGGTTTTCCCATGGTTTTCCATGTTTTTTCCATATTTTCCCCTGAATTTTCCATATTTTTCCATGGATTTTCCATGGATTTTCCATGGATTTTCCCTGTTTTCCAGGGGAGGACGAGGATCAGTACGAGCAGTTCATGCTGCCCCTCACCGCTGCCTTCGAGGCCGTGGCTCAGATGTTCAGCACCAACTCCTTCAACGAGCAGGAGGCCAAGGTGGGCCGCCAGAATTCCCAAATTTTCCTGGATTTTCCCGGATTTCCGGGGATCCTGTCCGTGGGATTTGGGCTCTGGGGCAGGCAGGACGAAATTCCCGAATTTTATCCGATTTCCTGGGATCCTTTCTGTGGGATTTGGGCTTTGGGGCAGGCAGGAGGAAATTCCCAAATTTTCCCCAATCTCACAGGCTCCTTTCCTGGGATTTGGGTTTTGGAACAGACGGGAGGAAATTCCCGAATTTTGCCCAATTTTCCCCAATTTCCTGGGATCCTTTCCGTGGGATTTGGGCTCTGGGGCAGGCGGGAGGAAATTCCCGAATTTTGCCCAATTTTCCCCAATTTCCCGGGGTCCTTTCCGTGGGTTTTGGGCTCTGGGGCAGGCGGGAGGAAATTCCTGAATTTTTCCCAATTTTTTCCCCAGTTTTCCCCAATTTCCCAGGATCTTTCCCATGGGATTTGGGGTTTGGAACAGACAGGAGGAAATTCCCAAATTTTCCCCTATTTTCCCCAATTTCCTGGGATCCTTTCCGTGGGATTTGGGCTCTCGGAATTTGGGGTTCCTGAATCCTTTGGGATAAATCCAGAGGGATTTGGGATCGATCCTGAGGGAATTGGGGTTCCCGAATGCCTTGGGGTCGGTCCAGAGGGATTTGGGATCACTCCAGAGGGATTTGGGATCACTCCAGAGGGATTTGGGATCACTCCAGAGGGATTTGGGGTTACTCCAGTGGGATTTGGGGTCACTCCAGAGGGATTTGGGGTCACTCCAGAGGGATTTGGGGTCACTCCAGTGGGATTTGGGGTCACTGCAGTGGATTTGGGGTCACTCCAGTGGGATTTGGGGTTGCTGCAGGATTTGGGGTCACTCCAGTGGGATTTGGGGTCACTCCAGTGGGATTTGGGGTCCATTCTCAGGGAAGGATTTGGGGTCACTGCAGAGGAAAGGATTTGGGGTTGCTGCACTGTTTGGGGTCACTGCAGGATTTGGGGTCACTCCAGAGGGATTTGGGATCACTGCAGCAGCAGAGATTTCGGGTCCCTGCAGTGGATTCAGGGTCCCTGCAGTGGATTTGGGGTCCCTGCAGTGGATTTGGGGTCCCTGTGGGATTTGGGGTCCCTGTGGGATTTGAGGTCCCTGCAGAGGGATTTGGGGTCCCTGTGGGATTTGGGGTCGCTGTGGGATTTGGGTCCCTGCAGGACTTTGGGGTCCCTGTGGGATTTGGGGTCCCCGCAGGGATTTGGGGTCCCTGCAGAGGGATTGGGGTCCCCGCAGAGGGATTTGGGGTCCCCGGGGGATTTGGGGTCCCTGCAGAGGGATTCGGGGTCCCTGCAGAGGGATTTGGGGTCCCTGCAGAGGGATTTGGGGTCCCTGTGGGATTTGGGGTCCCTGCAGAGGGATTTGGGGTCCCTGCAGAGGGATTTGGGGTCCCTGTGGGATTGGGGTCCCTGCAGAAGGATTTGGGGTCCCCGCAGAGGGATTTGGGGTCCCTGTGGGATTTGGGGTCCCTGCAGGGATTTGGGGTCCCTGTGGGATTTGGGGTCCCTGCAGAAGGATTTGGGGTCCCCGCAGAGGGATTTGGGGTCCCTGTGGGATTTGGGGTCCCTGCAGGGATTTGGGGTCCCTGTGGGATTTGGGGTCCCTGTGGGATTTGGGGTCCCTGTGGGATTTGGGGTCCTTGCAGAGGGATTTGGGGTCCCTGTGGGATTTGGGGTCCCTGTGGGATTTGGGGTCCCTGTGGGATTTGGGGTCCTTGCAGAGGGATTTGGGGTCAGTGCAGGATTTGGGGTCCCTGTGGGATTTGGGTCCCTGCAGAGGGATTTGGGGTCCCTGCAGCAGGAGGGATTTGGGGTCCCCGCGGGATTTGGGGTCGCTGTGGGATTTGGGGTCCCTGCAGTGGATTTGGGGTCCCTGCAGAGGGATTTGGGGTCCCCGCAGGGATTTGGGGTTCCTGTGGGATTGGGGTCCCTGTGGTTTTGGGGTCCCCGGGGGATTCGGGGTCCCTGTGGGCTTTGGGGTCCCCCACAGCGCCGCTCTGTGCCCGCAGCGCACGCTGGTGGGGCTGGTGCGGGACCTGCGCGGCATCGCCTTCGCCTTCAACGCCAAAACCTCCTTCATGATGCTCTTCGAGTGGATGTATCCGAAATCCTAAATCCCGAGCCTAAATCCTAAATCCTAAATCCTGAGCCTAATCCTAATCCTAATCCCTGATCCTAATTCTGATCCTAAATCCTGAGCCTAAACCCTGATCCTAAATCCTGATCCTTAATCCTGAGCCAAGCCTGATCCTAAATCCCGAGCCTAATCCTAATCCTAAACCCTGATCCTAAATCCTGAGCCCACCTAATCCTAAATCCTGATCCTAAATCCTGAGCCCAAGCCTGATCCTAAATTCCAATCCTAAATCCTAAATCCTGAGCCTAATCCTAATCCTAAACCCTGATCCTAAATCCTGATCCTAAATCTTGAGCCTGATCCTAAATCCTGACACTAAATCTTAATCCTAATCCTAAATCCTAAATCTGATCCTAAATCCTCATCCTGATCCTAAATCCTGATCCTAAATCTTGAGCCTGATCCTAAATCCTGACACTAAATCTTAATCCTAATCCTAAATCCTAAATCTGATCCTAAATCCTCATCCTGATCCTAAATCCTGAGCCTCATCCTAAATCCTGAGGCTAAACCCTCATCCTAAATCCTGATCCTAAATCCTGAGCCCAAGCCTGATCCTAAATCTCTATCCTAAATCCTAAATCCTGATCCTAATCCTAATCCTAAACCCTGATCCTAAATCCTGAGCCTGATCCTAAATCCTGAGCCTAAATCCTGAGCCTGATCCTAAATCCTAAATCCCGATCCTATATCCTAAATCCTGATCCTAATCCTAATCCTAAACCCTGATCCTAATCCTGATCCTAAATCCTGAGCCTAATCCTAATCCTAAATCCTGATCCTAAATCCTGATCCTAAATCCCGATCCTAAATCCTGAGCCTAAACCCTGATCCTAAATCCTGAGCCCGCCTAAATCCTAAATCCCTATCCTAAATCCTAAATCCTGAGCCTAATCCTGATCCTAAATCCTGAGCCTGATCCTAAATCCTGATCCTAAACCCTCATCCTAAATCCTGAGCCAAGCCTGATCCTAAATCCTGATCCTAAATCCTAAATCCTGAGCCTAATCCTAAACCCGGGATAATCGGGAATTTTTCTGGGGATTTTCCTGGGGATTTTCCTGGGAAGACGGGCAGTTTTTTCCGGGAATTTTTCCGGGAATTCCTTGACTGGGGCAGTTACCCCTCGTACCTGCCCATCCTGCAGAGAGCCATCGAGCTCTGGTACCACGACCCCGCCTGCACCACGCCCGTGCTCAAACTCATGGCTGAGCTGGTCCACAACAGGTAAAATTCCCAAAATTCCCGGATTTCCTGGAATTCTGCGCCTTGGGGGGGTTGTTGTGCCTTTTCTGGGGGAGTTGTTGTCTTAAATCCCTGGTTTTCCCCCCAAAAATCCTCATTTTCCCAAAAAAAATCCTCCTTTTTTCCCCATTTTCCCTCCCCAAAATCCCATTTTCCCCCCCAAAGCTCCATTTCTTTCCCTATTTCTCCTTCCCAAAATCCCATTTTTCCTCCTAAATCCCATTTACAACAGGTAGGAATTCCCAGAATTCCGGGATTTCCTGGAATTCTGCGCCTTGAGGGGGGGTATTGCATCTTTTATGTGGAGTTGTTGTCCAAAACCCTCATTTTCCCTCCAAAAATCCTCTTTTTTTCCCCCCATATCCCCATTTTTTCCCCATTTTCCCTCCGCAAATCCACATTTTCCTTCCCAAATCCCATTTTTCCTCCTAAACCCATTTATAACTGGTAGGAATATCCTTAAAATCTGAGATTTCATGGAATTCTGCACCTTGGAGGGGTTATTGCACCTTTCTGTGGAGTTGTTGCATCAAATCCTCATTTTTTTCCCCCAAATCTCCATTTTTTCCCCTATTTCCCCTCCCCCAAATCCCATTTTTCCTCCTAAATCCCATTTACAACAGGCAGGAATTCCCAAAATTTTGGGATTCCCTGGAATTCTGCGCCTTGGAGGGGTTATTGCAGATTTTCTGTGGGGTTGTTGCATCAAATCCTCTTTTTTTTCCCCCAAATCCTAATTTTGTTCCCCATTTTTCCCTTCCAAATTCCATTTTTCCTCCTCAATCCCATTTACAACAGGTAGGAAATTCCCAAAAATCCAGGATTTCATGGAATTCTGCACACTGGAAGGGGTTATTGCATTCTCTGCATGGTTGTTTCCCCCAAATCCCCAGTTTTTGCCCCCAAAATCCCCATTTTCCCCCCCAAATCCACATTTTTTCCCCATTTCCCCTCCCCCAAATCCATTTTTCCTCCTAAATCCCATTTACAGCAGGTAGGAATATCCTTAAAATACGAGATTTCATGGAATTCTGTACCTTGGGTTATTTCACCTTTTCTGTGTGGTTCTTTCTCCCCAAATCCCCATTTTTTCCCCCCAAATCCCATTTTTCCTCACAAACCCCATTTACAACAGGTAGGAAATTCCCAAAAATTTGGGATTTCATGGAATTCTGCACCTTGTAGGGGTTTTAAGCTGATTTCATCTCTCTCTGTGTGGTTCTTACACCCCAAATCCCCATTTTTTCCCCATTTCCCCTCCCCCATATCCCATTTTTTCTCTTATATCCCATTTACAACAGGTCAGAAATTCCCAAAATTCCGGGATTCCCTGGAATTCTGCACCTTGGGGGGGTTATTGCAGATTTTCTGCGGGGTTGTTGCATCAAGTGTCCATTTTTCTCCCCAAAAATCCTCATTTTCCCTCCCCCAAATCCCTATTTTTCCCTCCCAAATCCCTATTTTTTCCCCATTTTTTTCCCCATTTTTTCCCCCCAAATCCCATTTTCCCTCACAAATCCCATTTATAACAGGTAGGAAGTCCCAAAAACCCAGGATTTCCTGGAATTCTGCGCCTTGGAAGCGCTTTAAATCCAGTTCAACATCCCCATCCCAGGGGATCCAACCTTTCCTTGGACACTCCCAGGGATCCACAGCTCCTCTGGGAATTCCATCCCCGAGAATTCCTTCCCAAAATCCCAAAAAATCTCTTAATTTTCCGGTCAGAATCCATTCCCTGTTTTCCCATCCTTTATCCCAAATCCTCTCCAGCTTTCCTGGAATTCCCTTTTCCAGGGGAACATTCCCAACTCTCCTGGAATTTCCCTTTTCCAGATGAGCAATCCCAAATCTCCTGGAATTTTCTTCTCCAGGGGAACATTCCCAACTCTCCTGGAATTTCCCTTTTCCAGGGGAACATTCCCAGCTCTCCTGGAATTCCCCTTTTCCAGGGAACATTCCCTGGAATTCCTTTCTCCAGGGGAACATTCCCTGGAATTCTCTTCTCCAGGGGAACATTCCCTGGAATTTCCCTTTTCCAGGGGAACATTCCCAACTCTCCTGGAATTTCCCTTTTCCAGGGGAACATTCCCTGGAATTCCCTGCTCCAGGGGAACATTCCCAGCTCTCCTGGAATTTCCCTTTTCCAGGGGAACATTCCCAGCTCTCTTGGATTTCTCTTCTCGAGGGGAACATTCCCTGGAATTCTCTTCTCATGGGGAACATTCCCAATTCTCCCGGAATTCCCTGCTCCAGGGGAACATTCCCTGGAATTCTCTTCTCCAGGGGAACATTCCCGGAATTCCCTTTTCCCGTTTTCCCGCAGGTCCCAGCGGCTGCAGTTCGACGTCTCCTCTCCCAACGGGATCCTGCTTTTCCGGGAGACCAGCAAGATGATCACCACCTACGGTGAGGGAGCCGGGATGGATCCGTGGGGAATCCCGGAGAAATCCTGGATTCCTCCTGGAAAAATCCTGGAAACATCATGGATTCATCCATGGAAACATCCTGGGTTCATCCATGGATTCATCCTGGAAACGTCCTGGAAAAATCATGGATTCATCCTGGATTCACCCATGGATAAACCCTGGAAACATCCTGGGTTCATCCATGGATAAATCCTGGAAGCATCCTGGAAAAGTCATGGATTAATCCGTGGATAAATCCTGGATTCATCCTGGAAAAATCACGGATTCATCCATGGAAACATCCTGGATTCATCCATGGAAAAATCCTGGATTCGTCCTGGAAAAATCACGGATTCATCCATGGAAACATCCTGGATTCGTCCTGGGAACGTCCTGGGGTCATCTATGGATTCATCCATGGATTCATCCTGGAAAAGTCACGGATTCATCCATGGAAGCATCCTGGAAATATTCTGGATTCATCCTGGAAAAATCCTGGATTTATCCCGGATTCACCCATGGATAAACCCTGGAAACATCCTGGGTTCATCCATGGATTCATCCTGGAAGCATCTTGGAAAAATCATGGATTCATCCATGGAAAAATCTTGGAAACATCCTGGGTTCATCTTCGATTCTTCCTGGAAAAATCATTGATTCATCCATGGAAAAATCCTGGATTCATCCTGGAAAAATCCTTGATTCATCCTGGAAACATCCTGAGTTTATCCATGGATAAATCCTGGAAATGTCCTGGATGATGGAATGGTTTGGGTTGGAAAGGAATCACATAAATAATTCCCAGATTTGGGGTTGGAAAGGATTTGGAATTCCATCCCAATTCCCAGATTTTGGGTGGGAATGGATTTGAAATCCCATCCAATTTGGAATCCAAGGGATCCGGGAATGATTTGGGCATGGGATGGATTTGAAACCCCTTCCAAAATCCTGATTTTGGGTTGGGATGGGTTTGAAATCTCATTCCCACATCCCGATTTCGGGTTGGGATGGGTTTGGAATCCCATCCAGTTTGGAATCCAAGGGATCATGGAACAGTTTGGGTTGGAAATGAACCACGTAAATAATTCCCAGATTTTGGGTTAGAATGGATTTGAAATCTCATTGCAACATCCCGATTTTGGGTTGGGATGGGTTTGGAATCCCATTTAGTTTGGAATTTACAAGATCAGGGAATGGTTTGGGCTGGGATGGATTTGATATCCCATCCAGTTTGGAATCCAAGTGATCATGGAATGGTTTGGGTTAGAAGGGAACTACATAAATAATTTCCAGATTTTGGGTTGGAATGGATTGGAAAGCCCATCCCAATTTCCAGATTTCGGGTTGGAATGGATTTGAAATCCCATCCAGTTTGGAATTCATTGGATCAGGGAATGGTTTGGGCTAGGATGGATTTGAAATCTCATCCAGTTTGGAATCCAAGGAATCATGGAATGGTTTGGGTTGGAAGTAAACCATGTAAATAATTCCCAGATTTTGGGTTGGAATGGATTCGAGATCCCATCCAGTTTGGAATTCATTGGATCAGGGAATGATCTGGGCATGGGATGGATTTGAAATCTCATTCCAACATCCCGATTTTGGGTTGGGGTGGATTTGAAATGCAATCCAGTTTGGAATCCAAGTGATCATGGAACAGTTTGGGTTGGAAATGAACCATGTAAATAATTCCCAGATTTTGGGTTGGAATGGATTTGAAATCTCATTCCAACATCCCGATTTTGGGTTGGGGTGGGTTTGGAATCCCATGCAGTTGGGAATCCAAGGGATGATGGAACGGTTTGGGTTGGGATGGATTTGAAATGCAATCCAGTTGGGAATCCAAGTGATGATGGAACGGTTTGGGTTGGGATGGATCTGGGACGGCCGCAGTGACCCCGAGCCGGAATTCCCGCAGGGAATCGCATCCTGACGCTGGGCGAGGTGCCCAAGGAGCAGGTGTACGCGCTGAAGCTGAAGGGCATCTCCATCTGCTTCTCCATGCTGAAGGCGGCGCTCAGCGGCAGCTACGTCAACTTCGGCGTCTTCCGACTGTACGGCGACGACGCGCTGGACAACGCGCTGCAGACCTTCATCAAGCTGCTGCTCTCCATCCCGCACAGCGACCTGCTGGTCAGCAGCCGGAATCCGTGTGCCGGGAATTCCGTGTGCCGGGAATTCCGTGTCACGGGAATTCTGTGTCACGGGGATTCTGTGTCCTGGGAATTCTGTGTCCCGGGGATTCTGTGTCACGGGGATTCTGTGTCCTGGGAATTCTGTGTTCTGGGGATTCTGTGTCCCGGGGATTCCATGTTCTTGGGATTCTGTGTTTTGGGAATTCTGTGTCACGGGAATTCTGTGTCACGGGGATTCCGTGTCATGGGGATTCTGTGTTTTGGGAATTCTGTGTCCTGGGAATTCCGTGTCCTGGGAATGCTGTGTTCGGGGAATTCTGTGTTCTGGGAATTCAGTGTTCTGGGAATTCCGTGTCCTGGGAATTCTGTGTTCTGGGGATTCCGTGTCCTGGGAATTCCCTGTCCTGGGGATTCTGTGTCCTGGGGATTCTGTGTTCTGGGGATTCTGTGTCCTGGGAATTCTGTGTTCTGGGAATTCCGTGTTCTGGGGATTCTGTGTTCTGGGGATTCTGTGTCACGGGAATTCTGTGTCACGGGGATTCTGTGTCCTGGGAATTCTGTGTCCTGGGAATTCTGTGTTCTGGGAATTCCGTGTTCTGGGGATTCTGTGTCCTGGGGATTCCGTGTTCTGGGGATTCCATGTCCTGGGGATTCTGTGTCCCGGGGATTCTGTGTCATGGGAATTCCGTGTCCTGGGGATTCCGTGTTCTGGGAATTCTGTGTCCTGGGAATTCCATGTCCCGGGGATTCTGTGTTCTGGGGATTCTGTGTCCCGGGGATTCCGTGTCCCGGGGATTCCGTGTTCTGGGGATTCTGTGTTCTGGGGATTCTGTGTTCTGGGAATTCTGTGTCATGGGAATTCTGTGTTCTTGGGATTCTGTGTCTTCTGTGTTCTGGGAATTCCGTGTTCTGGGGATTCCGTGTCTTCTGTGTTCTGGGGATTCTGTGTCCTGGGGATTCTGTGTCCCGGGGATTCTGTGTCATGGGGATTCTGTGTTTTGGGATTCTGTGTCCTGGGAATTCCGTGTTCTTGGGATTCTGTGTCCTGGGGATTCTGTGTCCTGGGAATTCTGTGTTCTGGGGATTCCGTGTCCTGGGGATTCCGTGTCCTGGGGATTCCGTGTTCTGGGGATTCCATGTCCCAGGGATTCCGTGTCCTGGGAATTCTGTGTCCTGGGAATTCTGTGTTCTGGGGATTCTGTGTTCCGGGGATTCCGTGTCCTGGGGATTCCGTGTTCTGGGAATTCTGTGCTCTGGGAATTCTGTGTCACGGGGATTCCGTGTCCTGGGAATTCCGTGTCCTGGGGATTCTGTGTCACAGGAATTCTGTGTCCTGGGGATTCTGTGTCCTGGGAATTCCAGCTCCTGGGAGTGCTGGCCCTGGGAATTCCAGCCCCTGGGAATCCCCACCCAGAATTCCAGCCACCAGGAACACCAGCCCCTAGGAGTTCCATGTCCTGGGAATTCTGAGTCCTGGGAATTCCGGCCCCTGGGAGTTCCATGCCCTGGGACTGCCATGTCCTGGGAGTTCCATCCCTCAGGAATTCCAGCTCCTGGGAATTCCATCCCCTGGGAGTTCCGTCCCCCATCCTTTGAGAATTCCTGGCTGGATTTAGGAATATCCTGGTTAGATTCAGGAATTCCTGTCTGGATTCCGAAATATCCTGGCTGGATTTTGGAATATTGAGTCCGGATTTAAGAATTCCTAGCTGGATTCAGGAGTTCTTGTCTGGATTTTGGAATTCCAGTCTGGATTCAGGAATTCCTGGCCGCATTCAGGAATTTTCTGGCTGGATTGAGGAATTCCTGTCCAGATTTCAGAATTCCTGGCTGCATTCAGGAATATCCTGGCTGGATTTAGGAATTCCTGGTTAGATTCAGGAATTCCTGGCTGGATTTTGGAATATCCTGGCTGGATTTAGGAATATCCTGGCTGGATTTGGGAATATCCTCGTTAACATTTGGGAATTCCTGGCCGGATTTCGGAATTTTCCCCTTCCAGGGCAATCCCTGAGCCTCCTTTTCCCGCTGTTCCCGCAGGATTATCCCAAGCTGAGCCAATCCTACTATTCCCTGCTGGAAGTGCTGACCCAGGACCACATGAACTTCATCGCCAGCCTGGAGCCGCACGTCATCATGTACATCCTGTCCTCCATCTCCGAGGGGCTCACCGCGCTCGGTAACCCCAAAATTCGGGAATTCGGGGTGGGGTGGGGGGCTCGGAACCCCCTGTTCCACAAGGGGTTAAATCCCTGCGTTCCACATGGGTTAAATCCCCCTGTTCCACAAGGGGTTAAATCCCCATGTTCCACAAGGGGTTAAATTTAAATCCCCATGTTCCACAAGGGGTTAAATCCCCATGTTCCACAAGGGGTTAAAATCCCAATTTTTCCACTTCCCCATTTTCCACAAGGGGTTAAAGCTCCCTGTTCCATACCGGGTTTAAATCCCAATTTTCCACATCCCAATTTCTCACATGGGATTAAATTCTCATGTTCCACATGGGGTTAAAATCCCAATTTTCTGCTTCCCCGTTTTCCTCATGGTGTTCAATGAAATCCCAATTTTCCACATGGTGTTAAATTTAAATCCCCGTGTTCCACGTGAGTTAAAATCCCAATTTTCCACAAGGGGTTAAAATCCCAATTTTCCACAAGGGGTTAAATCCCCCTGTTCCACAAGGGGTTAAATCTAAATCCCCATTTTCCCCCACTTTTTCCCATTTTATCCCCATTTTCCCCACGTTTTCCCCCCGAAACTCATTTATCTCCCATTTTCTCCACTTTCTCCCCGTTTTTCCCCCAAAACTGTCATTTTCCCCCTTTTTCCCCTTTTCCCCCTTATTTCCCCTTTTTTCCCCTTTTTCCCCATTTCTCCCCATTATTCCCCCATTATTTCCCCCATTTTTCCCTGTTTTTCCCCCAAAACTCTCATTTTTTCCCCGTTTTTCCCCATTTTCCCCATTTTTCCCCCCAAACCTCTCATTTTCCCCCATTTTTCCCATTTCCCCCGGTTTTTTTCCCCAAACCCCCATTTTCCCCCATTTTTCCCATTTCCCCCAAACCCCCATTTTTCCCCATTTATCCCCATTTTTCTCCCATTTCCCCCCATATTTCCCCATTTTCCCCAAAAACTCTTTTTTCCCCATTATTTCCCCATTTCCCCCCATTTTTCTGCATTTTCCTCATTATTTCCCCCTTTTTCCCTGTTTTTCCCCCGAAACTCTCACTTTTCCCCATTTTCCTCCTTCCCCCCCCTTTTCCCAATTTTCCCCATTATTTCCCCCATTTTTCTCTCTTTTCCCCTGAAACTCTCATTTTTCCCCATTTTTTCCCCATTTTCTCCCATTTTCCCATTTCTCCCCATTTCCCCGATTATTTTCCCCTTTTTCCCCATTCCCCCATTATTTTCCCAATTTTCCCCATTTCCCCCCATTATGTCCCCACATTTTCCCCATTTTTCCCCCAATTCCCCCCATTCTTTTCCCCATTTCCCCTTTTTTCCCTGTTTTCCCCCGAAACTTTCTTTTTATTTCCCCCATTTTCCCCCATTTCCCCCACTTTTTCCCCCCAAAACTCTCATTTATCCCCCATTTCCCCCACTTTTTCCCCCCAAAACTCTCATTTACCTCCCATTTTCTCCACTTTTTCCCCCTGAATCTCCCATTTTTTCCCATTTTCCCCACTTTTTGCCCCTGAATCTCCCATTTTTTTCCCATTTTCCCCACTTTTCCCCCCCGAAACTCTCATTTTTTTTCCCATTTCCCCCACGTTTTCCCCCCCAAACTCCCATTTTTTTCCCATTTTCCCCACATTTTCCCCCGAAACTCTCATTTATCTCCCATTTTCTCCACATTTTCCCCCGAAACTCTCATTTATCTCCCATTTTCTCCACATTTTCCCCCGAAACTCTCATTTATCTCCCATTTTCTCCACATTTTCCCCCGAAACTCTCATTTATCTCCCATTTTCTCCACTTTCTCCCCGTTTTTCCCCCCAAAACTCTCATTTCCCCCCTTTTTCCCCTTTTTTCCCCTTTTTTCCCCTTTTTTCCCCTTTTTTCCCCTTTTTTCCCCTTTTTTCCCCTTTTTTCCCCTTTTTTCCCCTTTTTTCCCCTTTTTTCCCCTTTTTTCCCCTTTTTTCCCCTTTTTTCCCCTTTTTTTCCCCTTTTTCCCCATTTCTCCCCATTATTCCCCCATTATTTCCCCCACTTCCCCCATTTTTTCCCCATTTTTCTCATTTCCCCCATTTTTCCCCATTTCCCCCACTTTTTACCCCTGAAACTCTCATTTATCCCCCATTTCCCCCACATTTTCCCCCTGAAACTCCCATTTTTTTCCCATTTTCCCCACTTTTTGCCCCCGAAAATCTCATTTATCTCCCATTTTTCCCACTCCCCGTTTCCCCGATTATTTTCCCCCTTTTCCCCATTCCCCCATTATTTTCCCAATTTTTCCCCATTTCCCCCCATTATGTCCCCAAATTTTCCCCATTTTTCCTCGCAATTCCCCCCATTATTTTCCCCATTTCCCCTTTTTTCCCTGTTTTCCCCCTGAAACTTTCTTTTTATTTCCCCCATTTTCTCCACTTTTTCCCCCCGAAACTCTCATTTATCTCCCATTTTCTCCACTTTTTCCCCCTGAGTCTCCCATTTTTTCCCATTTCCCCCACTTTTTCCCCCTGAAACTCTCATTTATCTCCCATTTCCCCCACTTTTTCCCACCGAAACTCTCATTTATCTCCCATTTCCCCCACTTTTTCCCCCCGAAACTCTCATTTATCTGCCATTTTCTCCACTTTTTCCCCCCGAAACTCTCATTTTTTTCCCATTTCCCCCACTTTTTCCCCCTGAATCTCCCATTTTTTTCCCATTTTCCCCACTTTTTGCCCCCGAAACTCTCATTTATCTCCCATTTTCTCCACTTTTTCCCCCCGAAACTCTCATTTATCTCCCTTTTTTTCCACTTTTTCCCCCTGAATCTCCCTTTTTTTTCCCATTTTCCCCACTTTTTCCCCCCAAAACTCTCATTTTTTCCCTTTTTCCCCCCAACACTCTCATTTTTCCCCGTTTTCTCCCCAGACACGATGGTGTGCACGGGCTGCTGCTCCTGCCTGGACCACATCGTCACGTACCTGTTCAAGCAGCTCTCGCGCAGCTCCAAGAAGAGATCGACGGCGCTGGCGCAGGAGAGCGACCGCTTCCTGCACATCATGCAGCAGCACCCCGAGATGGTGCAGCAGGTCAGCACCTGGGGAGGGCAAAAATACACCTGGGAGGGCAAAAAATATACCTGGGGTTCCAAAAATATACCTGGGAGGGGAAAAAGTACACCTGGGGTTCCAAAAATACACCTGAGAGGGCAAAAAATACACCTGGGAGGGGAAAATGTACACCTGGGGATCCAAAAATATACCTGGGAGGGCAAAAATATACCTGGGAGGGCAAAAAGTACACGTGGGAAGGCAAAAAGTACACCTGGGGTTCCAAAAATACACCTGGGAGGGGAAAAAGTACACCTGGGGTTCCAAAAAGTACACCTGGGAGGGGAAAAAATACACCTGGGAGGGGAAAATACACCTGGGGGGGCAAAAGGTACACCTGGGGAGGGGAAAAATACACCTGGGGTTCCAAAAATATACCTGGGGAGGGGAAAAATATACCTGGGGAGGGGAAAAAGTACACCTGGGAGGGGAAAAAGTACACCTGGGGTTCCAAAAATATACCTGGGGAGGGGAAACATATACCTGGGGAGGGGAAAATATACCTGGGAGGGCAAAAAATACACCTGGGAGACACCAAAAATACACTTTGTGGGGGAAAAAATATACCTGAGAGACACCAAAAATACACCAGGGGAGGGAAAAATATAACTGGGGAGGGGAAAAATACACCTGAGAGGGCAAAAAATGCATGGGATCCATGGGGTGGGGGATCCATGGGATGGGATCCATGGGATCAATGGGATGGGACCCATGGGATTGGGACGGGATCCATGGGATGGGGGATCTATGGGATGGGACCCACGGGATTGGTATGGGATCCATGGGATGGGATCGATGGTATCCATGGGGTAGGATCCATGGGATTGGGATGGGATCCCTGGGATGGGATGGGATCCTTGGGATGGGATCCATTGGTATCCATGGGGTGGGATCCATGGAATTGGGATGGGATCCCTGGGATGGGATGGGATCCATGGGATGGGATCCATTGGTATCCATGGGGTGGGATCCATGGAATTGGGATGGGATGAGATGGGATTTGGGATTTGGATCCATGGGGTGGGATTTGGGATGGGATCTCTGGGGTGGGATTTGGGATGGGATCCATGGGATGGGATTTGGGGTGGGATCCATGGGGTGAGATCCATGGGGTGGGATTTGGGATGGGATCGATGGGATCCATGGGATTGGGATGGGATCCCTGGGATGGGATCCATGGGATGGGATCCATTGGTATCCATGGGGTGGGATCCATGGGATTGGGATGGGATGAGATGGGATTTGGGATTTGGATCCATGGGGTAGGATTTGGGATGGGATCCATGGGATGGGATTTGGGATGGGATCCATGGGATGGGATTTGGGATGGAATCTCTGGGGTGGGATCCATGGGGTGAGATCCATGGGGTGGGATTTGGGATGGGATCAATGGGATGGGATCCATGGGATCCATGGGTTGGGGTTTGGGATGGGATCCATGGGATCCATGGGATGGGATCGACGGCGTGGGTCGGAGGGCCTGCCGTTAACCCTTGTTTGGCCGTGGCAGATGCTCTCCACGGTGCTGAACATCATCATCTTCGAGGACTGCCGGAACCAGTGGTCCATGTCCCGGCCCCTGCTCGGCCTCATCCTGCTCAACGAGAAGGTAACGGAGCCATCCCGCCGGGAAAGGCTGCCCGGGGCGGAGAGCGTTCCCAGAAAAGCCTGGGAACGGTCCCGTGGCCAGGGTGATCCCTGGAATGGTCCCATGGCCAGGGGGATCCTTGGAATTATCCCAATTTTAGAATTATTCCAAGCCCAGGATGATCCTTGGAATGGTCCTGTGGCCAGGATGATCCTTGGAATGATCCCAGTTTTGTAATGGTCCCAATTTTGGAATGATCCCCAGTTTTGGAATGATCCCAGTTTTGGAATTATCCCAATTTTGGAATGGTCCCAATTTTGGAATGGTCCCAGTTTTTGAATTATCCCAGTTTTGAAATGATCCCAATTTTGGAATGGTCCCAATTTTGGAATTATCCCAATTTTGGAATGATCCCAGTTTTGGAATGGTCCCAGTTTTGAAATGATCCCAATTTTGGAATGATCCCAGTTTTGGAATGGTCCCAGTTTTGGATTGATCGCGTGCCCAGGATGATCTTTGGAATGATCCCAGTTTTGGAATGATGCAATTTTGGAATGGTCCCAATTTTGGAATGGTCCCAGTTTTGGAACGATCCAATTTTGGAATGATCTCAGTTTTGGAATGATCCAATTTTGGAATGATCCAACTTTGGAATGGTCCCAATTTTGGAATGATCCCAGTTTTGGAATGATCCCAGTTTTGGAATGATCACAATTTTGAATGGTCCCATGGCCAGGCTATCCCGTGGCCAGGACAATCCCTTGGCCAGGATGATCCCAATTTTGGAATGATCCCAATTTTGGAACGGTCCCAACTTTGGAACAGTCCCAATTTTGGAACGGTCCATAGCCGGGCCGATCCCTCACACACGGGGACGCTCCCGCCTCACTCCAGCACCCCGGGGTGGGTGGGCGCGCTCCCGGTTCCGATCCGGCAGGAGTGGGTGTGCTCCCAGCTCCCGGTTCGGTTCCCGATCCGGCAGGGACGGGCACACTCCCGGTTCCGATCCGGTGAAACTGAGGCACGGCCGTCTGTCCCCGCAGTACTTCTCGGACCTGCGGAACAGCATCGTCAACAGCCAGCCCCCGGAGAAGCAGCAGGCCATGCACCTCTGCTTCGAGAACCTCATGGAGGGCATCGAGCGCAACCTGCTCACCAAGAACCGCGACAGGTCAGCGCCGGCACGGCACGGCGGGTCGGGAGAGACGGGAACGGGAACGGGACAGCGGGGATGGGACAGCGGGGACGGGAGAGCCGGGATGGCACTGGGACAGCGGGGATGGCACCGGGACAGCGGGGATGGGAGAGCCGGGACAGCGGGAATATGACAGTGGGAACGGGAGAGCCGGGAACAGCACCGGGACAGCGGGGATGGGACAGCGGGGATGGCACTGGGACAGCAGGGATGGCACTGGGACAGTGGGGATGGCACTGGGACAGCGGGGATGGGACAGTGGGGACGGCACCGGGACAGCGGGGACAGCACTGGGACAGTGGGGATGGGAGAGCCAGGAACGGCACCGGGACAGCGGGGATGAGACAGTGGGGAACAGCACCGGGACAGCGGGGAAGGCACTGGGACAGCGGGAATGGCACTGGGACAGTGGGGATGGCACCGGGACAGCGGGGATGGGACAGCGGGGATGGGAGAGCCAGGAACGGCACCGGGACAGCGGGGACGGGACAGCGGGGATGGCACTGGGACAGAGGGGATGGGACAGCGGGAATGGGACAGCTGGGACAGCAGGGATGGGACAGGGGACGGCACCAGGACAGCGGGGATGGGAGAGCCGGGACAGCGGGAATGTGACAGTGGGAACAGGAGAGCCAGGAACAGCACCAGGACAGCAGGGATGGGACAGCGGGGATGGCACTGGGACAGCGGGGACGGGAGAGCCGGGAACAGCACTGGGACAGCGGGAACGGGACAGCGGGGATGGGACAGCGGGGACGGCACCGGGACAGCGGGGATGGCACTGGGACAGCGGGGACGGCACCAGGACAGCGGGGATGGCACTGGGATAGTGGGGACGGCATCGGGACAGTGGGGATGGGACAGCGGGAATGGCACTGGGACAGTGGGGATGGGACAGCGGGGATGGGAGAGCTGGGACAGCAGGAACGGGACAGCGGGGATGGGACAGCGGGGATGGCACCGGGACAAAGGGGACAGTGGAGCTGGGACAGCGGGAATAGTGCCAGGACAGCGGGGATGGGAGAGCTGGGACAGCGGGAATAGTGCCGGGAATGGCACCAGAACAGCGGGGATGGGAGAGCCGGGAATGGCTCCGGGACAGCGGGGATGGGACAGCGGGAATGGGAGAGCCGGGACAGCGACAATGGCACCAGGACAGTGGGGATGGGACAGCAGGAACAGGAGAGCCGGGCCAGCGGGGATGGGAGAGCCGGGAATGGCACCGGGAATGGTGCTGGAACAGCGGGACTGGGAGAGCCAGGACAGCGGGGACAGCAGAGCGGTACCGGCACTGGGACAGTGGGGACAGGAGAGCCAGGACAGCAGAGATGGGAGAGCAGGGACAGCAGGAATGGCACCAGGACAGCGGGAATGGCACCAGGACAGCGGGAACGGCACCAGGAATGGCACTCCTGCGGGATGGGAATGGCTCAGGGCCAGGCCTTGGCTGGAAAGGATCCCAAATACCCACGGGTGTTCCCACCACCGTCCCACCGGAATCCAGCCTGGCCTGGGACACTTCCAGGAATGGAGCAGCCACAGATTTTCCTCTGGGAAATCCTTCCCAATGTCCCATTCCAGTTAGAAACTTCCCATGGAAAGGTTCCTTCCTGGCTTCATGGTTGGAATGAAGCCGTGGTTGGAATAGTTGGGGTTGGGAGGGATCCTAAATACCCACGGGAGTTCCCACCACACCCTGCACCATCTCACGGTGCCTGGGACACTTCAGGGATGGGACAGACACAGATTTTCCTCTGGGAATTCCTTCCCAATGTCCCATTCCAGTTTGAAACTTCCCATGGAAAGATTCCTTCATGGTTGGAATGGTTTGGGTTGGGAGGGAGTTGGAATTTCCACGGCTTGGGACTCATCCCACTGTCCCAGGGGGCTCCAGCCTGGCCTGGGACACTTCCATGGATCGAGGGGCAGCCACAGGTTTTCCTGTGGGAATTCCTTCCCAATGTCCCATTCCAGTTCGGAACTTCCCATGGAAAGGTTCCGTCATGGTTCCAGAAGGAATTGCAGAATTCCTTCCCGAAATCCCCGTTCCAGTGGGATCGGATCCCTTCAGGGCAGGGGTGGGTCCCATCCTGGGCGTGGGGACAGCGCCGGGTTCTGGGAGGAACCGCTCCCAGCCGGGAATTCCGAGGGATGGGGAGCCATGGGATGGTGGAATGGTGGAACCATGGAATGGCGGAGTCATGGAATGGCGGAGTCATGGAATGCTGGAGTGGTGGAGTCATGGAATGCTGGAATCTGGGATGGTGGAGTGGTGGAACCATGGAATGGTGGAGTTGTGGAATCATGGGATGGTGGAACCATGGAATGGTGGAACCGTGGAATGGTGGAGTCATGGAATGGTGGAACTGTGGAAAGGTGGAGTCATGGAATGGTGGTATCATGGAATGCTGGAATAGTGGAACCATGGAATGGTGGAATCATGGGATGGTGGTATCATGGGATGGTGGAGTTGTGGAATCATGGAACGGTGGAATGGGGGAATCATGGAATGATTGAATGGTGGAATGTGGTGGAATGCTGGGATCATGGAATGGTGGAATGATGGAATGGTGGAATGATGGAATAATGGAATGGTAGAGTGGTGGAATGATGGAATGGTGGAATCATGGAACGTGATGGAATGATAGAATGGTGGAGTGGTGGAATGATGGAATGCTGGAATGATAGGATGTGATGGAATGGTGGAATGATGGAATGATAAAATCCTGGATTGGTAGAATCATGGGATGCTGGAAGCACAGAATGACAGAATGGTGGAAGGATGGAGTGATGGAATGTGATGGAATGCTGGAATCACTGAATGATGGAATGATAAAATATTGGAATGATGGAATGATAGAATATTGGAATGATGGAATGGTGGGATGATGGAATGTGATGTAATCATGGAACGATGGAATGATAGAATGGTGGAATGGTGGAGTGTGGTGGAGTCATGGAACGATGGAATCATGGAATGGTGGAATCGTGGAATGATGGAATGTATTGGAATGATGGAATGATAAAATATTGGAATGATGGAATGGTGAAATGATGGAATGATGAAATATTGGAACAGTGGAATGATGGAATAGTGGAAGGATGGAATGGTGGAATGTGATGGAATGATAAAATATTGGAATGGTGGAATGATGGAATGATAAAATATTGGAATGGTGGAATGATGGAATGATAAAATATTGGAATGGTGGAATGATGGAATGATAAAATACTGGAATGATGGAGTGCTGGAATGATAAAATATTGGAATGGTGGAAGGATGGAATGATAAAATACTGGAATGATGGAGTGCTGGAATGATAAAATATTGGAATGGTGGAAGGATGGAATGATAAAATATTGGAATGGTGGAAGGATGGAATGATAAAATATTGGAATGATGGAATATTGGAATGGTGGAATGCTGGAATCACGGAATGATGGAATGGTGGAATGCTGGAATGATAAAATATTGGAATGGTGGAATGATGGAATATTGGAATGGTGGAGTGCTGGAATGATGGAATGGTGGAATCACGGAATGATGGAATGGTGGAATGACAAAATCCCGGAATGACAGAATGGTGCAAGGATGGAATGCTGGACTATGACGAAATGATAAAACCCTGGAATGAGGAAATGATAAAACCCTGGAATGACGGAATGATAAAACCCTGGAATGACGGAACCTCCTGTCCCATCTCCCCAGGTTCACCCAGAACCTCTCGGCGTTCCGGAGGGAAGTCAACGACTCCATGAAGAACTCGAGCTACGGCGTCAACAGCAACGACATGATGAGCTGACAGCCGCAGATCCCGAATCCCAAATCCCGAATCCCGAATTCCCGGGAGCAGGAGCAGCAGGGGCAGCTCACCTGGGCAGGTGTTTTCCCGTGGGAAGGGCAGAATCCAGCTGCAGGAATTCCAAGGTGTCTGTGTCTTCTCTTTTTCCCTTCCCCGCCCGGAACGTGGAACCGGCGGCGGCTCGGCCGCGGAAAAACCTGCCTTGTATAAAAGAAAAAACAAACAAACAAACAAAAAACCAACAAAAAAAAAAGAAAAAAAAAAAAAACATGTACATTTTTTCATAACATTTTGGAGCAAGGTTTATATTGAGTTTCAGAAAAACGAGATGATTAAAAAAAAAAAATTAAAAAAAAAAAAAAGACAAAAAAAATCATAAAAAAATACACACCAAAAAAAAAAAAAAAAAAGATACAAAAAAAAACGACAAAAGGACAAAAAAAACAAAGTGTGATTGAAATTTTTACAGAGTCTTGGTGCAGCTGGTGTGAGGGTTGTGAATGCGAGTGAGGAAAGCGTGGCCTAAAGCTTTACTGGGCGAGGGGGTGGCTGTGTGAAAGTGCAGAGATCTATTTAGTGAGAGGAGCTGTAGAGAGAAGCGAAATCTCAAAACGACGCAAAAAAAATAAAAAAATGAAAAAAAAAACCGACGGAAAAAAAAAAAATTTAAAATAATAATAATAATAAAAAAAAAACACCACAAAAAAAAAAAAAGGCGTTGTAAAATTTCAAATTTTTTTTTTTTTTCTTATTCAGCCCCATTCAAAAATCAGAATTTCCCGCTCCCATCTCGCCCTCGTTTTTGGGAACTCGAAGCTGTGACGTGACCCCTCAACTCGCACTTCTCGTGGCTGTCCCTGTCCCATTTTTTTTTTTTCCCGTTTTCCGGGCTTTTTCCATCCTTTTTTCCCATTTTCAGGCTTTTTCCATCCCTTTTTTCTCATTTTCCATCCTTTTTTTCCCATTTTCTGGGCTTTTTCCATCCTATTTTCCAGCTTTTTCCATCCTTTTTTCCCCACTTTCTGGGGTTTTCCACCCTTTTTTCCCATTTTCTGAGCTTTTTCCATCCCTTTTTCCCCATTTTCCCAGCTTTTTCCATCCCATTTTTCCCATTTTCTAGCTTTTTTCCATCCTATTTTCCAGACTTTTTCCATCCCTTTTTTCCCATTTTCAGGCTTTTTCCATCCCTTTTTTCTCATTTTCCATCCTTTTCTTCCCATTTTCTGAGCTTTTTCCATCCCTTTTTTCCCATTTTCCCAGCTTTTTCCATCCCATTTTTTCCCATTTTCTAGTTTTTTCCATCCCACTTTCCAAACTTTTTCCATCCCTTTTTCCCATTTTCCAGCATTTTCCATCCCTTTTTTCCCATTTTCAGGCTTTTTCCATCCCTTTTTTCCTCATTTTCCATCCTTTTTTTCCCATTTTCTGGGCTTTTTCCATCCTATTTTCCAGCTTTTTCCATCCCATTTTCCAGCATTTTCCATTCCTTTTTTTCCCATTTTCCAGCATTTTCCATCCCTTTTTCCCATTTTCAGGCTTTTTTCATCCCTTTTTTCTCGTTTTCCATCCTTTTTTTCCCATTTTCTGGGCTTTTTCCATCCTGTTTTCCAGCTTTTTCCATCCTTTTTTCCCATTTTGTGAGCTTTTTCCATCCCTTTTTTCCCATTTTCTAGCTTTTTCCATCCCATTTTCAGGCTTTTTCCATCCCTTTTTCCCATTTTCCCCCAGAGGTTCCGATGTTTTCCCGGCCGGAGCCTCGAGGAGCCCTCGGGAACAGGAGGCGGGTTTGGGATGTGGGGGGAGCGGGAATCCCGGGGATCCAGAACCAAATTTTGGGATGTGGATGGATCAGGAATCTCATGGATCCAGGGGCAGGATCTGGTTTTGGGATGGAGCAGGAATGCTGTGGATCTGGGGGATCCGGGGGTGGGATCAGATTTTGGGTGGGAGCGGGAATCCCACGGATCCGGGATCAGATTTTGGGATGTGGGTGGATCAGGAATCTCATGGATCCAGGGGTGGGATCAGATTTTGGGATGTGGGTGGAGCGGGAATCCCACGGGATCCGGGGGTGGGATCAGCTTTTGGGAAGGAGCAGGAATCCCGTGGATTTGGGGGATCCACGATCCGTCCCAGTTTGATCTGATCGGTTTTTCTCATCCCGGTGCCCGGCCGTGACCCTGAGTGACCCCGAGTGACCCTGAGTGACCCCGAGCGACCCCTGAACCCCCTGAGTGACCCTGAGTGACCCTGAGTGACCCCTGAACCCCCTGAGTGACCCTGGCTGACCCCGAGTGACCCCGAGTGATCATGAGTGACCCCGAGTGACCCTGAGTGACCCCGAGTGACCCCTGAACCCCCTGAGTGACCCTGGCTGACCCCAAATGACCCTGAGTGACCCCTGAGTCCCCTGAATGACCACAGAGTGACCCCAAGTGACCCTTTGTGACCCTGAGTGATGCCGAGTGACCCCAAGTGACCCTGGGTGACCCCGAGTGACCCCTGAGTGACCCTGAGTGCCCCCAGGGTCACCCCAGGGTGCTCCTAGGCTGAGCTTTGGGTGGTTTCAGGCTGAGTTTTGGGTAATTTTAGGCTGATTTTGGGGTGGTTTTAGGGTGAGTTTTGGGTGTTTTTAGGCTGAGTTTTGGGTGGATTTATTGCCTCTCTTCTAGGATTTATTGGATCTCTGTAGGATTTATTGAATCTCCTGTAGGATTTATTGATCTTTTAGGATTTATTTGATTTCTTGCAGGATTTATTGGATCTCTGTAGGATTTATTTAATTTCTTGCAGGATTTACTGGATCTCTGTAGGATTTATTGATCTTTTAGGATTTATTGAATTTCTTGCAGGATTTATTTGATCTGTGTAGGATTTATTGAATCTCTTACAGGATTTATTGGATCTGTGTAGGATTTATTGAATTTCTTGCAGGATTTATTTGGTTTCTGTAGGATTTATTGAATTTCTTGCAGGATTTATTGGATCTCTGTAGGATTTATTGCCTCTCTTGTATGATTTATTGGATCTCTGTAGGATTTATTTAATTTCTTGCAGGATTTATTTAATTTCTTGCAGGATTTATTTGATCTCTGTAGGATTTATTTAATTTCTTGTAGGATTTATTGAATCTCTTGCAGGATTTATTGAATCTCCTGTAGGATTTATTGATCTTTCAGTATTTATTGAATCTCTTGTAGGATTTATTGATCTTTTAGGATTTATTGAATCTCTTGTAGGATTTATTGATCTTTTAGGATTTATTGAATCTCTTGAAGGATTTATTGGATCTCTTGTAGGATTTATTGATCTTTTAGGATTTATTGGATCTCTTGCAGGATTTATTGGATCTCTGTAGGATTTATTGGATCTCTGTAGGATTTATTTGATCCGTGTAGGATTTATTGAATTTCTTGCAGGATTTATTGGATCCGTGTAGGATTTATTGAATTTCTTGTAGGATTTATTGAATTTCTTGCAGGATTTATGGGATCTCTGTAGGATTTATTTAATCTCTTGCAGGATTTATTGGATCAGTGTAGGATTTATTGAATTCCTTGCAGGATTTATTGGGTTTCTGTAGGATTTATTGAATTTGTGTTGGATTTATTGAATTTCTTGCAGGATTTATTGGATCTCTGTAGGATTTATTGAATTCCTTGCAGGATTTATTGAATTTCTTGCAGGATTTATTGGATCTCTGTAGGATTTATTGCCTCTCTTGTATGATTTATTTGATCTCTGTAGGATTTATTTAATTTCTTGCAGGATTTATTTGATCTGTGTAGGATTTATTTAATTTCTTGCAGGATTTATTGGGTTTCTGTAGGATTTATTGAATTTCTTGCAGGATTTATTGGATCTCTTGTAGGATTTATTGATCTTTTAGGATTTATTGAATCTTTTAGGATTTATTGAATCTCTTGAAGGATTTATTTGATCTCTTGTAGGATTTATTGATCTTTTAGGATTTATTGAATCTCTTGAAGGATTTATTGGATCTCTTGTAGGATTTATTGATCTTTTAGGATTTATTGAATATCTTGTAGGATTTATTTATCTCTGTAGGATTTATTGCCTCTCTATGATTTATTGGATCTCTGTAGGATTTATTGAGTCTCTTGTAGGATTTATTTCATTTCTTGTAGGATTTATTTGCTCTCTTGTAGGATTTATTGGATCTCTTGTAGGATTTATTGATCTTTTAGGATTTATTGGATCTCTGTAGGATTTATTTGATCTCTGTAGGATTTATTTCATCTCTTGCAGGATTTATTTGGTTTCTGTAGGATTTATTGAATTTCTTGCAGGATTTACTGGATCTCTGTAGGATTTATTGATCTTTTAGGATTTATTGGATCTCTTGCAGGATTTATTGGATCTGTGTAGGATTTATTGAATTTCTTGCAGGATTTATTGGGTTTCTGTAGGATTTATTGAATTTCTTGCAGGATTTATTGGATCTGTGTAGGATTTATTTAATTTCTTGCAGGATTTATGGGATCTCTGTAGGATTTATTGAACCTCTTGCAGGATTTATTGGGTTTCTGTAGGATTTATTGAATTCCTTGCAGGATTTATTGAATTCCTTGCAGGATTTATTGAATTCCTTGCAGGGTTTATTGGGTTTCTGTAGGATTTATTGAACCTCTTGCAGGATTTATTTGGTTTCTGTAGGATTTATTGGATTTCTGCAGGATTTATTTGATTTCTTGCAGGATTTATTGGGTTTCGGGCTCCCTCTCCCCCGTGTCCCCGCGTTCCCGCTGCCGCCGGTGCAGCTCCTGGTTGCAGCCCTCCCTGTTCCGGGCGATCTCGATGGCCAAGAACTGGATCCTGGTGGCTGCAGAGGGGGACAGGGCCGGGCTCGGGGGGGATCCGTGGGTTTTGGGGTCCCCCCGGCCCCCAGAACCCCAAACCCACCGAGGATGGTGTTCTCCTCCGTGTAGGCGCCGCGCGCGTCCAGGCGCAGCAGCGTCCCGAAATTGAAATCCTCCACCAGGCCCTCGAAGGCCAGGCAGAACGGGCGCCACTTCTGGGGGCAGAACAGCCTCAGCACCCCAAAACCCCGAAACGGGCCCCAAAATCCCAATAAACCCATCCAAACCCGATTTAAACACCCCCAAACACCACAAAAACCCATTCAAACCCCACTAAAACCCATCCAAACCCCATTAAAACCCTCCACAATAAAACCTCCCCAAATCCCAATAAAACCCACACAAACCCCATTAAAACCCTTTAATATCCACTGAAATGACCCCAAACCCGACTAAAACTTCCCCAAACCCCACTAAAACCCATCCAAACCCCATTAAAACCCCCCACAATAAAACCTCCCCAAATCCCAATGAAACCCACACAAACCCCACTAAAACCCCTCAAGTCCCATTAAAATCCCCCAAACCCCACTAAAAACTCCACAAACCCCATTAAAACCCCAAAACCCCATAAAAACCCCCCAGAAAACCCCCAAAACCCCCAAAAAAACCCCAAAAACCCCAAAACCCCATAAAAAACCCCCCAAAAAACCCCAAAACCCCATAAAACCCCCATAAAAACCCAAAAAAAAAAAAACCCAAAAAAACCCAAAAAGCCCCCAAAAAACCCCAAAAACCCCCCCAAAAAAAACCCAGAAAGCCCCAAAACCCCCCAAAACCCCCAAAAAAACACCCCAGAAAGACCCCCAACCCCCCCCGAAACACCCCAAAAAACCCCAAAACCCCATAAAAACCCCCCCAAAAAAACCCCAAAACCCAAAAAAAAACCCCATAAAACCCCCCCCAATAAAATCCCCAAAACCCAAAAAAAACCCCCCAAAAAACCCCAAAACCCCAAAAAAACCCCAGAAAAACCCCCCAAAAAAAACCCCAAAACCCCAAAGAAAGCCCCAAAAAACCCAAAAAAAACCCAAAAAAACCCCAAAAAACCCCAAAACCCCATAAAAACCCCCCAAAAAACACCTCAGAAAGACCCCCAACCCCCCCCTCAAAACACCCCGAAAAACCACAAAACCCCATAAAAACCCCATAAAATCCCCCCCAAAAAACCCAAAACCCAAAAAAAAAAAACCCAAAAAACCCCCCAAAAAAACCCCATAAAACCTCCCCAAAAAAAAACCCAAAAAACCCCAAAGAAACCCCCAAAAAACCCCATAAAAACCCCATAAAACCCCTAAAATAAAACCCCAAAACCCCAAAAAACACCCCAGAAAAACCCCAAAACCCCCCAAAAAACCCCAAACCCCATAAAAACCCCCAAACCCTATAAAAACCCCAAAAAAACCCCAAAGCCCTTCCCACCGCCTTGGCAGCCTCAGATTTCAGCTCCTCGGGGTCCAGGCGGTCGAGGCGCAGGTTCCGGAAGGTTCCGCGGAAGTTCTCGTAGATCCGCTCGTCCATCGGGGTCAGCCGCAGGAATTGGGGGTCCACCGAGCAGATCTGCTGGGGGGGGGGCAGATGGGGCACCCCAAAAACAGCGGCACCCCAAAAACCCCCACAGGGAACCCCAAAACACCAAAAACAATGGAGTACCCCAAAAAAAACACCCCAAAAATCACGGGAACCCCAAAACCCCAAAAGTCATGGGGCACCCCAAAGAAACACCCCAAAAGCCACAGGCACCCCAAAAATCACGGGCACCCCAAAACACCAAAAGCCACGAGGTACCCCAAAAAAAACACCCCAAAAATCATGGGAACCCCAAAACCCCAAAAGCAATGGAGTAGCCCAAAAAAAACACCCCAAAAATCACGGGCACCCCAAAACCCCACGGGGAACCCCAAAACACCAAAAGCCATGGAGTACCCCAAAAAAACACCCCAAAAATCACGGGAACCCCAAAACCCCAAAAGTCATGGGGAACCCCAAAAAAACCACCCCAAAAATCACATGGGGCACCTCAAAACCCCACAGGCAACCCCAAAACCCCAAAAGCCATGGGGCACCCCAAAGAAACATCCCAAAAACCACAGGCACCCCAAAAATCACGGGCACCCCAAAACACCAAAAGCCCTGGGGCACCCCAAAAAAAACACCCCAAAAATCCCATACACCCCAAAACCCCAAAAGCCATGGAATAGCCCAAAACCCCACGGGCAACCCCAAAAAAAAACACCCCAAAAAACATATGCACCCCAAAACCCAAAAAGCCACAGGGCACCCCTAAAGCCACAGGCACCCCAAAAATCACGGGCACCCCAAAACCCTAAAAGCCATGGGCAACCCAAAAGCCACAGAGCACCCCAAAAACCCACCCCAAAAGCCCTGGGGCACCCCAAAACCCAACGGGCCACCCCAAAACCCCACCCCAAAAGCCCTGGGGTACCCCAAAACACCACGGGACACCCCAAATTCCCACCCCAAAAGCCCTGGGGCACCCCAAAAGCCCACAGGCCACCCCAAAACCCCTCTGCAAAAGCCACAAGATGACCCAAACCCCACCCCAAACCCCCCCGGGGTACCCTAAAAGCCCCGGGGCACCCCAAAACCCCACCCCAAAAGCCCTGGGGTACCCCAAAACCCAACGGGCCACCCCAAATCCCCACCCCAAAAGCCATGGGACACCCCAAAACCCAACGGGCCACCCCAAAACACCTCTGCAAAAGCCACAAGACGAACCAAACCCCACCCCAAAACCCCCGGGGCACCCCAAATCCCCACACCAAAAGCCACAAGACAACCCAAACCCCACGCCAGAAGCCCTGGGGCACCCCAAAACCCCACGGGACACCCCAAATCCCCACCCCAAAAGCCATGGGATACCCCAAAACCCAATGGGGCACCCCAAAACCCCTCTGCAAAAGCCACAAGATGACCCAAACCCCACCCCAAAACCCCCGGGGCACCCCAAAACCCCACCCCAAAAGCCCTGGGACACCCCAAAACCCAACGGGCCACCCCAAAACCCCACCCCAAAAGCCCTGGGACACCCCAAAACACCACGGGACACCCCAAAACCCCACCCCAAAAGCCATGGGGCACCCCAAAACCCAATGGGCCACCCCAAAACCCCACCCCAAAAGCCACAAGACAACCCAAACCCCACACCAGAAGCCCTGGGGCACCCCAAAACACCACGGGGCACCCCAAAACCCCACCCCAAAACCCCACGGGCCACCCCAAAACCCCACCCCAAAAGCCATGGGACACCCCAAAACCCCACGGGCCACCCCAAAACCCCACCCCAAAAGCCATGGGACACCCCAAAACCCCACAGGCCACCCCAAAACCCCTCTGCAAAAGCCACAAGATGACCCAAACCCCACCCCAAAACCCGTGGGGCACCCCAAATCCCCACCCCAAAAGCCCCGGGGCACCCCAAAACCCCAAACTCACGTTGAAGTAGACCTGGGCGTGCTGGTGGGCCCTCATGGCCCAGGCCAGCTCCACGCGGGGCTGGACACGAGTGGGGACGGCCGTGTCACCTCTGGGGGGACACGCGTCCCCTCGGGGGGCCCCGGCACATCTCGGGGACCCCCTCCCGCTTTTGGGGTTCGCCTCCCCTCGGGGTTCCTCCCTTCCCCTTCTGCTTTTGGGGTTCTGCTCCTCACAGGGAACAGGGTTGGGAACCCCCCAGTGGGACTGAGAGCCCCAAAATGGGGACACCCCCAAAATGGGGACACCCCCAAAAACTGGAGTCCCCCAAACCGGGACTCCCCAGGATTGGGGGATCCCCCAAAACTGGGACCCCCTCCCAGGAGTGGGACTCCCCAGGATTGGGATCCCCCCAAAGCCGGGACCCCTCAGCTGTGTGACCCCCCAAAACAGGGACCCCAAAGTTGGAACCCCAAATCTGAGACCAGCCCCCCAAAACAGGGACCCCCAAAGTTGGAACCCCCAAATCTGAGACCCCCCCAAAACAGGGACCCCCAGAGTGGGAACCCCAAATCTGAGAGCCCCCCCAAAACAATGACCCCCAAATCTGAGACCAGCCCCCAAAACAGGGACCCCCAAAGCTGGAACCCCAAATCTGAGACCCCCCAAAACAGGGACCCCCAGAGTGGGAACCCCCAAATCTGAGACCCCCCAAAAACAGGGACCCCCAAATCTGAGAGCAGCCCCCCAAAACAGGGACCCCCAGAGTGGGAACCCCAAATCGGGGACCCCTCTGTGAGGACAGGGACACCCAGGGCAGGGACCCCCAAACCTGTGACCCCTCCCAGTAAGGCCCCCCAGTGCTCCCAGTCCCAGTCCCGCTGTGTCACCAGTCCCCCCAGTGTCCCCATTCCCATTATCCCCAGTCCCAGTGACCCCAGTCCCCCCACTGCTCCCAGTGTCCCCAGTGCTCCCGGTCCCCCCAGTCCCCATTCCCAGTCTCCTCAGTCCCATTTCCAGTCCCCCCATTCCCAGTGTCCCCAATCACAGTCCCCCCAGTGTCCCAGTCCCCCCAGTGTCCCCATTCCAGTGTCCCCACACCCAGTGCCCCCAGTCCCATTCCCAGTCCCCCCAGTGTCCCCATTCCAGTGTCCCCAGTATCCCCAGTCCCCTCAGTGCTCCCAGTCCCCCCATTCCCAGTCCCCCCATTCCCAGTGTCCCCATTCCGGTGTCCCCACACCCAGTCCCCCCAGTCCCATTCCCAGTGCCATTCCCAGTCCCATTCCCAGTCCCCCCAGTGTCCCCACACCGTGTCCCCAGTGCTCCCTGTGTGCCCATTCCCAGTCCCATTCCCATTCCCAGTGCTCCCATTCCCACTCCCAGTATTCCCAGTGCTCCCAGTCCCACTTCACTCACGTCGTTGCCGAACGCCTCCGCGGGCAGCGCCAACGCCTGAGCGGCCGCTGCGACCTCACCGGGACCCTGCGGGGACACGGGACATGGGACACGGACACGGACACGGACACGGGACACGGGGCTGTGACACGGACACGGGACACGGACACGGACACGGACACGGGGCTGTGACACGGACACGGACACGGACATGGACACGGGACACGGACACGGACACGGACACGGGACACGGACACGGACACGGACACGGGGCTGTGACACGGACACGGGACACGGACACGGACACGGACACGGGGCTGTGACACGGACACGGACACGGGGCTGTGACACGGACACGGACACGGACACGGGGCTGTGACACGGACACGGGACACGGACACGGACACGGACACGGGGCTGTGACACGGACACGGACACGGACACGGGACACGGGACATGGACACGGACACGGACACGGACACGGGGCTGTGACACGGACACGGGACACGGACACGGACACGGACACGGACACGGGACATGGACACGGACACGGACACGGACACGGGGCTGTGACACGGACACGGACACGGACACGGGGACACGGCTCCCAGTCCCCCCAGTCCATCCCAGTCCATCCCAGTCCCCCCAGTCCCCCCAGTCCCACCAGTCCCCCCCAGTCTATCCCAGTCCCACCAGTCCCCCCCAGTCCCCCCCAGTCCCCCCAGTCCATCCCAGTCCCCCCAGTCCCCCCAGTCCATCCCAGTCCATCCCAGTCCATCCCAGTCCCCCCAGTCCATCCCAGTCCCCCCAGTCCATCCCAGTCCATCCCAGTCCCCCCAGTCCCCCCCAGTCCATCCCAGTCCCCCCAGTCCATCCCAGTCCCACCAGTCCATTCCAGTCCCCCCAGTCCATCCCAGTCCATCCCAGTCCATCCCAGTCCCACCAGTCCCGGCAGTGCCGCCGCCGCCATCGCTGCCGGAAGGAGCGGCGGGACCGCCCCGGACGGGCGGGGACAGCGGGACCGGGGGAGGGACACGTGGGGACAGCGGGACCGGTGGGGACAGAGGGACCGGGGGGGGACACGGGGGGACAGCGGGACCGGGGGGGACAGCGGGACCGGGGGGGGACAGCGGGACACGGGGGGACAGAGGGGACAGAGAGACACGGGGGGACAGAGGGACGAGGGGGACAGAGGGACACCGGGTGATACGGGGAATACGGGGGGACAGAGGACACGGGGGGACAGCGGGACTGGGGGGACAGAGGGACACGGGGGGATAGAGGGACACGGGGGACAGTGGGACACGGGGAGCAGAAGGGACACGGGGGGACAGCGGGACTGGGGGATCGGGGGGACACGAGGGGAATAGAGGGACACGGGGGGACAGAGGGACGGGGGGGACGGAGGGACACGGGGGGACACGGGGGGATAGAGGGACACGGGGGACAGGGGACACGGGGGGATAGAGGGGACACGTGGGGACAGAGGGACACGGGGGGACAGAGGAACACGGGGGACACTGGGGAACACGGGGGTTTGGGGACACGGGGAGCAGAAGGGACACGTGGGGACAGCGGGACTGGGGGACACGGGGGGGACACGGGGGGACAGAGGGAACACGTGGGGCGGGGGGACACGGGGGACAGAGGGGACACGGCGTGACGTGGGAGTGACACGGGGGGACATGGAGGGACACAGGACATGGGGGGACACGAGAGGGTCACGCAGGACCAAGAACAGGGGACACGGAGGGACATGGACAACACGGGGGGACACGTGGGGTGGGGGACACACGGGGACATGGAGGGGACACGGGGGACATGGAGAGACACAGGACAGCACGGGGACACGCGAGGCGAGGGGACACGGGTGAAACGAGGGGACACTGGAGAACGCGGGGGGACATGGGGGGGACACGGGGGACATGGGGGGACACGGGGGACATCGAGGGACACGGGGGGACATGGGGGGACACAAAGGACACCGAGGGACACGGGGACATCGAGGGTCGTGGAGGACATGGGGGGACACGGGGGACATCGAGGCACGGGGGGTGACACGGGGGGACATGGGGGGACACAAAGGACACCGAGGGACATCGAGGCACGGGGGTGACACGGAGAGGACACGAGGGACATCGAGGGACAGGGGTGACACGGAGAGGACACGGGGGGACACGGGGGACATTGAGGGACATCGAGGGACATGGGGGGACACGGGGGACATGGGGGGACACCCAGCGCGCGGTGCCACCCCCAGCCCTGTCCCCACGCGGTGACCTGTCACACAGCGGTGGGGGGGGGGGGGCGCTGCTGCTGAGCAGCCCCAGCTGAGTGTTAATGAGCTAATTACCCCAATTAACCCCAATTACCGCGGGCGGGGGCGCTGCCGCCCTATAAGCGCCGCCTGTGGGGCGGCCCCGCTGTCTGTGGGGTTTCCCTTGGGGCCGACGCTGCTTTGGGTGAGTCTGTGGGGTGGGGTCGGGGGAGGCGCTGAAATTTTGGGGGTGTCCCCATTCCCAGTGCTCCCAGTGTCCCCAGTCCCTCTAGGGTCCCCAGTCCACCGGTGCTCCCAGTATCCCCATTCCCAGTATTCCCAGTCCCCCCAGTGTCCCCATTCCCAGTTCCCCCCAGTGCTCCCATGCTCCCATTCCCAGTACCCCCAGTGCCCCCAGTATCTCTATTCCCAGTGCCCCCAGTGTCCCCCCAGTGTCCCCAGTCCCTCCAGGGTCCCCATTCCATTCCCAGTGCTCCCAGTCCCCCCAGTGTCCCCATGCTCCCATTCCCAGTGCCCCCAGTATCTCTATTCCCAGTGCCCCCAGTGTCCCCCCATTATTCCCAGTGCTCCCAGTGTCCCCCCAGTGCTCCCAGTGTCCCCAGTCCCATTCCATTCCCAGTCCCCCCAGTGTCCCCATGCTCCCATTCCCAGTCCCCCCAGTGCTCCCAGTGTCTTCATTCCCAGTCCCCCCAGTATCTCTATTCCCAGTGCTCCCAGTGTCCCCCCATTATTCCCAGTGTCCCCCCATTATTCCCAGTGTCCCCCCATTATTCCCAGTGCTCCCAGTGTCCCCCCCCAGTATTCCCAGTGTCCCCCCCCAGTATTCCCAGTGTCCCCCCCATTATTCCCAGTGTCCCCCCATTCCCATTATTCCCAGTCCCCCCAGTGTCCCCCAGTCCCGCTCCACTCCCGCCGTTGCCGAACGCCCCCGCAGTGAGTTTTTGGGGCGGGGGGGGGGTGTCCCCAGATTTTGGGGGTGTCCTCAGATTTTGGGGGTGTCCCCAGATTTTGGGGTCTCCCCCATCTCCGTGTGTCCCCCGCAGGCTGTGCCACCCCTCGGCCATGTCCTTCACCGACAGCACTGACAGCGGCTCCGACCGCCCCGTCTCCGTCCTTTGGGGTGAGTGTCCCCCCAAAATCCCGCCTAAATCCCCCCGAACCCCTCCCGGGGTGTCCGGACCCCCCAAAACCGCGGCTGTGTCCCCGCAGGCTGCGAGCTGAGCGCCGCCCGGAGCTGCTGCACCTTCCGCGCCCCCGAGGATTGGCGCTGCGAGCAGCAGCTGGTCCTGCGCACGGTCAGTCACCCCAAAAACAGCCCCGGCACCCCAAAAAATAACCCAAAAAATAGCCCGAGCCACCCCCAAAAAATAGCCCCGACACCCCAAAAAATAACCCAAAAAATGGCCCGAACCACCCCCAAAAAATAACCCAAAAATAGCCCGGGGCACCCCAAAAAATAACCCAAAAAATAGCCCGAGGCACCCCCAAAAAATAGCCCAAAAAATGGCCCGAGGCACCCCCAAAAAATAACCCCAAAAAATGGCCCGAGGCACCCCCAAAAAATAACCCCAAAAAATAGCCCCGACACCCCCAAAAAATAACCCCAAAAAATAACCCCAAAAAATAACCCCAAAAAATAACCCCAAAAAATAACCCCAAAAAATAACCCCAAAAAATAACCCCAAAAAATAACCCCAAAAAATAACCCCAAAAAATCTCCCTCCAAATAATACCCCCAAAAAATCTCCCTCCAAATAATACCCCCAAAAAATAACCCAAACCACCCCAAAAAAAATCTCCCCCCAAACCACCCCTAAAAATCTCCCCCCCAAAACCCCCAAAGAAATAACCCCTGAACCGCCAAAAATACCCCCCAAAATCCCCCAAAGAACTATCGCTCCCGAACCCCCCAAAAAGAAACACAGTCCCCAAACCCCAAAAAATGCCCCCCCAAAAACCCCTCCGAAGAGATGGGACCCCCAAACCCCCCCTCCAAAAGAAGGAGGCCCCCAAAAAGCAATATAGCCCCGAAAATGCCCCCCAAAGTGCCCCTAAAACCCCCAAACCCCCCCAAAAAATACCCCCCAAGCCCACCCCCAAAAGAAGGGGGCCCCCAAAATCAATATAGCCCCGAAAATGCCCCCCAAAGTGCCCCTAAAACCCCCAAACCCCCCCAAAAAATGCCCCCCAAGCCCACCCCCAAAAGAAGGGGGCCCCCAAAACCCCCCCAAATCAATATAGCCCCAAAAATTGCCCCCAAAGTGCCCCTAAAACCCCCAAACCTCCCCCCAAAAAAGCAATATAGCCCCAAAAATGCCCCCAAAGTGCCCCTAAAACCCCCAAACCCCCCCCAATAAGCAATATAACCCCGAAAATGCCCCCCAAAGTGCCCCTAAAACCCCCAAAAAATGCCCCCTAAGCCCATCCCCAAAAGAAGGGGGCCCCCAAACCCCCCCCCAAAATCAATATAACCCCGAAAATACCCCCCAAAATGCCCCTAAAACCCCCAAACCCCCCCCAAAAAAGCAATATAACCCCGAAAATGCCCCCAAAGTGCCCCTAAAACCCCCAAAAATGCCCCCCAAAATTCCCCCAACGCTGTGCCCAGGTGTGCCTGGGGGAGGCGGCCCGGGACGAGTTCCACGTGCTGGAGGTGCTGCCCGAGGACGGCGAGAACCGAACCCCGGTACCGCTGGCCACGCTCAGACCCTCCGTGCTGCCCTCGGTCCGTACCGGGACAGGGCTCGGGGTGACCGGGAGGGGTCGGGGTGAGCCGGGGGAGGGTTTGGGGGTGACCCGGGGGAGGGTTCGGGGCTCGGGGGGTGCTCCCGGGGGAGGATTCGGGGGTGACCCGGGGGAGGGTTCGGGGCTTGGAGGTGACCCGGGAAAGGGTTTGGAGGTGACCCGGGGGAGGGTTTGGGGTTCGGGAGCTGCCCCCGGGGAGGGTTTGGGGCTTCGGGGGGCACCCAGGAAAGGGTTTGGGGTTCGGGGGTGACCCCGGGGAGGGTTCGGGGTGACCCGGGAAAGGGTTTGGGGCTCCGGGGGTGCCCCCGGGAAAGGGTTTGGGGGTGACCCGGGAAAAGGGTTCGGGGGTGACCCGGGGGAGGGTTTGGGGTTCGGGGGTGACCCGGGGGAGGGTTCGGGGCTCGGGGGGTGACCCGGGAAAGGGTTTGGAGGTGACCCGGGAAAAGGGTTCGGGGGTGACCCGGGGGAGGGTTTGGGGCTCGGGGGGCACCCGGGAAAGGGTTTGGAGGTGACCCGGGAAAGGGTTCGGGGCTCTGGGGGCGCCCCCGGGGCGGGTTCGGGGCTCGGGGGTGAGCCGGGGGAGGGTTCGGGGGTGACCCGGGGGGAGGGTTTGGGGCTCCGATGGTGCCCCTCGGGAGGGTTTGGGGCTCGGGGGGTGCCCGGGGACGGTTTGGGGGTGACCCGGGAAAGGGTTTGGGGCTCTGGGGGCGCCCCCGGGGAGGGTTTGGGGTTCGGGGGTGCCCGGGAAAGGGTTCAGGGCTCGGGGGGTGCCCGGGGAGGGTTTGAGGGTGACCCGGGGGAGGGTTTGGAGTTCTGGGGCTCCGGGGGTCCCCCAGGGAGGGTTTGGGGGTGACCCGGGGGAGGGTTTGGGGCTCGGAGGGCACCCGGGAAAGGGTTTGGGGCTCCGGGGGCTGCTCGGGGTTCCGGGGGTGCCCCTCGGGAAAGGGTTCGGGGCTCGGGGTGTCCCCCCGGGGGAGTTTGGGGTTCGGGGTGGCCCCGGGGGTCTCCGCTCCTGCCTCTGGGTAGTGATCCGGTGCTCGAGGGGTCCTCCCGGGGACGGGTTTGGGGTTCGGGGGGCGCCCCGGGGGAAGTTTTGGGATTTGGGGGGTGCCCCCGGGGAAGGGTTTGGGGTTCGGGGGGTGCCCCCGGGCTCGGGGCTCTGCTCCTGCCCCCGGGGAAGGTTTGGGGTTCGGGGGATGCCCCTCAGGAGGGTTTGGGGTTCGGGGGCGCCCCGGGGAGGGTTCGGGGCTCCAGGGCTCTCTGCTCCTGCCCCCGGGGAGGCTTTGGGGGTGCTGCTGCTGTCCGGGGGGGCTGCCAGGAGCTGTTTGCACCCCGATTTCCCAGACCTCGCTGGCCGGAGTGGAGCTGACCCCTCCGGTGACCTTCCGCCTGCGGGCCGGCTCCGGACCCCTGTTCGTCAGCGGCCAGCACGTGTCCCGTGAGTTTTGGGGTGTCCCGGGAGTTTTGGGGTCCCCCGGGGGTGTCCCGGGAGGATTGGGGTCCCCCTGTGTGTCCCGGGAGTTTTGGGGTGTCCAGGGAGTTTTGGGATCCCCCGGGGTGTCCCGGGAGTTTTGGGGTGTCCAGTGAGTCTCGGGGTCCCCCCTCACATGTTCAGTCAGTATCGGGGTGCCCCCCTCCACATTCCCCCACATCCCCTCTGAGTATTGGGGTTCCCCTTTGCGTGTCCAGTGAAAATTGGGGTCCCCCTGACCCCCCTACCCCTTATCCAGTGAATATCGGGGTGTCCAGTGAGTATTGGGGTGCCCCCCACGTGCCCAGCGAGTTTCGGGGTGCCCCGACCCCCCACCCCTCATCCCGCGAGTTTTGGGGTCCCCCTGACCCCCCACCCCTCATCCCGGGAGTTTTGGGGTGCCCCGACCCCCCACCCCTTATCCCGCGAGTTTTGGGGTCCCCCCACCCCTTATCCCGCGAGTTTTGGGGTGCCCCCACCCCTCATCCCGCGAGTTTTGGGGTCCCCCCACCCCTTATTCCGGGAGTTTTGGGGTCCCCCCACCCCTTATTCCGGGAGTTTTGGGGTTCCCCCACCCCTTATCCCGCGAGTTTTGGGGTTCCCCTGACCCCCCACCCCTTATCCCGCGGGTTTTGGGGTGCCCCCACCTCTTATCCCGCGAGTTTTGGGGTTCCCCTGACCCCCCACCCCTTATCCCGCGGGTTTTGGGGTTCCCCTGATCCCCCACCCCTTATCCCGCGAGTTTTGGGGTGTCCCCCGCGTGTCCAGCGAGTTTCGGGGTCCCCCCCGACCCCCCACCCCCTGTCTAGTGAGTATTGGGGTGTCCCCCACGTGCCCAGCGAGTTTTGGGGTGCTCCGACCCCCCACCCCTTATCCCGCGAGTTTTGGGGTTCCCCTGACCCCCCACCCCTTATCCCGCGAGTTTTGGGGTGCCCCGACCCCCCACCCCTTATCCCGCGAGTTTTGGGGTCCCCCCACCCCTTATCCCGCGAGTTTTGGGGTGCCCTGACCCCCCACCCCTTATCCCGCGAGTTTTGGGGTGCCCCCGACCCCCCACCCCCTGTCTAGTGAGTATTGGGGTGTCTCCCACGTGTCCAGCGAGTTTTGGGGTGCCCCGACCCCCCACCCCTTATCCCGCGAGTTTTGGGGTCCCCCCACCCCTTATCCTGCGAGTTTTGGGGTTCCCCTGACCCCCCACCCCTTATCTCACGAGTTTTGGGGTGCTCTGACCCCCACCCCTTATCCTACGAGTTTTTGGGGTGCCCCCACCCCTTATCCCGGGAGTTTTGGGGTGCCCCCACCCCTGATCCCGCCGCCTCTCCCGCAGTCATGGACCTGAGCTCGGAGGAGGATGAGGATGATGATGAGGAGGAAGAAGCAGCCGAGGAAACCCCCAAGAAACCCCCCAAAGGCTCCGGCGCCCCGAGGGGCGGCGCTGCCAAGGTCAGATTTTGGGGGGGTGGGGACCCCAAATTCCTCTCTGTCCCCGAAACGAGCCCTGACCTTCATCCCCCGGCAGGAAATCCCTCACCCTCCTCCTCCTCCTCCTCTTTCTCCCCCGCAGAAAAGGAAGCGCGAGAAGGAGGAGGAGCTGTGAGTACCCAAATTTTGGGGTACGGGGGGGGTCCCCCATAGGCGGGACCCCCACCCCAACCCCGCCTTGTCTCCCGAGCAGGAACAGCCTCGCCCCCGAGGGTCCCCCTCCCGCCAAGGTAGGGCCGAGGGGGTCCCGCACCCCCTTTTCCCGAGGGATGTCGGGGTTCGGGGGGGCGGGAGGGGTCGGGAGGCAGAATTTGGACCCAAAATTTGGGGGTGAAGCGCAGATTTGGGGCTCCCCCATCACCTTTTCCCAAGGGATCGGGGTTTGGGGGGACGGCAGAATTTGGACCCAAAATTTGGGAGCAAAGCGCAGATTTGGGGCTCCCCCATCACCTTTTTCCAAGGGATTGGGGTTTGGGGTGACAGGAAGGGTCGGGTGGCAGAATTTGGACCCAAAATTTGGGGGCGAAGTGCAGATTTGGGGCTCCCCACACCCCCTTTTCCTGCGGGATAACGGGATCGGGGTTTGGGGGCATGGGAGGGGTCGGGAGGCAGAATTTGGACCCAAAATTTGGGGGTGAAGCGCAGATTTGGGGCTCCCCCATCACCTTTTCCCAAGGGATAACAGGATCGGGGTTTGGGGGGACGGGAAGGGTCAGGAGGCAGAATTTGGACCCAAAATTTGGGAGCAAAGCACAGATTTGGGGCTCCCCGCACCCCCTTTTCCCGAGGGATAACGGGATCAGGGTTTGGGGGCACGGGAGGGGTCGGGTGGCAGAATTTGGACCCATAATTTGGGGGAGAAGTGCAGATTTGGGGCTCCCCCATCACCTTTTCCCAAGGGATCGGGATTTGGGGGGGGACGGCAGAATTTGGACCCCAAAATTTGGGGGTGAAGCGCAGATTTGGGGCTCCCCCATCACCTTTTCCCAAGGGATCGGGGTTTGGGGGGATGGCAGAATTTGGACCCCAAATTTGGGGGGCGAAGCGCAGATTTGGGGCTCCCCCATCACCTCGAACCCCCCCCCATTCCCGCAGGGCCGCGGAGCCGGGCGGGGCAGGAAAGCCGCACCAAAGAAATGATGGGAATTCCGCAATTCCGTCCGGGTGAGGAGTTTTGGGGTGTCCTACACAGCTTTGGGGGGAAATCTTGGGGTGCTCCCACCCCACAGCGGGTGGGAAAAAAAAAAAATAATCCCTTTTTCCTCCTTATTTTGCAGGTGCAGCTGCTGGTGGTGGTGGTGGGTTGATTCCCGAAATAAATAAAGCGGATTTTGCACTCCTGGAGCCTGTGGGGCACCCCCCACCCTGGAATTTTGGGAATTTTTGGGATCCCACGGAGCTGGCCGGGATTTGGGGTGTCCCAGAAAGGGGGGCGCTGAACCCCCTTTTTTAGGGGTGTGGGGCAGAGACGGTTCCTGGCCCCAGGGGACCTCCGGGCAGGTGAGGAGGGGATTTTGGGGTCCACTTTAGGAATAAAGGGATGAACTCCTCGGGAACCCCAAAACGGCTCCAGGGCTTTTCCTAAATGCGGGATTTTGGGGAGAAAAGCAGAGCTGCTCAGGGCAGGTGAGGAGGAGATTTGGGGTCCCCCCTGGGAATGGGATGAGCTCCCCAGGAACCCCAAAACTGCTTTTCCTAAATGTGGGATTTTGGAGGGTCAGGGCAGGTGAGGAGGGGATTTTGGGGTCCCCCCTGGGAATGGGATGAACTCCTCAGGAACCCCAAAACGGCTTTTCCTAAACGCGGGATTTTGGAGGGTCAGGGCAGGTGAGGAGGGGATTTGGGGTCCCCCCTGGGAATGGGATGAGCTCCCCAGGAACCCCAAAACAGCTTTTCCTAAACGTGGGATTTTGGAAGGTCAGGGCAGGTGAGGAGGGGGATTTTGGGGTCCCCCCTGGGAATAATGGGATGAACTCCTCGGGAACCCCAAAACGGCTCCAGGGCTTTTCCTAAATGTTGGAGAGAAAAGCGGAGCTGCTCAGGGGAGGTGAGGAGGGGATTTTGGGGTCCCCCCTGGGATTGGGATGAACTCCTCAGGAACCCCAAAATGGCTTTTCCTAAACGTGGGATTTTGGAAGGTCAGGGCAGGTGAGGAGGGGGATTTGGGGTCCCCCCTGGGAATAATGGGATAAACTCCCCCGGGAACCCCAAAATGGCTCCATTTGGTTTTCTAAATGTGGGATTTTGGAGGCTCAGGGCAGGTGAGGAGGGGATTTTGGGGTCCCCCCTGGGATTGGGATGAACTCCTCAGGAACTCAGCCTTTCCCGGGTTGGGGGTGCCCTGGGGGGCTGCAGAGGGGCTGGTGCCCCCCCTGCCACCCCAAACCCTCTCTGCTGTCCTCCAGAGGTGCCCCGAGCTGGGCCGGGGGTGGCACTGGGGTGGCAGGGCTGCTGTCCCCTGGGGAGGGTCACCGAGCACCTCTGGGTGCACCCTGTGGGTGGGGAGGTCAAAGGGTGATCCTGAACCTCCTCCATCCCTGTGAGTGCCCAGGGGATTGTCCTGCACGTTCTCCATCCCTCAGTGAGGCCGAAGGCTGCTCCTGCACATTCTCCATCCCTCTTTGTGCCCAGGGCATTGTCCTGCACATTTTCCATCCCTCTCTGAACCCACAGGATTTTCCTGCTCTCCCTCATCCCCCTCTGCACCCTCGGGATCCTCCAGCACCCCCCATCCCTGTGTGTGCCCAGGGGATTGTCCGTCACCTCCTCCATCCTTCTGTAAATTCACAGGATTTTTCTGCTCTCCCTCATCCCTCTCTGAACCCACAAGATGCTCCTGCTCACTCTCTGAGTGTCCAGGGGATCATCCTGCACCCCTGCATCCCTCAGTGAGGCCGAAGGCTGCTCCTGCACATCCTCCACCCCTCTTTGTGCCCAGGGCATTGTCCTGCACTCCCTCATCCCCCTCTAAATCCACAGGATTGTCCTGCACATTCTCCATCCCTCCCTGAGGCTGAAGGCTGCTCCTGGGCTTCCTCCATCACTTGGCAAGGCCAGAGGATCCTCCTGCACTCCCTCATCCCTCTGAGTGTTCAGGGGATTGTCCTGCACGTTCTGCATCCCTCTCTGAACCCACAGGATTGTCCTGCACGTTCTCCACCCCTCAGTGAGGCCGAAGGCTGCTCCTGCACCTCCTCCACCCCTCTGATTGTCATGGGGATTGTCCTGCACGTTCTGCATCCCTCACTGAATCCAGGGCATTGTCCTGCTCTCCCTCATCCCTCTCTGAACCCACAGGATTTTTCTGCACTCCCTCATCCCACAGGATTGTCCTGTGCCCCTCTGTCCCTGTGAGTGCCCAGGGCATTGTCCTGCACTCCTTTCACCCCTCTGAGTGTCCACGGGGTCATCCTGCACTCCTCCATCCCTCGGTGAGGCCGAAGGCTGCTCCTGCACCTCCTCCACCCCTCTGATTGCCCAGGGCATTGTCCTGTGCTCCCTCATCCCCCTCTAAATCCACAGGATTTTTCTGCACATTCTCCATCCCTCCCTGAGGCCAAAGGCTGCTCCTGGGCTTCCTCCAGCACTTGGCAAGGCCAGAGGATCCTCCTGTGCTCCCTCATCCCTCTGAGTGCCCAGGGGATTGTCCTGCACGTTCTGCATCCCTCAGTGAGGCTGAAGGCTGCTCCTGCACATTCTCCATTCTTCTGAGCATCCAGAGGATCCTTCTGCACTCCCTCATCCCTCTCTGAACCCTCAGGATTGTCCTGAACCCCTCCACCCCTGTGAGTGCCCAGGGCATTGTCCTGCACTTCTCCACCCCTCTAAACCCCCTGGATTGTCCTGCACACTCTGCATCCCTCTCTGAACCCACAGGATTGTCCTGCACTCCTCCATCCCTCAGTGAGGCTGAAGGCTGCTCCTGCACCTCCTCCATCCCTGTGTGTGCCCAGAGGATTTTCCTGCACTCCCTCATCCCACAGGATTTTCCTGCACTCCTCCATCCCTCTGAGTGTCCAGGGGATTGTCCTGCACTCCCTCATCCCCCTCTGAACCCTCAGGATCCTCCAGCACCCCCCATCCCTCTGATTACCCAGGGGATTGTCCGTCACCTCCTCCATCCTTCTGTAAATTCACAGGATTTTTCTGCTCTCCCTCATCCCTCTCTGAACCCACAAGATGCTCCTGCACCTCCTCCATCCCTCTGATTGTCATGGGCATTGTCCTGCATGTTCTGCATCCCTCACTGAATCCAGGGGATTGTCCTGCACCTCCTCCACCCCTCTGAGTGCCCAGGGGATCATCCTGCACCCCTCTATCCCTCAGTGAGGCTGAAGGCTGCTCCTGCACATTCTCCATCCCTGTGTGTGCCCAGAGGATTTTCCTGCACATTTTCATCCCTCTCTGAACCCACAGGATTTTTCTGCTCTCCCTCATCCCTCTCTGAACCCACAAGATGCTCCTGCACATCCTCCACCCCTCTGATTGTCCGGGGGATTTTCCTGCTCTCCCTCATCCCCCTCCGCACCCCCGGGACCCTCCAGCACCCCCCATCCCTCTCGGCACCCCCGGGCTGCTCCGGCACCCTCCGGCCCAGCCCGGCCCTGCCCGGCCCTGCCCTCCCGCCGCTCCCGGTGCTCTCCCGGTGCTCTCCCGGTCCCGCCCCGCTCCCCCCGCGGCTGCGGGAGGCGGTCGCTGCGGCAACGCGCGGGCGATGCTCGGCGCGGGGATGGCTCCCGGCGGAGCGGCGGCGGCCCATGGGCTCCCCTGAAGGTACGGCCCGACCCGGGCACCCCCCGGCACCCCCCGGCACCCCCCGGGCACCCCCCGGGCACCCCCCGGCACCCCCCGGGCACGGCCGGGCCGGGGGTGACCCAGCGGGAAGGGTTGGAGAGCGGGGCCGGCTCCGGGAGGGCGCTCGGGCCGCTGCGCGCCGCGGGTTGGGGCCGGGTCGGGCCGGGCCCGGTGGATGCTGAGCCCCGGTGAGGGCCGAGCCCCGGTGTGTGTTGATCCCCGGTGGATGCCGCGGCCGGGAGGGCCGAGCCCCGGTGGATGCTGAGCCCCGGTGGATTTCGATCCCCGGTGGATGCCGCGGCCAGGTCAGTAGCCCCGGTGGGTGCCGGGCCCCGGTGGATGGCGATCCCCGGTGGATGCCGCGGCCGGGTCAGGAGCCCCGGTGGGTGCCCCGGCCAGGAGGGCCGATTCCCGGTGGAGGTCGGGCCCCGGTGGATGTCGATCCCCGGTGGATGCCCATCCCCCGATGGATGCCGAGCCCCCGTGGGTTTAGGTCCCCGGTGGGTACCGATCCCCCGTGGGTGCCGCGGCCCGGTGGATACCGAGGCCGGGATGCCGATCCCCGGTGTGTGTCGATCCCCGGTGTGTGTCGATCCCCGGTGGATGCCCATCCCCCGTGGGTTTCGGTCCCCGGTGGGTGTCGATCCCCGGTGGATGCCGATCCCCGGTGGGTTTCGGTCCCCGGTGGATGATGAGCTCCGGTGGGTTTCGGTCCCCGGTGGGTGCCGATCCCCCGGTGGGTTTCGGTCCCCGGTGGGTTTCGATCCCCCGTGGGTAAGTACCGATCCCCGGTGGGTGTCGGTCCCCGGTGGGTTTCGATCCCCGGTGGGTACCGGTCCCCGGTGGGTTTCGGTCCCCGGTGGGTTTCGGTCCCCGATGGGTTTCGATCCCCGGTGTGTGTCGGTCCCCGGTGGGTGCCGGGCCGGGCCCGCAGCCCGAGCAGCCCCGGGCCCCGGTGGCCGCCGCCACAGCCGCCGCGATCTCCTTCACGCTTGAGAAACTGGGTTAGAGCGGCGGCCGCGGCCTCGCTGACCCACGGACACACCCCGGGGACCCCTCGGAACCCCCTCGGCGCTGAAGGACACGCGTGGGAATCCCCCTGGGGGTGTATCCCCGCCAGATGTTCACCCCGGGTGTGTTTCCTCCCAGATGTGCACCCCGCGTGTCCACCCCCGGCCACACCCCACGCTCTGCCTCCCCACGCGTGTCCATCCCCCCACCCCAGATGGGTCCGGCCGCCCTTTGCTGAGGCGGGTGGGGGGAAACTGAGGCAGAGAGGAGCAGAAGGTGCGAGGGGGAGCCCCGGGGAGGGAGGGGGTGCTGTCACCAGGCAGCGCTCCCACGCGGGGCCGGGAATAGACTCCGCATCCCCGCGCTGCGGCACCGCCACCGCCCCCGGCGGCACCGGCATGCCGGGATCGCCTTCCCGGCGGCTCCGGAGGGACGGAGGTGGTGGCACCCCCCTGCCCTACCCAGCCCTTCCCCCGCAGCGGGGCCGGACCGCGACCCCCCGGCCGTGGGTGGGGGGTTTGGGGTGTGGGGGGATCAGCTCCCCCCCGCCATTGCCCAGCGCTGCGTTCTGGCACATTCCCGCCCCTCCCTGGGCTGAATCCCGCTGGATTTCCCCTCCCGCGGCAGTGAGGGGTGGGCGCAGCGCCCCCAGACCCATCCCGGGGGTCGCGGTGGGCGGGAGGTGCCGTCCCCACCCTCCCCCACCCGCGCCGCCGCAGCGCCGTGGGGCGCTCAGCCCCACCCCGAGCGGGGCTGGGGGTGCCCAAACCCCTCCGTGGGCACGCGAGGTTTGGGGGGGGTCCCGGGGGTGCGGGCAGAGGGGGCAGGGCGGGTTTTTTGGGGTTTTTTTGGCCGTTTTCCTCCTTCTTTGTGCGGGGAGGAGCGGCGGCGAGACTGCTTCGTCATGGTGCCGGTTAATTCTCTCGCTGGGGAAGGCAGCGGCACCCACGCGCGGCCACGAACCCCCCCCGCGCTCCACGCTGCGCTCCCCGCAGCCTCCCCCGCACGCCCGGCCCGGCCCAGCTCGGCCCGGCCCGGCCCAGCCCGGTTATCGGCGGCGGGGCTGGCGGGGACTGATAGCGGCGCCCGCCCCACGGTCACGCTCCGCTCGGATGCGCCGCGGCAGCCCCGGGAGCCCACGCGTGACTCGGGGCCGCCTCTCCCCCAGGGCATCCCCCCGCGGCCGCAGGGATGCGGTGCCCCCCGGTTTAGGTGAGTGAGCGGCTCGGGGGGGACGCGGCAGGGTTGGGGACACGGCGGGGTTGGGGACACGCGTGGGACACGGGGGGACACGGGGGGGACACGGGTGGGGTTGATTCTTGGCGGCCGCTCTGTGTTTTCCCGTCGCTTTCTGCTGCCGGGGGGGGTTCGGGGGTGCCCCCACAGTTTGTCCCCCACTTTGTCCCCACAACCACCGCGGGGGGACGTGGGGAGCCCTCCCCGAGCCCCCCATGGGGACACCCCCGTGCCCCTTTCCCGGGGACATCGCCACGGGCACCGTGGGTGCCGAGGGAGGAGCCTGACCCCACCTGGGCACTGAATTTGGGGGGTGGCCGGGCTGGGATAATGCCAGGGCCACCAACTGGGGACCCCTGGCTGGGTTGGGATAATTCCAGGGCCACCAACTGGGGACCCCTGGACTATCTGGGGACATTCCAGGGCCACCACTGGGCCACCTTGGGACCCCTGGACCATCTGGGATAATTCCAGGGCCACCAACTGGGGACCCCGGGACTATCTGGGATAATTCCAGGGCCACCACTGGGCCACCTCGGGACCCCCAGACTATCTGGGATAATTCCAGGGCCACAACTGGGGACCCCTGGCCTGTCTGGGATAATTCCAGGGCCACCAATTGGGGACCCCTGAACTATCTGGGATAATTCCAGGGCCACAATTGGGGACCCCTGGCCAGGCTGGGAACATTCCAGGGCCACCACTGGGCCACCCCAGGACCCCTGGACTATCTGAGATAATTCCAGGGCCACCAATTGGGGACCCCTAGACCATCTGGGATCACTCCAGGGCCACCAGTTGGGGACCCCTGGACTATCTGGGAACATTCCAGGGCCACCAATTGGGGACCTCTGGACTATCTGGGATAATTCCAGGGCCACCACTGGGCCACTCCAGGACCCCTGGCCAGGCTGGGATAATTCCAGGGCCACCAATTGGGGACCCCTGGCCCGTCTGGGATAATTCCAGGGCCACCAATTGGGGACCCCTGTCCCATCTGGGATAATTCCAGGGCCACCCCTGGGCCACCTTGGGACCCCTGGACTATCTGGGATAATTCCAGGGCCACAATTGGGGACCCCTGGTCCGTCTGGGATAATTCCAGGGCCACAATTGGGGACCCCTGGCCCGTCTGGGATAATTCCAGGGCCACCCCTGGGCCACCTCGGTGTCCCCGGCCACCTCCCGGTGTCCTGGCACGCTGTGGTGGCCCCAGGGGCGGTATTGGGGTGCCCACCCCCCATTTAGGAACCCAACGCTGAGTGTGCAGACCCGCGGGGGTTTTGGGGTGCAGGGGAACCCCCAAACCCCCGTTGGGGGGGGGTGGGGTGGGGGCGCGGCCTCCTCAGCCACCCCCGCGGGTCCCTCCGCGGCGGATGAGCAGTTTAATCCCGCTCTAATCCCGGATTAACGGCCACGTGAGGCGCGGCACAACGCGGGTTGTGGGGTGCCCATCGGGGCAGGGGGGCCCCCCACATCCTCCCCAGGGAGATTTGGGGTTCAGGCTATGCATCCCCCCCCTCTAAACCTCCTGGCAGGGCTGGGGGCGGCTGTTAGCGCAGATCCCGCGGGTGGGAGGAAACGAGGAGGTGGAAATTTCCCTGGAAATTCCAGAGGCGGGTGCTCGTTACCCACATCCTCAGGGAAACTGAGGCACGGGGCAGCCCCGGTGGCTTTTGGGGACACTCCGGTGACCGGGCTGGCTGCCGCTGGCCCGGCGGGGATGGCAGAACCGGGACAAAGGAGGAACCGGACACCGGCGCGCCGCGGCTCGGGGACCCCCGCGCTGCCCCGGGGCTCGTCGCGGCGGCGATCAAATTGCCCGTGAGGCCCCCGCGTGTGCGGCGGTGCCTCAGTTTCCCCGGGGAGCCGGGAGGATGCTCCGGGGGTGCTCCGGGGATGCTCCGGGGATGCTCCGGGGATGCTCCGGGGATGCTCCGGGCCTCGGCGGCGCTGCTGCTTTGGAGGTTGTGGTGGGAGGAGGAGGAGGAGGAGGAGGAAGAGGAGGAGGGGGTGGGTGGGGCAGCACCGGACACCGTTCCCAGGCTGGAGGGAACCGTCTGCTCGGGGAATTTGTGACCCCGGGTGTCCCCGAGCCGCGCCGCTCCTCGGTGGACGCGGGGAAGGGAGGATGAGGAGGATGGAGGAAGGCTGCGGGTCCCCTCCCGCTCCCCGCCAGGGCCCTGAGGGTGGTTCTCACCGCCTGGCTCCTGGCTCGGGGCCGGGCCCTGATGGCTTTGGCGGCTGCGAAATGTCAAATCCGGATTTCCTCGGGGTGGGGAGGAGGGAACCGGGAGCCGGGAACGGGAACCGGCCTCTTCCCGCGGCAGCACAGCCCTGGCTCCCCTTCACCGGGGGGGAACCGCATCCCTCCATCGCGGTGAGCCCCGCCCGCGCTGTCCTGTCCGTCCTTCCATCCATCCATCATCCATCCTTCCTTCCTTCCTCCACCTCCCTCCCCATTCCCACGCTCGCAGCCCTTTTCTTTCCCCCTGAGCGAGGGGGGGACACGCCGCGTCCCCCCTTTGCCTGTCCCCGCTCCCCTCGGGCCTCCAGGCCGGGAAAATCCCAAAGAACCGACCGCGCTTATCTGGGGCCGCGGGGACACCGGGGGTGCCATGGGGCGGTGGCTCCCTGCCCGTGCCCGATAAGCGCTGCCCGCGGCCCCGGAGCGCGGGGAGGGGCGGAGGGCACCGCGGCCGAGCTGTTTGCGCAGCGCCCGCCGGTTTTGGGGCGTCTCTCGGAACCCCCGGCTCGGGTTTGTTTTCCTTTCCTTTCCTTTCCTTTCCTTTCCTTTCCTTTCCTTTCCTTTCCTTTCCTTTCCTTTCCTTTCCTTTCCTTTCCTTTCCTTTCCTTTCCTTTCCTTTCCTTTCCTTTCCTTTCCTTTCCTTTCCTTTCCTTTCCTTTCCTTTCCTTTCCTTTCCTTTCCTTTCCTTTCCTTTCCTTTCCTTTCCTTTCCTTTCCTTTCCTTTCCTTTCCTTTCCTTTCCTTTCCTTTCCTTTCCTTTCCTTTCCTTTCCTTTCCTTTCCTTTCCTTTCCTTTCCTTTCCTTTCCTTTCCTTTCCTTTCCTTTCCTTTCCTTTCCTTTCCTTCTCCCCCATCGCGTCCCCAGCGCCACCCGGACAATGCCACCCTTGTCCCCGTCCCCCGGCAGCGCCCTAAAACCGCGCCCCAGCGCCGAATTTGGGGGTTCTTTGTGTCTCACGGGACCCCTCCCCGGGGGTACCGGCGGAGCTCGATGCTCCCGGAGCTCTCCGGGATGCGCCCGGGGGACAGCGGGGTTGGTGTCCCCAAATCCGGTGCCACCCCCGTGCCCAGCTGCGGGGTCGGGGCTCAGGGCCGGGGCTGCCCGCGCTGCTGTCGCTGTTGTTGTCACTGTCGCGGTCACTGTCGCTGTTGTTGTCGCTGTCGCTGCCCGGCTCGCAGGAGTTTTCCCGAGTTTTTCTGAAAGGAGAAGTTGGGAGGGGAACGAGAAATGGGGAATGGGGGAATGGGGGATGGGGGGTGGGAAATGGGGAATTGGGGAAAGGGGAATTGGTAATGGGGAAATTTGGGATGGGGGATGGAGAATTGGGGATGGGGAATTTGGGATGGGGAATGGGAGATGGGGAATGGGGAATTGGGAATTGGGGATGGGGAATTGGGAACTGGGAATGGGGGGTGGGAAATGGGGAATTGGGGAAAGGGAAATTGGTAATGGGGAAATTTGGGATGGGGGATGGGGAATTTGGGATGGGGAATGGGAAATGGGGAATTGGGAAGTGGGAATGGGAAATGGGGAATTGAGGATGGGGGATGGGAAATGGGGAATTGGGGAATTTGGGATGGGGAATGGGGAACTGGGGAATTGGGGATTGGAGATGGGGAACAGGGAATGGGAATGGGGGATGGGGAATAGGAAATGGGGATGGGGAATTGGGGATGGGGACGGGGAAAAGGGAATGGGGATGGGGAATGGGGAACGGGGGATGGAGAACCGGGGATGGAGAATTGGGAACGGGGAATTGGGAACGGGGAATGGGGGATGGAGAATGGAGAACAGGGAATGGGGGATGGAGAACGGGGAATGGGGGATGGAGATTTGGGAACGGGGGATGCAGAATGGGGAATTTTCCCCTTTGTGCGCCGCATTGTGGCTTTAGGGCCCCCGGGGGCTCTGGGGCAGCCGAGGCCGCTCCGCTGCCGCTGGAGCCTTCTGGAGGCCGAGGGACAAAAGGGCGACACTGCCAGCCCCGTCAGCAGCCGGCGGGCAGGGAGGGACACGGGGACAGCGCGGGGACAGCGCGGGGACCAGGGGTGGCTGTGTCACCCTGCGGGTCCCCGTCACCTCCGCGCTCTCCTTGCAGAGGGACCGGCCGAGCCCCAGCCCAGGGGGATGCGGAGCCGCAGAGGCAGCGGTGAGGGTGGTGTCCCCTCCTGTCCCCTCCTGTCCCCTCCTGTCCCCTCCTGTCCCCTCCTGTCCCCCTGTGTCCCTTCCTGTCCCCTCCTGTGTCCCCCTGTCCCCGACTGTCCCCGACTGTGCCCTCCTGTCCCCTCCCCGGGCACGGTGGCACCTCCTGTGCCCTCTCTGTCCCCTCTCTGTCCCCCTCCCGTCCCCTCCTGTCCCTTCCTATTCCCCTCTGTCCCCTCCTGTCCTCTCCTGTCCCCAGCCCGGGCACGGTGGCACCTTTTGTCCCCTCTTGTCCCCTCCTGTGCCCTCCTGTCCCCTCTCTGTCCCCTCTCTGTCCCCTCTCTGTCCCCTCTCTGTCCCGGTCGACCCCTCCTGTCCCCCCCAGTCCGGGGGTGTTTTGGGGGGCTCTGTGCCCCCCGGCAGTGCCATGGGGGGGTTTGGGGGGGCTCTGTGCCCCCCGGCAGTACCCAGGGAGGGTTTTGGGGGGCTCTGTGCCCCTCTGGCAGTGCCCGGGGGGGTTTGGGGGGCTCTGTGCCCCCCTGACAGTGCCATGGAGGGGTTTTGGGGGGCTCAGTGCCCCCTGACAGTGCCCAGGGGGGGTTTGGGGGGCCCCTCTGGCAGTGCCCGGGGGGATTTGGGGGGCTCTGTGCCCCCTGACAGTGCCCGGGGGGGTTTGGGGGGCTCTGTGCCCCCTGACAGTGCCATGGGGGGGGGGTTTGGGGGGCTCTGTGCCCCCCGGGGGGTTTTGGGGGGCTCTGTGCCCGACCCCGCTGTGCCCCACAGGAGCCTGGCACTGACCCGAGGCGGCCGCGGCTGAATGGAACGGCTGCACAAGGTGAGTGAGGTTTTGGGGGGCCGGGGGACTTTTGGGGGGCCCAAGGGTGGTTTTGGGGTCCCAGGAGGGACTTGGGGGTCCAGGAAAGGTTTTGGGGTCCCGGGAAGGTTTTGGGGGTTCCAAGGACAGTGTTGGGGGGCTATGGAGGGACTTGGTGGTCCAGGGAGGGTCTTGGGGGGTCCAAGGAGGGTTTTGGGGTCCAGGGAAGGTTTGGGGAGTCCAAAGAAGGTTTTGGGGGGTCCAAGGAGGGTTTTAGGGTCCAGAAAGGGACTTGGGGGTCCAGGGAAGGTTTTGGGGGGTCTAAGGAGGTGTTGGGGGTCCAGGGAGGGTGTTGGGGTACAGGAAAGGTTTGGGGGGCCCAGGAAAGGTTTGGGGGGGTCCAGGGAGGGTCTTGGGGGTCCAGGGGAAGTTCTGGGGGGTCTGGGAAGGTTCTGGGGGTGCAGAGGAAGTGTTGGGGGTGCTGGGGGTGCTGGCAGCAGAGCCGAGCCTTCCTCCTCTTCTTCCTCTTCTTCCTCTTCTTCCTCTTCTTCCTCTTCTTCCTCTTCTTCCTCTTCTTCCTCTTCTTCCTCTTCTTCCTCTTCTTCCTCTTCTTCCTCTTCTTCCTCCTCTTCTTCCTCTTCTTCCTCTTCTTCCTCTTCTTCTTCTTCTTCCTCTTCTTCCTCCTCTTCTTCCTCCTCTTCCTCCTCCTCTTCTTCCTCTTCCTCTTCTTCTTCCTCTTCTTCCTCTTCTTCTTCCTCTTCTTCTTCCTCTTCTTCTTCCTCTTCTTCCTCCTCTTCTTCCTCCCCTTCCCCTTCCCCTTCCTCCTATTTTTCCTCCTTTCTCCTCCTCTACTTCCTCCCCCTCCTTCCTCCTTCTCCTCTTCCTTCTCTTCCTCCTCATCTTCCTCCTCTTCTTCTTTCCTCCTCGTTCCTCCTCCTGCTCTTTTTCCTCCGTCCTCCTCTACTTCCTCCCCCTCCTTCCTCTTTCTCCTCTTCCTTTTCTCCCTCCTCATCTTCCTCCTCCTCTTCTTCCTCTTCCCCCTCCTCCTCCTCCTCCTGGCCCTTTTCTCCCGCAGCCGCCTCTGACCTCCCCGGGGAGCGTCGGTTCCTCGCGGGGTTCCAGCCTGCCCGGCTCCCCGTGCAGCATCGTGGTGAGCCCCCCAAAATCGGGCTGGGACCCCCAAAAACCCCCCTGAACCCCGTTCCCGAAAATCCCCTTCCGCACCCCAAAAACACCGCTGGGTTTGCTTCCACCCGGGCTAAAACAGTCCTCGGTTAAAAGGGTTTTGTAATAAATTCCATTTTTCACCCCAAAAATACCGCTGGGTTTGCTCCCGGCCAGGCCAAAACGCTCCTGGGCAAAAAGGGTTTGCGAAAAATTCAATTTTTCACCCCAAAAATACCGCTGGGTTTGCTCCCGCCCGGGCCAAAACGCTCCTGGGCAAAAAGGGGTTTGTGAAAAATTCCATTTTTCACCCCAAAAATACCGCTGGGTTTGCTCCTGCCTGGGCCAAAACAGTCCTGGGCGAAAAGGGGTTTCTGAAAAATTCCATTTTTCACCCCAAATTAAGGATTTTTCCATCCTCCCAGGCCAAAACGGTCCTGGGCGAAAAGGGGTTTGCGAAAAATTCAATTTTTCACCCCAAATTAAGGAGTTTTTCCTTCCTCCCAGGCCAAAATGGACAACGAGGTCTGGGCTACCAGGACCTTATAAAAATTCAATTTTTCACTACAAATTGAGCCTTTTTTCCTTCGTCCCAGGCCAAAATGGACAACGAGATCCTGGGCTAAAAGGTCCTTGTAGAAATTCAATTTTTCTCCCCAAATTAAGGAGTTTTTCCTTTGTCCCAGGCCAAAATGGACAACGAGATCCTGGGCTAAAAGGTCCTTGTAAAAATTCAATTTTTCACTACAAATTGAGCCTTTTTTCCTTCGTTCCAGGCCAAAATGGACAACGAGGTGCTTGATATCCTGGGATATCAGTATTTTGTAAAAAATTCTCTTTTGCACCCCAAATTAAGGTTTTCTCCTTCCTCCCAGGCCAAAATTGTCCTGGGCTAAGAGGACCTTGTAAAAATCCCCTTTTTCACCCCAAATTAAGGAGTTTTTCCTTCCTTCCCAGGCCAAAACGGTCCTGGGCTAAGAGGTTGTTATGAAAACTCAATTTTTCTCCCCAAATTAAGGAATTTTTCCTTCGTTCCAGGCCAAAATGGACAATGAGGTGCTGGGCTATCAGGACCTTGTAAAAATTCAATTTTTCACTACAAATTGAGCCTTTTTTCCTTCGTCCCAGGCCAAAATGGACAACGAGGTCTGGGCTACCAGGACCTTGTAAAAATTCAATTTTTCACCCCAAATTAAGGAGTTTTTTCTTCGTCCCAGGCCAAAATGGACAATGAGGTGCTGGGCTACAAGGACATTGTTAAAATTCAATTTTTCACCCCAAATTAAGGAGTTTTTCCTTTGTCCCAGGCTAAAATGGACAACGAGGTGCTGGGCTACCAGGACCTTGTAAAAATTCAATTTTTCACTACAAATTGAGCCTTTTTTCCTTCGTCCCAGGCCAAAATGGACAACGAGGTCCTGGGATATCAGTATTTTGTAAAAAATTCTCTTTTGCACCCCAAATTAAGGTTTTCTCCTTCCTCCCAGGCCAAAATTGTCATGGGGTACCAGGACCTTGTAAAAAATTCCTTTTTTCACCCCAAATTAAGGAGCTTTTCCATCCTCCCAGGCCAAAATGGTCCTAGGTTAAGAGGACCTTGTAAAAATTCAATTTTTCACCCCAAATTAAGGAGTTTTTCCTTCCTTCCAGGCCAAAATGGACAACGAGGTGCTGGGCTACCAGGACCTTGTAAAGATTCAATTTTTCTCCCCAAATTAAGGAGTTTTTCCTTCCTTCCAAGCCAAAATGGTCCTGGGCTAAAAGGGTTTTGTGAAAAATTCCATTTTTCACCCCAAATTAAGGCCTTTTTCTTTCTTACTGGGCTAAAATGCACAATGAGGTCCTGGGACATTGTAAAAATTCCATTTTTCACCCCAAAGTGAGGCTTTTTCCATCCTCCCAGGCCAAAACGCTCCTGGGCTAAAAGGGTTTTGTGAAAAATTCCATTTTTCACCCCAAATTAAGGAGTTTTTCCATCCTCCCAGGCCAAAATGGTCCTGGGCTAAGAGGTTGTTATGAAAAACTCAATTTTTCTCCCCAAATTAAGGAGTTTTTCCTTCGTCCCAGGCCAAAATGGACAACGAGGTGCTGGGATGAAAGGATTTTGTAAAAAATTCTCTTTTGCACCCCAAATTAAGGTTTTCTCCTTCCTCCCAGGCCAAAATTGTCCTGGGGTACCAGGACCTTGTAAAATTTCCCCTTTTTCACCCCAAATTAAGGAGTTTTTCCCTCCTCCCAGGCCAAAATGGACAACGAGGTGCTGGGCTACCAGGACCTTGTAAAAATTCAATTTTTTACCCCAAATTAAGATATTTTTCCTTCCTCCCAGGCCAAAATGGACAACGAGGTCTGGGCTACCAGGACCTTGTAAAAATTCAATTTTTCACCCCAAATTAAGATATTTTTTCTTCCTCCCAGGCCAAAATGGACAACGAGGTCTGGGCTACCAGGACCTTGTAAAAATTCAATTTTTCACTACAAATTGAGCCTTTTTTCCTTCGTTCCAGGCCAAAATGGACAACGAGGTCTGGGCTACAAGCACCTTGTAAAAATTCAATTTTTCACCACAAATTAAGGAGTTTTTCCTTTGTCCCAGGCCAAAATGGACAACGAGGTGCTGGGCTACCAGGACCTTGTAAAAATTCAATTTTTTGCCCTAAATTACGGCGTTTTTCCTTCCTCCCAGGCCAAAATGGACAACGAGGTCTGGGCTACCAGGACCTTGTAAAAATTCAATTTTTCGCCCCAAATTAACGAGTTTTTCCTTCGTCCCAGGCCAAAATGGACAACGAGGTGCTGGGCTACCAGGACCTTGTAAAAATTCAATTTTTCACCCCAAATTAAGGAGTTTTTCCTTCGTCCCAGGCCAAAATGGACAACGAGGTGCTGGGCTACCAGGACCTTGTAAAAATTCAATTTTTCACCCCAAATTAAGGAGTTTTTCCTTCGTCCCAGGCCAAAATGGACAACGAGGTGCTGGGCTACAAGGACCTGGCCGCCATCCCCAAGGACAAAGCCATCCTGGACATCGAGCGCCCCGACCTGATGATCTACGAGCCCCACTTCACCTACTCGCTGATGGAGCACGTGGAGCTGCCCCGGAGCCGGGAGGTCGGGGGGAATTCCCTGATTTTTTGGGGTTTTTTTGGGAGAATCCCACCTGGATAGAAGGATCGCCGAGCTGGGATGGAATTTTAGAATAATAGGTTAAAATCCCAGCGTGAAAATGCCTAAAATTTGTTCAACTTCGTGGTAGTTCGTAGCAGTTTGTGGAGGTTATTAAAATGGGTAAAATTCAGTAAAAAAGGTTAAATTCAGTAAAAAAGGTTAAAATTCATTCAATCCTTGCCTCCTGCAGCGCTCCCTGTCTCCCAAATCCATGTCTCCTCCTCCGTCTCCGGAGGTGAGTCCCGGAATTGCTGAGGGAGGAGGGGGTGGTGGGAATTGGGGAGGGGGTGGTGGGAATTGGGGAGGGGGTGGTGGGAATTGGGGAGGGGGTGGTGGGAATTGGGGAGGGTCCGGCTGATCCCAAATTGGGGAGGGTCTGGTGCAGATTTTGGGAGGGTCTGGCTGATCCCGAATTGGGGAGGGGCTGATCCCAAATTGGGGAGGGTCCGGCTGATCCTGAATTGGGGAGGGTCCGGCTGATCCCGAATTGGGGAGGGTCCGTCTGATCCCGAATTGGGGAGGGTCTGGCTGATCCCAAGGAGGGGCTGATCCCAAATTGGGGAGGGTCCGGCTGATCCTGAATTGGGGAGGGTCCGGCTGATCCCGAATTGGGGAGGGTCTGGCTGATCCCGAATTGGGGAGGGTCTGGTGAGGAATTGGGGAGGGTCTGGCTGATCCCAAGGAGGGGCTGATCCCGAATTGGGGAGGGTCTGGCTGATCCCGAATTGGGGAGGGTCTGGTGAGGAATTGGGGAGGGTCTGGTGAGGAATTGGGGAGGGTCCGGTTGATCCCGAATTGGGGAGGGTCCGGCTGATCCCGAATTGGGGAGGGTCCGGCTGATCCCAAACTGGGGAGGGTCCGGCTGATCCCGAACTGGGGAGGGTCCGGCTGACCCCGAATTGGGGAAGGTCCAGCTGATCCCGAATTGGGGAGGGTCCGGCTGACCCCGTGTCCCGCAGGTGATCCGGGAGTGGCTGGACAGTCGGCCCCCCAGCAGCACCCCGGGGCCCCCCTCGCGCCAGAGCGCGGCCCCCACCCGCAGCAGCGTCCAGCACTTCCACCGACCCGGTAACGGCCCCGGGACCCCCAGCCCCGACCCCACAAATTCCCATTCCCAATGCCATAAACTCCCACTCCCAACCCTATGAGATCCCATTCCCAACCCCATAAATTCCCAGCCCCATGAGCTCCCAATCCCATAAATTCCCATTCCTAACCACATAAATTCCCACTCCCAACCCCATGAGATCCCATTCCCAACCCCATAAATTCCCACTCCCAACCCCATCAATTCCCACTCCCAACCCCATAAACTCCCACTCCCAACCCCATGAATTCCCATTCCCAACCCCATAAATTCCCAGCCCCATGAGCTCCCAATCCCATAAATTCCCAGTCCCAACCCCACAAATTCCCATTCCCAACCCCACAAACTCCCACTCCCAACCCCATCAATTCCCACTCCCACCCCCATCAATTCCCACTCCCAACCCCATAAATTCCCATTCCCAACCCCATAAACTCCCACTCCCAACCCCATAAACTCCCACTCCCAACCCCATAAACTCCCACTCCCAACCCCATAAACTCCCACTCCCAACCCCATAAATTCCCATTCCCAACCCCATAAATTCCCACTCCCAACCCCATAAACTCCCACTCCCAACCCCATAAATTCCCATTCCCAACCTCATAAATTCCCAGTCCCAACCCCACAAATTTCCATTCCCAATGCCATAAACTCCCACTCCATTCCCAACCCCATAAATTCCCAGCCCCATGAGCTCCCAATCCCATAAATTCCCATTCCTAACCCCATAAATTCCCACTCCCAACCCCATAAATTCTCATTCCCAACCCCATAAACTCCCACTCCCAACCCCATAAACTCCCACTCCCAACCCCATAGATTCCCACTCCCAACCCCACAAACTCCACTCCCAACCCCATAAACTCCCACTCCCAACCCCATAAACTCCCACTCCCAACCCCATAAATTCCCACTCCCAACCCCATCAATTCCCACTCCCAACCCCATAAACTCCCACTCCCAACCCCATAAATTCCCACTCCCAACCCCATAAATTCCCATTCCCAATCCCATAAATTCCCAGCCCCATGAGCTCCCAATTCCATAAATTCCCATTCCCAACCCCATAAACTCCCACTCCCAACCCCATAAACTCCCACTCCCAACCCCATAAATTCTCATTCCCAACCCCATGAACTCCCACTCCCAACCCCATAAACTCCCACTCCCAACCCCATAAATTCCCATTCCCAACCCCATAAATTCCCATTCCCAACCCCATAAACTCCCATTCCCAACCCCATAAATTCCCAGTCCCAACCCCATAAATTCCCAGTCCCAACCCCATAAATTCCCACTCCCAACCCCATCAATTCCCACTCCCAACCCCATAAACTCCCACTCCCAACCCCATAAACTCCCACTCCCACCCTCATCAATTCCCACTCCCAACCCCACAAACTCCACTCCCAACCCCACAAATTTCCATTCCCAATGCCATAAACTCCCACTCCCAACCCCATGAATTCCCATTCCCAACCCCATAAATTCCCAGCCCCATGAGCTCCCAATCCCATAAATTCCCATTCCTAACCACATAAATTCCCACTCCCAACCCCATAAACTCCCACTCCCAACCCCATCAATTCCCACTCCCAACCCCATAAACTCCACTCCCAACCCCAAATCCCTTTTTCCTCCCAGAGACCGACACCACCGAGCTCAACATTTACAAGAAGCCGCCGATCTACCGGCAGAAAGGTGCGTGTGGATTGTGGGGAGGGGGGTTTATCCCATGGGATGGGGCGCCCCGGGACGCTGCCTCACCCCTCCCCGTGGCGCCCCCAGACCACCATTCCAGTGCCCACCACGGCAAACATCTCATCGAGGACCTGATCATCGAATCCTCCAAATTCCCGGCGGCGCAGCCCCCGGATCCCAACCAGCCCGCCAAGATCGAGACCGACTACTGGCCCTGCCCGCCCTCGCTGGCCGTCGTGGGTAGGTGGGAACGGCGGGGTTCTCCCTCCTGGGGACCCCAAAAAGGGCTGGGGGTGTGCCAAAGACCACCCTAGGTGGCGGGGTGGCTCTGTGTGGTGGAAAAGTCTCTCCTCCAAGCTGTGCTGCCAAAGAAAGGCTCAGCAGTCTCTGTTGTTCGGTCTCAAGGCAGTTTATTGCAAGTTATCTAAAAGATTTTCTCCTTGGACTGCTGTGGTTTGCTCACAGCTCAGGCAGAGGCACACACACACCCTGACATCCTCTCTGACTCCCGACTGCTTCTTCTTCTTCTTCTTCTTCTTCTTCTTCTTCTTCTTCTTCTTCTTCTTCTTCTTCTTCTTCTTCTTCTTCTTCTTCTTCTTCTTCTTCTTCTTCTTCTTCTTCTTCTTCGTCTTCTTCGTCTTCTTCGTCTTCTTCGTCTTCTTCTTCTTCTTCTGCTTCCTCTGCTTCCTCTGCTTCTCCTTCTCCTTCTCCTTCTCCTTCTCCTTCTCCTTCTCCTTCTCCTTCTCCTTCTCCTTCTCCTTCTCCTTCTCCTTCTCCTTCTCCTTCTCCTTCTCCTTCTCCTTCTCCTTCCTCTTCTCCTTCTCCTTCTCCTTCTCCTTCTCCTTCTCCTTCTCCTTCTCCTTCTCCTTCTCCTTCTCCTTCTCCTGCTGCTTCTTTTTCTTCTTTTTCTTCTTCTGCTTCTTCTTCTGCTTCTCCTCCTCCTCTCCCCCTCTGCCCAGGGCTGCTGCTGTCTTTTATATGGTACATTACATGTTAAATGTTTACAGTTTTTCCCCAATGCCCATTACCTATATTAAATGGTGCTTTTCTATCTTTTATATGGTACATTACGTGTTACATGGGTACAGTTTTTCCCCAATGCCCATTACCTATATTAAATGGTGCCTTTCTACTCTAAACCAACCTGTGAGTGCCAACATCACCAAGAACATGGAGGTGAGGAAGGAGAAAGAGGGAGGACAGGACAGGCCCAAATCCCTCCATCTTAAACCCTCTGACCCCCATGTACAAAACCAAACCCCCCTGTACAGCACTCAAAAATTCTTCCCTCTACTTTGTGACTACTTCTACTCTAATATCTAAACTTTTGTGACTTCTTGTTCTTCCTGCAAGGTTGGTAAATCGTTCCATGGCTCAAACCCAAAATCACAGCTGTTTCCAGCTGCCTGCCAGGGTCTCAAATGCTTCTGACCTGGGCCCGGAACCTCCAAAAATGTCTGAGGTACACTTTGAGTCCCGACAGGAATGGCTGGAAATTCCCTTTTCCCGCAGAGACCGAGTGGAGGAGGCGGATGGCGTCCAAGAGGGGCGAGGAGGAGGATGAGGATCTGACGGAGGAGATGAAGAACCTGCGGGAGCTCCAGCGGCAGGAGCTGAGCAAGGTCAGGGGCGGAGCGGTGAAACGTCAATTTGAAGAGATTTTGAGATTTTACAGGAGCTAAGGTTCTAGTTAGAGATAAGCCTTGCTAGAGTTAATTAAAATAAATGAGTAGGCCTTGATGAAGTTAAGAGTTAGGAGTTAAATGATAATTGATTGCTTGTCAGCACAAGGTTTGGTTAACTGGGTTTATAATGAAGAATATAAATTGATAAATAGCTTTTAGGAACATCAGACAATTGTGGCCTCCTCTGTTCTGAAACCAACTGAAGACAAAAAATGGGAGTTCTACCAAGAGTTCATTTGTCATGTTTGCACTGAAAAGGTAGAAAGGTCAGAATGAGGAAAAAACTTCATTTATTTCCTCATTTTGGGACCCCTCCCATGGAAGGGACACCGACCCATTTCAAGGAACAAACCACACACGCTGAATAGATTTTGAAATTACTGCATAGGAGGTGAGGAATGGTGTTAGCCTTCAGAACACAAATAATCACAGGATATGATTATCTGCAGGTATATATATTAAATATATTGTAAATCCAGCACAGGTAGTTTGTGGTATTTAATGTTTGTAACATCCCACTGAGGGATGTTATATTGGCGCATTATTGTAAATATAGCACAGGTAGTTTGTGGTATATAATGTTTGTAACATTATAATGTTTGTAATATTATAATGTTTGTAATATTATAATGTTTGTAACATTATATACCAGATATAATGTTTGTAACATTATAATGTTTGTAATATTATAATGTTTGTAATATTATAATGTTTGTAACATTATATACCAGATATAATATTTGTAACATTATATACCAGAAACTGCAGACTTGGATTAGACAGTGTTTAACATAAGTGATAAATGTTAACACATTATTGTAAATATAGCACATGTAGTTTGTGGTATATAATGTTTGTAACATTATAATGTTTGTAATATTATAATGTTTGTAACATTATATACCAGATATAATATTTGTAACATTATATACCAGATATAATATTTGTAACATTATATACCAGAAACTGCGGACTTGGATTAGACAGGGGCCACAGTGTTTAACATAAATGATAAATGTTAACACATTATTGTAAATCCAGCACAGGTAGTTTGTGGTATTTAATGTTTGTAACATCCCACTGAGGGATGTTACATTGGCGCATTATTGTAAATATAGCACAGGTAGTTTGTTGTATATAATGTTTTTAACATTATGTACCAGAAACTGGGGACTGGCTTTGGGTTGGGGACACACTGTCCAACGTAGGTGACAGATATTGGCACGTTATTGTAAATCCAGCACAGGGAGTTTGTGGTATTTAATGTTTGTACCATCCCACTGAGGAACCATCAATACCCCGGATTCCGAGGAGTGGCAGCGCTGCGGGGTTGGGGGGCGCTGGCACCGGTGCCAACGTGTGTCCCCCCCCCCCGTTGGCAGGTCACCTCCAACCTCGGGAAGCTGATCCTGAAGGAGGAGATGGAGAAGTCGCTCCCGATCCGCAGGAAAACTCGCTCGCTGCCGGACCGGACGCCTTTCCACACCTGTGAGTGGGGCCTTCCCCCGGATCCCACGGGATTTCCCTCCTCGGTTCTGGGGGCTGGACCCCCCTTCTGTCCCCCAAATCCTGTCTGTGCGTCCCAAATCCTCCCTGTGCATCCCAAATCCCAATTGTGCATCCTAAATCCCAATTGTGCATCCCAAATCCCACCTGCACTTCCAAAATCCTGCCTGCACATCCCAAATCCCGCCTGAACATCCCAAATCCCGCCTGCACATCCCAAATCCCACCTGCACCTCCAAAATCCTGCCTGTACATCCCAAATCCTGCTGGAGCATCCCAAATCCCAATTGTGCATCCCAAATCCTCCCTGGGCATCCCAAATCCTTCCTGTGCATCCCAAATCCCAATTGTGCATCCCAAATCCCAATTGTGCATCCCAAATCCCGCCTGAACATCCCAAATCCCAATTGTGCATCCCAAATCCCGCCTGAACATCCCAAATCCCGCCTGAACATCCCAAATCCCAATTGTGCATCCCAAATCCCGCCTGCACATCCCAAATCCCACCTGCACCTCCCAAATCCCAATTGTGCATCCCAAATCCCACCTGCACCTCCAAAATCCCGCCTGCACATCTCAAATCCCACCTGTGCATCCCAAATCCTGCCTGTACATCCCAAATCCCGCCTGAACATCCCAAATCCCGCCTGAACATCCCAAATCCCACCTGCACCTCCAAAATCCCGCCTGTACATCCCAAATCCTGCTGGAGCATCCCAAATCCCACCTGCACATCCCAAATCCTGCCTGTGCATCCCAAATCCTGCCTGCACCTCCCAAATCCTGCCTGCACCTCCGAAATCCCAAATGTGCATCCCAAATCCTGCCTGTGCATCCCAAATCCTGCCTGCACCCCTTCTTGTCCCTGCCCATCCCTGCCTGGCCCTAAATGTCCCTAAATGTCCCTAAAAGTCCCTAAATGTCCCTGCCCATCCCTGCCTGGCCCTGCCTGTCCCTAAATGTCCCTGCCTGTCCCTAAATGTCCCTGTCTGTCCCTAAATGTCCTTGCCCATCCCTGCCTGTCCCTAAATGTCCCTGTCTGTCCCTAAATGTCCTTGCCCATCCCTGCCTGTCCCTAAATGTCCCTAAATGTCCCTAAATGTCCCTAAATGTCCCTAAATGTCCCTAAATGTCCCTAAAAGTCCCTAAAGGTCCTTGCCCATCCCTGCCTGGCCCTAAATGTCCCTAAATGTCCCTGCCTGTCCCTGCCTGTCCCTGCCTGGCCCTAAATGTCCCTAAATGTCCCTGCCCATCTCTGCCTGTCCCTAAATGTCCCTAAATGTCCCTAAATGTCCCTAAAGGTCCCTGACTGTCCCTGCCTGTCCCTTGTGGTCCTTGCCCATCCCTGCCTGTCCCTGCCTGTCCCTAAATGTCCCTAAATGTCCCTGCCTGTCCCTAAATGTCCCTTCATGTCCCTTCATGTCCCTTAATGTCCCTGCCCATCCCTGCCTGTCCCTGCCTGTCCCTGCCTGTCCCTGCCTGTCCCTAAATGTCCCTGTCTGTCCCTGTCTGTCCCTTAATGTCCCTGCCTGTCCCTGGTGGTCCTTGCCCATCCCTGCCTGTCCCTAAATGTCCCTGCCTGTCCCTAAATGTCCCTGCCCATCCCTGCCTGTCCCTAAAAGTGTCCCTGCCTTCCCCTAAAGACCCCTAAATGTCCCTGCCTGTCCCCAAAGGCCCCGCAATGTCCCTGCGTGTCCCCAAATGTCGCTGACGCTCTCTGCCTCTCTCCCAGCCCTCCACAGCAGCTCCAAGAGCTCCTCCCTGCCCGCCTCCGGCCGGAGCACCCTGACCCGGGTAAGTGACAGTGCCACCCCTGCCGGGCCACCCACCCTGCCCGGGGCTTGGGGACAGCCCTGGGACACTGTCCTGTGTCCTTGTGACCCTGTGACACTGTCCTGTGTCCTTGTGACCCTGTGACACTGTCCTGTGTCCTTGTGTCACTGTGTCCCTGTGACCCTGTGACACTGTCCTGTGTCCTTGTGTCCCTGTGTCCCTGTGACCCTGTGACACTGTCACTGTGTCCTTGTGTCACTGTGTCCCTGACTCTGTCCCTGTGTCCCTGTGACCCTGTGACACTGTCCTGTGTCCCTGTGACCCTGTGACACTGTCCTGTGTCCTTGTGTCCCTGTGTCCTTGTGACCCTGTGACACTGTCCTGTGTCCTTGTGTCCCTGTGTCCCTGTGACCCTGTGACACTGTCCTGTGTCCTTGTGTCCCTGTGTCCCTGTCCCTGTGTCCCCATCCCTGTCTCTGTGTCCCTGTCCCTGTGTCCCTGTCCCGGTCCCTATCCCTGTCCCTGTGTCCTTGTGTCCCTGTGTCCTTGTGACCCTGTGACACTGTCCTGTGTCCTTGTGTCACTGTGTCCCTGACTCTGTCCCTGTGTCCCTGTCCCCCTGTCCCTGTCCCTGTCCCTGTGTCCCTGTCCCCATGTCCCTGTCCCCTGTCCCTGTGTCCCTGTCCCTCTGTCCCTGTGTCCCTGTCCCTGTGTCCCTGTCCCTGTGTCCCTGTGTCCCTGTCCCTGTCCCTGTGTCCCTGTCCCTGTCCCTGTGTCCCTGCCCCTGTCCCTGTGTCCCTGTCCCTGTCCCTGTGTCCCTGCCCCTGTCCGTGTGTCCCTGTCCCTGTCCCTGTGTCCCTGTGTCCCTGTCTCTGTGTCCTTGTGTCCCTGTGTCCCTGTCCCTGTGTCCTTGTGTCCCTGTGTCCCTGTGTCCCTGTGTCCCTGTGTCCCTGTGTCCCTGTCCCTGTGTCCCTGTCCCTGTGTCCCTGTCCCTGTCCCCCTGTCCCCCTGTCCCTCTGTCCCTGTCCCTGTGTCCCTGTCCCTGTGTCCCTGTGTCCCTGTCCCTGTGTCCCTGTCCCTGTGTCCCTGTCCCTGTCCCTGTGTCCCTGTGTCCCTGTGTCCCTGTGTCCCTGTGTCCCCATCCCTGTCCCTGTGTCCCCTGTCCCTGTCTCTGTGTCCCTGTCCCTCTGTCCCTGTGTCCCTGTGTCCCTGTGTCCCTGTCCCTGTGTCCCTGTCCCTGTGTCCCTGTCCCTGTGTCCCTGTGTCCCCGTCCCTGTCCCTCTGTCCCTGTCCCCTCGCTGTCCCCACAGCTGCAGTCCGCAGAGTTCGGCTCGGCGGGGAGTGAGAAGGGCAGCCCTGGTGAGGATCGGCCGGGGTGGGGGGTCCTGGGGGTTTGGGGTGTCCCTGGGGGTGTCCCTGGGGGTTTGGGGTGTCCCTGGGGGTTTGGGGGTGTCCCTGGGGGTTTGGGGGTGTCCCTGGGGGTTTGGGGTGTCCCTGGGGTGTCCCTGAGATGTCCTGGGAGATGATCCTGGGGATGTTGGGGTGCCCTGGGGATGTTGGGGTGCCCTGGGAGATGTTGGGGTGTCCAGGGGGATGTTGGGGTGCCCTGAGGATGTTGGGGTGCCCTGGGAAATGTTGGGGTGTCCAGGGGGATGTTGGGGTGCCCTGAGGATGTTGGGGTGCCCTGGGGGATGTTGGGGTGCCCCGGGAGATGTTGGGGTGCCCCGGGAGATGTTGGGGTGTCCAGGGGGATATTGGGGTGCCCTGGCAAATGTTGGGGTGCCCTGGGAGGTGTTGGGGTGTCCAGGGGGATGTTGGGGTACCCTGGGGATGTTGGGGTGCCCTGGGGATGTTGGGGTGCCCTGGGAGATGTTGGGGTGCCCTGGGGATGTTGGGGTGCCCTGGGAGATGTTGGGGTGCCCTGGGGATGTTGGGGTGCCCTGGGAGGTGTGGGGGTGCCCTGGGGATGTTGGGGTGCCCTGGGGATGTTGGGGTGCCCTGGGGGATGTTGGGGTGCCCAGGGGGATATTGGGGTGCCCTGGGAGATGTTGGGGTGCCCTGGGGGATATTGGGGTGCCCTGGGGATGTTGGGGTGCCCTGGGGGATTTGGGGGTGCCCTGGGGATTTCGGGGTGCTGACCCCCCTCTCTGTGCAGCCCTGCAGGTAAGAGCTCACCTGGCCCGGACACCGAGACCCGCCGAGGGTGACGTGGGGGGGACATGGGGGGCACGGCCACCCTTGGGGGGGCAGGGGGGGACCGGGACCCCCGGGTGGAGCCCCCCAGCCCCAGGGGGGGAGTTGGGGGGCGGGGGCCGGGCTGAGCTCAGGCTGTGCCCCCCCAGAACGGCCAACGCGGGCGCATGGACAGAGGGAGCTCCCTGCCCAGCATGCTGGAGCAGAGGGTGAGCGGGGCGGGGGAAATTGGGGGGTGGGCTGGGGGATTTGGGGGGCTGGGGGTGGATTGGGGGGCTGGGGGGAATTGGGGGGCTGGGGGAATTGGGGGGCTGGGGGAATTGGGGGGCTGGGGGAATTGGGGGGCTGGGGGTGGATTGAGGGGCTGGAGCAGAGGGTGAGCGGGGCCGGGGAAATTGGGGGGTGGGCTGGGGGATTTGGGGGACTGGGGGAATTGGGGGGCTGGAGCATAGGGTGAGCGGGGCGGGGAATTGGGGGGATTGGGGGAATTGGGGGGCTGGGGGATTGGGGGGCTGGAGCAGAGGGTGAGCGGGGCGGGGAATTGGGGCCTGGGGGTGGATTGGGGGAATTGGGGGGCCTGGGGGGATTGGGGGGCTGGAGCAGAGGGTGAGCGGGGCGGGGACTGGGGGGATTGGGGGAATTGGGGGGCTGGGGGGATTGGGGGGACTGGAGCAGAGGGTGAGCGGGGCGGGGATTGGGGGGATTTGGGGGGCTGAGGGAATTGGGGGGCTGGGTGGTGAATTGGGGGGGCTGGAGGAGAGGGTGAGCGGGGCGGGGAACTGGGGGGCTGCGGGAATTGGGGCCTGGGGGTGGATTGGGGGAATTGGGGGGCTGGGGGGAATTGGGGGGCTGGGGGATTGGGGGGCTGGAGCAGAGGGTGAGCGGGGCGGGGAATTGGGGCCTGGGGGGGGATTGGGGGAATTGGGGGGCCTGGGGGGATTGGGGGGCTGGGGCAGAGGGTGAGCGGGGCGGGGACTGGGGGGATTGGGGGAATTGGGGGGCTGGGGGGATTGGGGGGACTGGAGCAGAGGGTGAGCGGGGCGGGGATTGGGGGATTTGGGGGGCTGAGGGAATTGGGGGGCTGGGTGGTGAATTGGGGGGGCTGGAGGAGAGGGTGAGCGGGGCGGGGAACTGGGGGGCTGCGGGAATTGGGGCCTGGGGGTGGATTGGGGGAATTGGGGGGCTGGGGGGAATTGGGGGGCTGGGGGATTGGGGGGCTGGAGCAGAGGGTGAGCGGGGCAGGGGGAATTGGGGGGCTGGTGGTGGATGGGGGGGCTGGAGCAGAGGGGGGCTGGGGGAATTGGGGGGAATTGGGGGCTGGGGGAAATTGGGGGGCTGGGGGAAATTGGGGGAATTGTGGGGCTGGGGGAATTGGGGGAATTGGGGGGCTGGGGGAATTGGGGGAATTGGGGGGCTGAGGGAATTGGGGGAATTGGGGGGCTGAGGGAATTGGGGGGCTGGGGGGATTGGGGGGCTGGGGGGAATTGGGGGGTTGGGGGATTGGGGGAATTGGGGGATTGGGGGGCTGGGGAATTGGGGGGCTGGGGGTGGATCAGGGGGCTTGGGGAGGCTTGGAAGGGTCTGGAGGGGCTTTGAAGGATCTGGGGGGGCTGGAAAGGTCTGGGGGGGCTGAAAGGATCTGGGGGGGCTCGGATGGATCTGGGGGGGCTGGAAGGATCCGGGGGGCTGGAAGGATCCGGGGGGCTCGGATGGATCTGGGGGGGTCTCGGATGGATCCGGCGGGCTCAGAAGGGTCCGGGGGGGCTCGGATGGATCCGGGGGGCTCGGATGGATCCGGGGGGGCTCGGATGGATCTCGGGGGGCTCGGAAGGATCCGGGGGACTCAGATGGATCCGGGGGGCTCGGATGGATCCGGGGGGGGCTCGGATGGATCTCGGGGGGCTCGGATGGATCCGGGGGGGGCTCGGATGGATCCGGGGGTGCTCGGATGGATCCGGGGGGGCTCGGATGGATCTGGGGGAGCTGGAAGGATCCGGGGGGGCTCGGATGGATCTGGGGGGCTCGGATGGATCTCGGGGGGGCTCGGATGGATCCGGGGGGCTCGGATGGATCTGGGGGGGCTGGAAGGATCCGGGGGGCTCGGATGGATCTGGGGGGGCTGGAAGGATCCGGGAGGGCTCGGATGGATCCGGGGGGTCCGGATGGATCTGGGGGGGCTCGGATGGATCCGGGGTGCCGGAAGGATCCGGGGGGCTCGGATGGATCCGGGGGGACTCGGATGGATCCGGAGGGCTGGAAGGATCTGGGGGGGCTCGGATGGATCTGGGGGTGCCCCGAGGCTCCCCCAGCCCCCCATTTCCAGATCTACCCCTACGAGGCGCTGGTGGTGACCAACCGCGGCCGCGTGAAGCTCCCGCCCGGCGTGGACCGGACCCGGCTGGAGGTGGGGCCGGGAAATCGGAATATTATATATTAAATATTATATTTAATATTATATATTAAATATTATAAATATTTTATTTCCAATGCCATTGATAAAGGGGCGGTTCAGCGGGTGTAAATCAGGGCTTTAACGTTGGTTATTTTTTTTACTTATAATATTTTTTATTTAGAATAATGTTTAAAGATATATTTATACATATAAAAGAATATATTTATATATAAAAATATATTTTTATATAAAAATAGATTTTTATATATAAATATATGTTTATTTATAATAAAAACATATTGGATTCTATTTATATTATTTTATTATTATATTATATTATATTTATTATAATATTATATTATATTATATTATATTATATTATATTATATTATATTATATTATATTATATTATATTATATTATATTATATTATATTATATTATATTATATTATATTATATTATATTATATTATATTATTATATTATATTATATATTATACTATATTACATTACATTATACTATATTACATTACATTATATTATATTATACAATATTACATTATATTATACTATATTACATTATATTATACTATTCTATATTATTAATATAGAATAATAATATTAATATAAGATTAATACAGATATTAATATTATTAATATAAGATTCAACTATATTAAATATATTTCTTACATTTTTAATATATTTAAATATATATTTCTATATATAATATATATTTATATATTATATTAATAATATATCTTAAATATATATTTACACACAAATTAAAATATTTTTATTTTATTTTATTTTATCTTATTTTGTATTTTTAAATTACATTATTTTTTTAATTTAACATTTTTATGAGGCATCTGGGGCTGTTAAAAAATATTCTCAAATATTCTCAAATATTCACAAATTTTTTAAATATTCTGAAACATTCTAAAATATTCTCAAATATTCTCAAAAATTCTGAAATATTCTAAAATAGTCTCAGACGTTGTCAAATATATTCTGAAATATTCTCAAATATATTCTGCAATACTCTGAAATATTTGGAAATATTCTAAAATATTCTCAAATATTGTCAAATATTGTGAAATATTCTGCGGTATTCTGGAATATTTGGGAATATTCTGGAATACTCTGCACTATTCTGGAATATTCCGGAATATGCTGCGCCATTCCAGAATGTTCTGGAATACTCTGCGCTATTCTGGAATATTCTGGAATACTCTGGAATACTCTGCACGATTCTGGAATATTCCGGAATGTTCAGGAATACTCTGCGCTATCCCGGACTGTTCTGGATTGTTCTGGAATGCTCTGGAATACTCTGCGCTATTCTGGAATATTCCGGAATGCTCTGGAATACTCTGTGCTATCCCGGACCATTCCGGAATGTTCTGGAATGTTCAGGAATACTCTGCGCTATCCCGGAATATTCTGGAACGCTCTGGAATACTCTGCGCTATCCCAGAATGTTCCGGAATGTTCTGGAATACTCTGCACTATTCCGGAATGTTCAGGAATACTCTGCGCTATCCCGGAATATTCCGGAACGTTCAGGAATACTCTGCGCTATCCCGGACCATTCCGGAATGTTCTGGAATACTCTGTGCTATCCTGGACTGTTCCAGAATGTTCTGGAATGCTATCCCGGACCGTTCCGGAATGTTCTGGAATGCTCTGGAATACTCTGCGCTATCCCGGACCATTCCAGAACGTTCTGGAATGCTCTGGAATACTCTGCGCTATCCCGGACCGTTCCGGAACGTTCTGCCGCATTCCCGCCTCCCTCCGCAGCGGCACCTGTCCCCCGAGGATTTCCTGCGCGTGTTCGACATGTCCCCGGAGGAGTTCGCCAAGCTGGCGCTGTGGCGGCGCAACGAGCTGAAGAAAAAGGCCTTCCTCTTCTGAGCCTTCCTCCTCCTCGGAGTCATCCTCCTCCTCCTCGGAGTCATCCTCTTCCTCCTTGGAGTCATCCTCCCTGAGCCTTCCTCCTCGGAGTCATCCTCCTCCCTGAGCCTTCCTCCTCTGAGTCATCCTCCTTGGAGTCATCCTCCTCCTCCTCAGAGTCATCCTCCTCCTCCTCAGAGTCATCCTCCTCCTCCTCAGAGTCATCCTCCTCCTCCTCGGAGTCATCCTCCTCCCTGAGCCTTCCTCTTCTGAGCCTTCCTCCTCGGAGTCATCCTCTTCCTCCTCGGAGTCATCCTCCTCCTCCTCGGAGTCATCCTCCTCCCTGAGCCTTCCTCCTCGGAGTCATCCTCCTCTGAGTCATCCTCCTCCTCCTCGGAGTCATCCTCCCTGAGCCTTCCTCCTCGGAGTCATCCTCCTCCCTGAGCCTTCCTCTTCTGAGCCTTCCTCCTCCTCGGAGTCATCCTCTTCCTCCTCGGAGTCATCCTCCTCCTCCTCGGAGTCATCCTCCTCCTCCTCCCCGAGCCTTCCTCTTCTGAGCCTTCCTCCTCCTCCTCTTCTGAGCCTTCCTCTTAGGAGTCATCCTCCTCCTCCTCTTCGTCATCCTCCCTGAGCCTTCCTCTTCTGAGTCATCCTCTTCGGAGTCATCCTCCCTGAGCCATCTTCCTCCTCCTCTTCTGAGCCTTCCTCCTCTGAGTCATCCTCCTCCTCCTCTGAGTCATCCTCTTCTGAGCCTTCCTCCTCCTCCTCCTCGCCTTCCTCCTCTGATTCATCTTCTGAGCCTTCCTCCTCTGAGTCCTCCTCTCCTGAGCCTTCCTCCTCCTCCTCCTCCTCACCCTCCCAGCCAGCCCAGTCCCTCTCGTGCCGCTTTGGGGCTCTCAGCCGGTTTTATTGGGGTCCCCCCCCGTGTCCCCAAATCAGCCCCCCCAAATCCGGGCACGGGGGGCTCCGACCTGCCCGGCCCCGGGGGTGGGCACGGGTGGGTGGGGGGAGGTTTGGGGGTTCAGGCAGGAGAGGAGATTTGGGGGTTCAGGAGGGGAGGTTTGGGGGTTCAGTCGGGAGAGGAGATTTGGGGGTCTCTGGGCTTTGTGCCCCCCTTTTCCCCCTGGGAACATGCCCGGCTCTGCTGTCGGACCTCCACTGTGGGGGGCACAGGAGGGCACTGGGGCGATGATTTGGGGGGCACTGGAGCGATGATTTGGGGGGCTCAGAAGGGCACAGGAAGGATGATTTGGGGGGCTCAGGAAGGATGATTTGGGGGGCTCAGGAAGGATGATTTAGGGGGCTCAGGAGGGCACTGGAGCGATGATTTGGGGGGCTCAGGAAGGATGATTTGGGGGGCACAGGAAGGCTCTGGAGCGATGATTTGGGGGGCACTGGGGCGATGATTTGGGGGGCTCAGAAGGGCACAGGAAGGATGATTTGGGGGGCTCAGGAAGGATGATTTGGGGGGCACTGGAGCGATGATTTAGGGGGCACAGGAGGACACTGGAGTGGTGATTTGGGGGGCACAGGAAGGATGATTTAGGGGGCTCAGGAGGGCTCTGGAGCGATGATTTGGGGGGCACTGGAGCGATGATTTGGGGGGCACAGGAAGGATGATTTAGGGGGCACAGGAAGGATGATTTGGGGGGCACAGGAAGGATGATTTAGGGGGCACAGGAGGGCACTGGAGCGATGATTTGGGGGCTCAGAAGGGCTCTGGAGCGATGATTTGGGGGGCACTGGGGCGATGATTTAGGGGCACAGGAGGGCACTGGAGCGATGATTTGGGGGGCTCAGGAGGGCTCTGGAGCGATGATTTGGGGGGCACTGGAGCGATGATTTGGGGGGCTCAGGAAGGATGATTCGGGGGGCTCAGGAAGGATGATTTGGGGGGCTCAGGAAGGATGATTTGGGGGGCTCAGGAGGGCACAGGAAGGATGATTTGGGGGGCACTGGAGCGATGATTTGGGGGGCTCAGGAAGGATGATTTGGGGGGCTCAGGAAGGATGATTTGGGGGGCTCAGGAGGACACCGAACTGGCATGGACGATGAACTGGAGCGATGGATTGGAACAGGGCACGGCCCGATGGGCACCGCGGCCGCGCACCGGCGGCGGGCACTGCCCGGCACCGGGCAGCACCTTCCCTTCCCCCCCTCCCCTCCCCGGGCACACGTTTTGGGCAGGACCCCTCTCTCCCCGCGCCCCCCGACCCCTCCACGCTCCCCGGTTTTTGTTTCCAGCCACTTCCCAGCCGCTCGACCTTGTTGGGATGTAAAGAATGTAATTTCTCGGGAATTCACTGGCCCATACTTGCCTTTCACTGCTACAAACGACATATCTATAAATATATATATAAATATGGGTTGTTTTCGGACTGGACTACAGTGATTCACTTTCTCTGTTTTTGTTAGAGTTTATTTTATTTGCTGGTGTTGGAGAATCCGCGTGAGAGTGATTTTTTGCTTACAATTAAAGGTGAAATGGCTTTATCCAACCCGGCTCCGCAGCTTTGCTTCCCCCCCATCCTCGTCCCAAAATCCCACCCGGAGCCGCGCCTCGTCCCCGCGCCCGGCTCCCGGCGGATGGCGGCGCTGCTCCGAGGAGGATGCGGAGCCCTCCCCGCCTTCCTCCCGCCCCGGCCGGGTGCGCTGGGGGCCCGCAGGGCGTGTGCGAGCCGAGCCGAGCCGGGCCGGGACTGCGCTGCCCCGGTCCGATCCCGACCCCGGTCCCGGTCCCGATCCCGGTTCGGATCCAGGCTCCCGTCCCGATCCCCGATCCCGGTCCGGATCCCGGTCCCGGTCCGGATCCCCAGTCCCCATCCCTGTCCCGATTCCAGTCCCGATCCCGATCCCGATCCCGATCCCGATCCCGATCCCGATCCCGATCCCGATCCCGATCCCGGTCCCAGTCCCGGTCCCGGTCCCGGTCCTGGTCCGGTCCCGATCCCCATCCTCACCCCTGTCTCGATCCTGTCCGGATCCCGGTCCCGGTCCGGATCCCCAATCCCCATCCCTGTCCCGATTCCGGTCCCCATCCCCAACCCGGTCCCGATCCCGATCCCTATCCCGGTCCGAATCCCGGTTCCGGTCCCGATCCCGATCCTGATCCCGGTCCCAATCCCCGATCCCCCATCCCGATCCCCATCCTCCCTCCTGTCCCGATCCCGGTCCGGATCCCGGTCCCGGTCCGGATCCCCGGTCCCCATCCCTGTCCCGATTCCGGTCCTCACCCCTGTGCCCAACCCGATCCCGATCCCGGTCCCGGTCCCGGTCCGGTGGCGGTCCCGGTGGCGGTCCCGGTCCGGTCCCGTTCCCGGCGCGATGTGAGCGCTCCCGCACCATGTCCCGGCAGCGAGGTACGGGGGGCTCGGGGGGGTGCGCGGCTGGGGGGGACCGACTCAAACCCGGGGGGAAAAGGGGGTTCGGTGCCCGGGGGAGCCGCGTGGGGCTGCCCACGCGGGCGCGGCTGGTTTGGGGCGCCCGTGGGGGCGTGGGAGGGAAAAGGGGGTTCGGGAAGAGAGGAGAGGGTGAAAATGGGGCGGTGGGAGGGGACAAGGAGGGACGGGGTGTCCCCCGCGCCGTTGGGGTGCCATGGCAGGGTTGTGGGGGGACATCGCCCCTTTCCAGCGCCCTCCCAGGGGCAATTTGGGGGTGCAACAGGCGTGGGGGGAGCGTCCCCACCCTGCAGCCGTGGCCCGGAGCCTCCGCACATGACGAGTGACGGAGCAGCTCCCCGCAGCCTCCTCTGAGTCATCCCGAGCCGGGCCAGGGCCACCCCCGCACCCCCCGGTGTCCCCCGGGTCACCCCAGGGCCACCCCCGGGTCACCCCCGGTCACCCCCTCGTGGCACCGATCGTGCCCCGCGTGGGCGCCGGGCCCAAAGGGCAGCCCCGAACCGCAGCCCGCGCTGGCATCACCCGGGCACCGCGAGTTCCCCTGGCATCCCTGCGGCCGCCCCGGCCTTCCTCCTCCTCCTCCTCCTCTGCTGAGGGTGAGGAGGATGGCACGGGGATGAGGAGGGTGGCATGGGGTTTAGGAGGATGAGACGAGGAGGAGGAGGGTGGCACGGGGATGAGGAGGGTGGCACGAGGATGAGGAGGATGGCACGGGGATGATGGCATGGAGATGAGGAGGATGGCACGAGGAGGGGAAGGTTGCCATGAGGATGAGGAGGATGGCACGGGGATGAGGAGGATGGCACAGGGAGAAGGAGGATGGCACGAGGATGAGGAGGATGGAACAGGGATGAGGATGGCACGGGGAGGAGGAGGATGGCATGGGGATGAGGAGGAGGGCATGAGGATGAGGAGGATGGCACGGGGAGGAGGAGGAAGGTACGGGGAGGAGGAGGATGGCATGGAGATGAGGAGGATGGCACGAGGAGGGGAAGGTTGCCATGAGGATGAGGAGGATGGCACGGGGAGGAGGAGGATGGCACGGGGAGAAGGAGGATGGCACGAGGATGAGGAGGATGGCCCGGGGATGAGGATGATGGCACAGGGAGAAGGAGATGGCACGGGGAGGAGGAGGATGGCACGGGGAGGAGGAGGATGGCATGGGGAGGAGGAGGATGGCACGAGGATGAGGAGGATGGCACGGGGAGGAGGATGGCACGGGGAGGAGGAGGATGGCACAGGGATGAGGACGATGGCACGGGGATGAGGAGGATGGAACGGGGATGAGGAGGATGGCACGGGGATGATGGCATGAGGATGAGGAGGATGGCACGGGGAGGAGGATGGCATGGAGATGAGGAGGATGGCACGAGGAGGGGAAGGTTGCCATGAGGATGAGGAGGATGGCACGGGGAGGGTGGCATGAGGCTGAAGATGCCACACGCCCCGCGGGAGCTTTGCCGGGAGACGCTCTGTGCGTGTTTTTGGGGGCGTTCTCCTCCCGCCCTGGCCACCGAGGCAGATGTTTTCCATCCCGCCCGCTTTCCCTTGGCACGGCAGCGGGCACCGAGCCCGAGCTCCGGGCAGCCCCTCCCCTCCCTGCACCGGCTGCGGGCACGGCTGGGCACGGCTGGGCACGGCTGGGCACGGATCGCGGCCGGGGGGAGCCGCGGGGGCCGCAGAGAGGGCAGAGGGTGAGCGGACAGAGATGTCATTGCCCAGGAATTCGGCCTGGGCGGAGGAGCGGAGAAAGGGAGGGAGGGGAGGGAGGGGAGGGAGGGGAAGGACCGGCCCCGCCAGCCGGGGTGGGGTGGGGACAGTCCCCGTGTGCCCCCCACCACCCGTGGCTCCCTTCCGCCAGCCCCCGCCGCAGCCCCCGCCGCTTTTCCCGCAGGGAATTCTTTGCCCCCCGCTTCCCTTCCCTTCCCCGGTTTCCAGGGAAATCCAGATGTTTGGGCCGCGCTGCCAGATGTTTCCTCTCCCCCCGGGCAGGGTGTGTGCTCCCGGCCGGGGACGCGCGGAGGGGACACGGGGGTGCCCCGTGCCAGCACCTCCGGGGCAGGAGAGGCGGCTTCACACGCGTGGCACTGAGGGGCTCCTTCCCCCCTGCCCTCGCCTCACCCAGGGGTGCCACCTCCTTTTTGGGGTGCGCTGCGTCCCTGTTAATGCCCAGAAATGCGGGATTCGGGGATGTGGGGGTCAGGGTCACCGGGGCCTTGCAGGAGGGGTGGTGACTGCAGGAGGGGTGGTGGTGGCTTCGCTGGGACTGTCCCTTTTCGTCTGGGAGGTGGCTCTAGCCTCACCCAGGGGTGCCACCTCCTTTTTGGGGTGCGCTGCGTCCCCGTTAACCCAGAGAAATGTGGGGTTAGGGGATGTGGGGGTCACCGGGGCCTTGCAGGAGGGGTGGTGGTGGCTTCACTGGGACTGTCCCTTTTCAGCTGGGAGGTGGCTCTAGCCTCACCCAGGGGTGCCACCTCCTTTTTGGGGTGCGCTGCGTCCCTGTTAACCCAGAGAAATGTGGGGTTAGGGGATGTGGGGGTCACCGGGGCCTTGCAGGAGGGGTGGCGGTGGCTTCGCTGGGACTGTCCCTCCCTTTCCGGCTGGGAGGTGGCAGGGGGACTCGAGCAGGGGGCAGGGTGCTCTGGAGACAGCTGGCACCTGTGCCAGGCGGCTCTGGAAGGTTTGATGCCAGCCTGCTGGCAGGACCTCTGGGGACAGCGGTGCCACCATCCCTCGGCACCCAAATGTGCCAGTGACCATCTGTCCCCTTTCCCTTGTCCCTTGTCCCTTGTCCCTTGTCCCTTGTCCCTTGTCCCATGGCACTGGGGACACTGCCGTGGCATTGGGGACACCCCCATGGTATTGAGGACCCTCCATGGCATTGGGGGTACCCCCATAGCACTGGGGTCACCCCCACGGCACTGGGGACACCCCCATGGCATCAGGGACACCCCCACGGCAGCAGGGGCATTCCATGGCACTGGGGACATTCCCATGGCATCGGGGACACTCCATGGCACTGGGGACACCCCCATGGTATCAGTGACCCCTCCATGGCATCGGGGACACCCTCATGGCATCAGTGACCCCTCCATGGCATTGGGGACACCCCCATGGTATCAGTGACCCCTCCATGGTATCAGTGATCCCTCCTGGCATCGGGGACACCCTCATGGCATCAGTGACCCCTCCATGGCATCGGGGACACCCCATGGCATTGAGGACACCCTCATGGCACTGGGCACACCCTCATGGCACTGGGCACACCCTCATGGCACTGGGGACACCCTCATGGCATCAGTGACCCCTCCATGGCATCGGGGACACCCCATAGCACTGGGGACCCTCCATGGCATCAGTGACCCCTCCATGGCATTGGGGACACCCCATGGCACTGGGGACACCCTCATGGCACTGGGGACACCCCATAGCACTGGGGACCCTCCATGGCATCAGTGACCCCTCCATGGCATCGGGGACACCCCATGGCACTGGGGACACCCCATGGCATCGGGGACACCCCATGGCATTGGGGACACCCCCATGGCATTGGGGACACCCCCATGGCATCAGTGACCCCTCCATGGCATCGGGGACACCCCAGCCGTGCCCAGTGCAGGGGAAGGGCCGGGGAGCCGTGCCCGCAGGCTCCTGTGGAGGGTGGCACGTCCCTGTCGCTGTCCCCTGCAGACCTGGACCAGCTCCTGTGGGACCTGCGCTCCTTCCTGCTCCTGCTGGACCGCGAGAGCCTCAGCGCCGCCGCTCGGGCCAAGAAACGCTCCGTGTCCGCCCTGCTGGCCCGGCTGCAGCGCCCACCCCGTGAGTGCGGGTCTGGGGGCGGGGGGACCCCCCGGCCGGTGCCCGCTGGGCAGTGGGGCAGGCTTGGGGGGCGCAGCCCTGACCCGGCGCTGCCCCCGCAGCAGAGGATGCCGAGTACATGATCATGCGCTGCCTCTCGCCCTCCCCGGTGACCCCGACGGGCCGGTGCAGCCCGGGTGAGTCTCACGCTCATCATCATCATCATCATCATCATCATCATCATCATCATCATCTTTGACGTTCCCCCCCTCTCAGCCCCCTGAATTATCAGGCTGGCCCAGAGATCCGAGGCTCTGAGGGGAGGAATATCAGGAGATGGCAAAGATTTCCGAAAGAGGCTCTCACCCCGATGTGTGCTGGTGCAGTTCTCTTTGTTCTGTGATGTCCAAGGGAAAGAGCGGGGCACAAAGAGGCCGAACAGGAAATTCCAGGGGTTTATCCAGGCTTTGGATAGGGAGCGTGTCGTGGTTTGACACTGGCACAATGCTGGTGCCCCTGTGAAAATGCAACCTATCAATTGAATGCTGTGAAATGCGATCGAGAACAGAACAAAACAGGCCAAACTTAATAACAAAGGGGAAAAAAAAATTATTAAGCTACCACTACTACTACAAAAGGAAAAAGAAAGGAAAAAAACCACACACACAAAATTCAAAATGAAAACCTTTCAAAACATTCCTCCTCCCACCACCCAACTTCACCAAACCACAGCGAGGCCCATTTGGATCCTTAATCAAGTTTTCACCCTTCAATATAATCAATATTTAATCCATTGGGGAAGAGAGGAGTCCCCCTTGCACCACAGACCCCCAGGAAACACAGCTGCCACCTCTTGTGTTTCCATGGCACACCGGCCAGTGTGACACTCTCCTCTCCATGTCACAGTGCTCTCACCACCGTGCATGGACCAAAACTGCTCACAGGGTTCCTTTAAGGATGCTTTGCCAAGGAACAACAGTCCAGTGTCTCATTTTGGGACCACAGTCCCCCCCATTTCCCCCTAGGGCCGAGAATCCAAGAACAGAGATCTCCTTCTCTTCTTCTCTGAAGACGGAGGGCATCCTCACACCCTCCTCAGCTTTTCTCTGTCCGTTCCTGAACTGGCAGCTGCTGAAGGAGTCTCTTGGCTCACATTTGCATCCCCCTAAAATGCAGTCCCTCTCTTGGAGGAAGGATTGGTTCGGTCTATGGCTGACAAGAAGAGTCCAGCCAAAAGCCATGACAGGTTGGGGGGGACTCAGATTCAGTCAAAAAAAAGAAACTGAGAATTTCCAGCCAGGCAGAAACCTGGGAAAGAGCTGGCGAAGAATGTAAATAATTCTTTATCTCTCTTGTTGTTCATATTTTTTATAGTTAAGTTCTGTCGCTGTGCATCAAGCACTGGACACCAATGGTGTGCATTGTTTTCACTTCAGGACCAGTGGAATTGGTCCTCACAAAGCTCTGTATAGAAGAGCGGTGTATTTTGAATAAAGGAGAGTTTTTAGTATTGCAGCCTTCTGAATCAGAGTCTTCTCATTCCCACCCTGCCTCGACAGCGACAAGGTTGCATTTTCATGGGGGTGCTGGCATTGCGCTGATTTATTAAAAAAATATGGATATTGATCTAGTATCGATATCCAACTGTGACGGACAAAAACTCTCTAATAATTTAAAGTTAGAAAGTGTGTGTTTATTGTGTGTGGGATCGCTCCCAAATCCACACCGCAGCTTCCAGGTGATTACAGAGCCCTTTTAGCCATACAAGTGTTGAATACCCAAAATACAAATACATGTTCATAATTTTGGTACATCCCATTCCTCGCTTTGTAAGCTAATCACTTCAAAATATATTCAGCATGTGTGGTTTGTCCCTTGAAATGGGTCGGTGTCCCTTTCATGGGGAGGGGTCCCAAAATGAGGAAGTCAATGAAGTCTTCCTCCTTCTGACCTTTCTACCTTTTCAGTGCAAATATGACAAATGAACTCTTGGTAGAACTCCCATTCCTTGTCTTCAGTTGGTTTCAGAACAGAGGAGGCCACAATTGTCTTATGTTCCTAAAAGCTATTTATCAATTTATATTCTTCATTATAAACCCAGCTAACCAAACCTTGTGCTGACAAGCAATCAATTATCATTTAACTCCTAACTCCTAAGTTCATCAAGGCCTACTCATTTATTATTATTATTTTAATTAATTCTAGTAAGGCTTATTTCTAACTAAAATCTCAGCTCTTCAAGAATCTCTAAATGCCTTAAAGTCTACATTTCAGTGCCAGTCTCAAACCATGGCAGAGCTCTTCTCTGGCTCTCCGCCAACCCCGCTGGGGCAGGAAGGAGGGTCCAGGGTTATCTTGATCAGAGCCACAGGGGTCCTGAGCTCACTGTAACACATCTCCTCCTCCACGCGTGGTTTGGGGGGTCCCCGACCCCTCAGCCGGTCCGGTTTCCCCCCGCAGGCTCCGGGAGCGCAGAGGCAGCGGGAGGAGGAGGCCGCGAGCGCCCGCACGGAGCGGTGAGAGGGGGCAGCGAGGGGCTGGGGGGCGCAGGGGGGGTGGGAGAGGGGCTCGGCTGCTGCTGTTGAGGCAGGATGGGAATGAATAGACTTGACTCAGAAGGTTGTGAGAGTGAAACTTCGATTTATTTAAAATACACCGCTCCTTTATACAGAGCTCCGTGAGGACTAAATCTATTGAAGTGAAAACAATCCACAGCTTTGGTGTACAGTGCTTGACACAGAACTTACCTATAAACAATGTGAAAAACAAGAGAGATAAAGAATTATTTACATTCTTATTTAGCTCTTTCCCAGGCGTCTGCCTGGCTAGAAACTCTCAGTTTCTCTCTTTGACTGAATCCGAGTCCCACACTCGGCCACCCCAGGGTTGGCTAAGATTGCTCACAGGGGGGGTCCCACCACGCTGGAAATCTTCATGGTGCCCCCCCGCCCACCGAGGGGGGACCCAGTGAGGTTCCCCACCTTTGGAACACCCCTTGTACCCCCAGAACAAGGAGCCGGGGGTCCCTCCGACCCTCCCAGCCGATGACTCCTACGAAGACACCGAACCCCCCGAGCACGGTGAGGTCTCCCCACGACCCCTCCCCAGCTCCCTGAGGTCTCCCCACGACCCCTCCCCAGCTCCCCCCGCGCCCCCCACCCCGGCCTGACCAACCCCATCCCGGCTCGCAGGCGGCGGCGACAGCGACAGCAGCCACTACGAGTCGTACGGAGAGGAGGAAGAGGAGGAGGAGGAGGATGGGGGGGTGACGGACCGGGCCCATTACCTGCGCTGGCCAGCGGGCACCAGCGCCGAGCCCCCCGAGCCCCCCGGGCGCCCCGAGGCGCAGCTCTGCGGTTTCCTCTGGAGGAAGCGCTGGCTGGGCCGGTGGGCCAAGCAGCTTTTCATCGTCCGGGAGCACGTCCTGCTGGTGAGGGGCTGGCAGGAGGATGGGTAAAGGTGGCACAGGGGCTCCGTGCCCAACTCTAACCCCTCCGTGCCCCCCTGCCCCCGCCGTGCCCACCCCGCAGTGCTTCAGGTGTGCCGCAGACCTGCAGCCGCTGCTGCAGCTGGACCTGCGCGGCTGCCGCGTCTCCTGCAAGGACAAGAGGGGCAAGAAGATGCCCCATGCCCTGAAGGTGGCAGGGAGGGCAGGAGAGGTGCTGGTCATCGGCTTCCAGAGCCGGCAGCAGGCTGAGGACTGGAGGAAGGTTTGGAGGTGTTGCAGCCGGGCAGGAGAAGGGTGGGCAGGGGGGAAATGGGGGAACAGCCCTGCCCCGGTGCTGCTGGGGGAGCTGGGGATGATCCGGGGTGTCCCCAGTTCCCTTCTGGGGGTTGTGAGCCCCAGATCCTTTCTGGGGGTTGTGGGGAGCACTTTAGTGGGGGCTGGGGATGATCCCCAGTTCCCTCCTGGGGGTTGTGGAGAACATTTTTAGTGGGGACCTAGGGATGATCCGGGGTGTCCCCAGTTCCTTTCTGGGGGTTGTGAGGAGCATTTTTAGAGGGGGGCTGGGGATGATCCGGAGCGTCCCCTGTTGCCTTCTGGGGGTTGTGAGCCCCAGTTCCCTCCTGGGGGTTGTGGGGAGTATTTTGGGTTGTGAGGAGCATTTTTAGTGGGGGGTGGGGATGATCCGGGGTGTCCCCAGTTCCCTCCTGAGCCTTGTGTGAGTCCCAGATCCTTTCTGGGGGTTGTGGGAGCATTTTGGGTTGTGAGGAGCATTTTTAGTGGGGGGTGGGGATGATCCCCAGTTCCCTTCTGGGGGTTCTGAGGAGCATTTTTAGTGGGGACCTGGGGATGATCCGGGGTGTCCCCAGTTCCCTTCTGGGGTCTATGAGGAGCATTTTTAGAGGGGGGCTGGGGATGATCCCCAGTTCCCTCCTGGGGGTTGTGGGGAGTATTTTGGGTTCTGAGGAACATTTTTAGTGGGGGGTGGGGATGATCCGGGCTGTCCCCAGTTCTTTTCTGGGCGTTGTGAGTCCCAGATCCTTTCTGGGGGTTGTGGGGAGCATTTTGGGCTCTGAGGAGCAATTTTAGTGGGGGCTGGGGATGATCTGGGGTGTCCCCAGCTCCTTTCTGGGCGTTGTGAGCCCCAGATGCTTTCTGGAGGTTGTGAGGAGCATTTTTAGTGGGGACCTGGGGATGATCCGGGGTGTCCCCAGTTCCCTTCTGGGGTCTATGAGGAGCATTTTTAGAGGGGGGCTGGGGATGATCCCCAGTTCCCTCCTGGGGGTTGTGAGCCCCAGGTCCTTTCTGGGGGTTGTGGGGAGCATTTTTAGCGGGGGGCCGGATGGCGGGGTGAGCTGTGCCCGTCCCCAGGTGATCGAGGAGGTGAGCAGCGATGGCCCGAGCGGGCTGGCGGCTCTCGGGGTCCCAGCGCCGCCTTCCTCCAGGCCCGGCAGGGTGAGTTTGGTCCCCCCGGGAAATAAACCCCAACCCCATATCCTGGGGAGAGCTGAGACCCCACAGTTTCGGGGCTCTCCCCACAGATTCGGGGCTCCCCTCACAGATTCGGGGCTCCCCCCACAGATTCGGGGATCCCCCTATCCCCACTCCGGGCCTGCCTCACCGCAGCTCGGCAAGGAGGAAGAGGAGGAGGGGAGGAAGCGCTGCCGGCCGAGCCCCGCGCGGCGCGGAGAGGACGGCAAAGGAGGTGGGGGGCTGCGAGGGGTCGGGGTTCGGGGTTCGGGGTTCGGGGTTCGGGGTTTGGGGTTCGGGATTCGGGGTTTGGGGGTCAGGGTTCATGGTAAGTGGTTCGGGATTCGGGGTTTGGGGTTCGGGGTTTGGGGTTCGGGGTTTGGGGTTCCTGGTTCGTGGTTCGGGGTTCAGGGTTTGGGTTCAGGGTTCGGGGTTTGTGGTTCGGGGGTCAGGGTTCGTGGTTCGGGGGTCAGGGTTCGTGGTAAGTGGTTCGGGGTTCGGGGTTCGGGGTTTGGGGTTCGGGGGTCAGGGTTCGTGGTAAGTGGTTCGGGGTTCGGGGTTCGGGATTCGGGGTTTGGGGTTCGGGGTTCGGGGTTCGGGGTTTGGGGTTTGGGGTTCCTGGTTCGTGGTTCGGGGTTCAGGGTTCGGGGTTCGGGGTTCGGGGTTTGGGGTTTGTGGTTTGGGGTCCGTGGTTTGGGGGTCGGGGCTCGGGGTTCCTGGTTTGGGGTTCGGGGTTCGGGGTTTGGGGTTCGGGATTCGGGGTTCGGGGGTCAGGGTTCGGGGTTTGGGGTTCGGGATTCGGGGTTCGGGGTTCGAGGTTCGGGGTTCGGGGTTCGGGGTTCGGGGTTCGGGGTTTGTGGTTTGGGGTTCGGGGTTTGGGTTTCGGGGTTCGGGGGTCGGGGTTCGGGATTCGGGGTTCGGGGTTTGGGGTTCGGGGTTCGGGATTCGGGGTTTGGGGTTCGGGGTTCGGGGTTCGGGGTTTGGGGTTCGGGGTTTGGGGTTCCTGGTTCATGGTTCGGGGTTTGGGGTTCGGGGTTCGGGGTTCGTGGTAAGTGGTTCGGGGTTTGGGGTTTGGGGTTCGGGGTTCGGGATTCGGGGTTCGGGGTTCGGGGTTCGGGGTTTGGGGTTCGGGGTTCAAGGTTCGGGGGTCGGGGTTCGTGGTTCGGGGTTCAAGGTTCGGGGTTCGGGGTTCCTGGTTCGGGGTTCGGGGTTCAAGGTTCGGGGTTTGGGGTTCGGGGTTCGGGGTTCGAGGTTTGGGGTTCGGGGTTCGGGGTTCGGGGTTTGTGGTTCGGGGTTCGGGGTTTGGGGTTCCTGGTTCGGGGTTCGGGGTTTGGGGTTTAGGGTTTGGAATTCGGGATTCGGGGTTTGGGGTTCGGGGTTTGGGGTTCGGGGTTCGTGGTTCGGGGTTTGGGGTTTGGGGTTTGGGGTTTGGAATTCGGGATTTGGGGTTCGGGGGTCAGGGTTCAGGGTTTGGGGTTCGGGGTTCGGGGTTTGGGGTTCGGGGTTCGGGGTTCGGGGTTCGGGGTTCGGGGTTTGGGGTTCGGGGTTCGGGGATCGGGGGTCGGGGTTCGTGGTTCGGGGTTCGGGGTTCGGGGATCGGGGGTCGGGGTTCGTGGTTCGGGGTTTGGGGTTCGGGGTTCGGGGTTCGGGGTTCGGGGTTCAACGTTCGTGGTTCGGGGTTTGGGGTTCGGGGTTCAGGGTTCGGGGCTCGGGGTTTGTGGTTTGGGGTTTGGGGTTTGGGGTTCGTGGTTCGTGGTTCGTGGTTCGTGGTTCGGGGTTTGGGGTTCGGGGTTCGGGGGTTGGGGTTCGTGGTTCGGGGTTTGGGGTTCGGGGTTCATGGTTTGGGGTTCGGGGTTTGGGGTTCGGGGTTCGGGGTTCGGGGTTCGGGGTTCGGGGGTCAGGGTTGGTGGTAAGTGGTTCGGGGTTCGTGGTTCGTGGTTCGTGGTTCGGGGTTCGGGGTTCGGGGTTCGGGGTTCGGGGTTCGGGGTTCGGGGTTCGGGATTCAGGGTTCGGGGGTCAGGGTTCATGGTAAGTGGTTCGGGGTTCGGGGTTCGTGGTTCGTGGTTCGGGGGTGCCATCCCCGTGCCCGCTGCCGGCGCTGCCCGCAGGGTTCCCGGTGCTCCGGCAGCGCCTGCGGGCCGCGCTCCGTCGCGGAGCCCTGCGGGTGCTGGCGGTGCCCGGCGCTGCCCCGCGCCCGGAGGGGTGCCGGGGGTCCCCCGGGACGGCCGCCGGATCCCCCCAAAACCTCCGCGCCCGCATCGCCCAGCGCGGCCGGGAGCTGGCCCGGCTGCAGGTGAGTGACCGGCGGGGTACCCCGGTGTGCTCCCGGGGGCACCCCCTGAACCTGGACACTGCTTCAGGGGCACCCCCTGAACCCAAACCCGGCCCTGGGGGCACCCCCTGAGCCCAGACCCTGCCCTGGGGGTGCCCCTGAGCCCAGACCCTGCCCTGGGGGTGCCCCTGAGCCCAGGCCCTGCTTTGTGTGCACCCCCTGAGCCCAGACCCTGCCCTGGGGGCACCCCCTGAGCCCAGACCCTGCCCTGGGTGTGCCCCCTGAGCCCCGACCCTGCCCCAAGGGTGCCCCCTGAGTCCAAACTCTGCCCTTGGGGTGCCCGCTGAACTCAGCCCCTGCCCCCCACCAGGCCCGTCCGGACCAGGGGAGCGAAGCCCGGCTGAGGACCCCACAGACCAGGGGGGCAGCGGAGCCCAAGAAGGGCGAGGGGCCCCCGCCGAGACCCCCGAGGCCGAGCAGCCGCCCCGCTGCCGGGTAAGGCCTTGGGGCACCCTCATCCCTGCCCCCCCTCTGGGCTGGGGGGGCTCAGGGCATCCCCTCCTGCTCGCAGGGGGCTGCTGCTGCGCCGTGTGCCCACCCCCAACGCCTACATGGACGATCCCTCCGGGCACCCCCCGCCAGCCGGGACCCCCAAACATCTCTCGTGCAGCGCGGAGCGGCTGCAGCAGCTGGTAACCTCTGCTGGTGCTCTGTGCCCCCCGCTCCTGCCCCTCAGGGGGGCAAATCCACTCCCACTGTCCCTGTGCCCGTGGGTCTCACCGTCCCTGTGCCCCCGGGTACCATCCCCGTGCCCACGGGCTTCACCATCCGCTTCCCCCGGGCTTCACCGTGCCCGTACCCCCAGGGTTTCACCATTGCCTTCCCCCGGGCTGTGCCATCCCCTTGCCATGGGCTTCACCGTGCCTGTGCCCGCGGGTTTCACCATCCCCATGCCCCTGGGTACCATCCCTGTGCCCACGGGCTTCACCATCCGCTTCCCCCGTGCTTCACCGTGCCCTCACCGCCGTTCTTCACCATCCCTGTGCCCCCGGGTACCATCCCCGTGCCCGTGGGTTTCACCATCCGCTTTCCCCAGGCTGTGCCATCCCTTTGCCACGGGCTTCACCGTGCCTGTGCCCGCGGGTTTCACCATCCCCGTGTCCCCGTTCTTCACCGTGCCCTCGCCCCCGGGTTTCACCGTCTCCGTGTCCCCGGGCTTTACTGTGCCCTCACCCCCGGGTTTCACAATCCCTGTGCCCCCCGGGTACCATCCCCATGCCCGTGGGTTTCACCACCTGCTTGCCCGCGGGCTTCACCATCCCCTCACTCCCATTTTTCACCATCCCAGTGCCCCCTGGGCCGTGCCATCACCTCACCCCCAGGTTTCACCCTCACCGTGCCCCCGGGCTTCACCGTGCCCTCACCCCCGGGTTTCACCGTGCCCTCACCCCCGTTCTTCACCATCCCAGTGCCCCCTGGGCTCCACCATCCCCGTGCCCGCGGGCTTCACCATCCCCTCAGCCCCGAGTTTCTCCATCCCCGTGCCCCCGTTCTTTATCGTGCCCTCACCCCGGGTTTCACCCTCACCGTGTCCCCGTTCTTCACCGTGCCCTCAGCCCCGGGTTTCACCGTGCGCTCACCCCCGTTCTTCTCCATTCCCTCACCCCGGGTTTCACCATCCCCATCACCCCCATTCTTCACTGTGCCCTCACCCCCGTTCTTCTCCATTCCCTCACCCCGTTCTTCACCGTGCCCTCACCCCCGTTCTTCACCATCCCCATCACCCCCGGGTTTCACCCTCCCCGTGCCCCCGGGTTTCACCATGCCCTCACCCCCATTCTTCACCGTGCCCTCACCCCCGGGTTTCACCGTGCCCTCACCCCGGGTTTCACCATCCCCATCACCCCCATTCTTCTCCATTCCCTCGCCCCTGGGTTTCACCGTGCCCTCACCCCCGTTCTTCACCGTGCCCTCACCCCGGGTTTCACCATCCCGTCACCCCCGGGTTTCACCGTGCCCTCACCCCGGGTTTCACCCTCACCGTGTCCCCGTTCTTCACCGTGCCCTCACCCCGGGTTTCACCCTCCCCGTGCCCCCCGGCTTCTCCCCGCAGCAGCAGAGCCTGGAGCGGGCAGTGCCAGGGCAGCGCCCCAGACCCGTGTCTGCCCTGCCCGGCTGTGCCAGCGCCGCGGGCGGTGCCCGGGCCTCGCCGGCAGGTGAGAGCGGTGGGTGGGAATGTCCAGGGAGGCGGCGGTGCCCAGGAGATTTGGGATTTCTGTGTCCTCCCACCTTTCCCTTCCTGCTGATTATTCGGGATCATCCCCGCAGCCTTTCCCGGCTGCGTGGTGGCGCTCCGCAATAATTTTAATTTTGGAGCGTTTTTACTGGGAACGTGGGAGTTTATGGGGTGTCCCCTGCCCCACATCCCCTGCCCCACATGCCAGCGGCGGGCAGGGCTGGCCCGTGCCCGGCCTTGGCAGCGCTCCTGCTCTGCTTGCAGGGCACAGAGCGTTTCCCAAGCCGGAGGAGCACACGGGGCAGCTGCTGAGGGGCGCGAAGGGCAGGATGAGATCCGGCTCCGAGATCAACCTGCTGGCGCTGGGCACGGCGCTGAGGGGGCACATCGCTGCCAGCGCCAGCTCGGCTGGCTCCGAGGTGGGCAACTGCCGGAATCTGGGGTATTGATGTTCCGAGAGTGTGAAAAACCTCTGTCAGCCCCGCTGCCAAAGCAGAAGCCATAATTGGTCTGTGCTGTTTCAAGGTTGTTTATTCTCTTTATCTCTACCATGTTCTGCTGCCCTGCCGCAGCTCTGTCCTGCAGGGCAGCGTGTGGGGCTCTGCCCTCAGTGGGATGGTACAAACATTAAATACCACAAACTACCTGTGCTGGATTTACAATAACGTGCCAATATCTGTCACCTACGTTGGACAGTGTGTCCCCAGCCTGAACCAACAGAAAAATGCCAACACCACAGTGAAACATGGAGGGCATGAAGAAGGAGAAAAAGGACAAGACACACCCAATTTCCTCCATCTTGTCCCCTTTGGACCCCTAATCTAGAATCCTAAAATTTTACTTTTGCACCCGTGCCACACTTAATTATTACTTATATCAAACACTCAGAGCTTGTAATTCATCCTGTAGGATTGAAAACTCTTTTCCATGGACAGAGATCACAGCCAGTGTCTCTGGGGGCTCTGTCCAGGGGGGTTCCTGACCCCTGCCAGGGTCCCAGGGCAGCCAGAGGGATTCCCTGGATTCCCCCAGGGGACACCGAGGGGGTCTGAGTTGGGTTTGAGGTGTGAGTTGGGTTTGAGGTGTGAGTTGGGTTTAAGGTATGAGTTGGGTTTGATGTGAGTTGGGTTTGAGGGGTGAGTTGGGTTTGATGTGAGTTGGGTTTGGAGATGTGAGTTGGGTTTAAGGTGTGAATTGGGTTTGAGGTGTGAGTTTGGTTTGATGTGATTTGGGTTTGAGGTGTGAGTTGGGTTGGAGGTGTGAGTTGGGTTTGATGTGAGTTGGGTTTGATGTGAGTTGGGTTTGAGGTGTGAGTTGGGTTGGAGGTGTGAGTTGGGTTTGATGTGAGTTGGGTTTGAGATGTGAGTTGGGTTTGATGTGAGTTGGGTTTGAGGTGTGAGTTGGGTTTGATGAGTTGGGTTTGATGAGAGTTGGGTTTGATGAGTTGGGTTTGGAGATGTGAGTTGGGTTTGAGGTGTGAGTTGGGTTTGAGGTGTGAGTTGGGTTTAAGGTGTGAGTTGGGTTTGAGGGGTGAGTTGAGTTTGATGTGAGTTGGGTTTAAGGTGTGAGTTGGGTTTAAGGTGTGAGTTGGGTTTGGAGGACACCCCCGAGCCTTTTCTCGCTGTGTTTCCCGCAGGGCTCGTTCCTCAGGCCGCTGCTGAAGCGCTCCAGCTCGGCCAGGAGCGCCCTGAGACCGCCGCCGTCCCCGCTCACGGCCGGGAAGGGAAATGTGATGCGGAAGAAAAAGGTAATTCCAGGATCTGGGGGAACGGGAAGGGTTTAGGGGATCCTACAGGACGGGGAAATGAGGGATTGATCCGCTAAAAACAGGGAAGTGAGGGATTGATCCCCTGAAAACACGGAAATGAGGGATTGATCCCCTACAGAACAGGGAAATGAGGGATTGATCCCCTAAAAACAGGGAAATGAGGGATTGATCCCCTAAAAACAGGGAAATGAGGGATTGATCCCCTACAGAACAGGGAAATCAGGGATCGATTCCGTACAGGACGGGGAAATGAGGGATTGATCCCCTAAAAATGGGGAAATGAGGGATTGATCCCCTAAAAACGGGGGAATGAAGGATTGACCCCCTAAAAACAGGGAAATGAGGGATTGATCCGCTAAAAACGGGGAAATGAGGGATTGATTGCCTAAAAACGGGGAAGTGAGGGATTGATCCCCTAAAAACAGGGAAATGAGGGATTGATCCGCTAAAAACAGGGAAATGAGGGATTGATCCCCTACAGAACAGGGAAATCAGGGATCGATTCCGTACAGGACGGGGAAATGAGGGATTGATCCCCTAAAAACAGGGAAATGAGGGATTGATCCCCTAAAAACAGGGAAATGAGGGATTGATCCCCTAAAAACAGGGAAATGAGGGATTGATCCCCTAAAAACAGGGAAATTAGGGATTGATCCCCTATAGAACAGGGAAATGAGGGATTGACCCCCTAAAAACAGGGAAATGAGGGATTGAACCCCTAAAAACAGGGAAATGAGGGATTGATCCCCTAAAAACAGGGAAATGAGGGATCGATCCCCTGTAGAACAGGGAAATGAGGGATTGACCCACTAAAAACACGGAAATGAGGGATTGATGCGCTAAAAACAGGGAAGTGAGGGATTGATCCCCTAAAAACAGGGAAATGAGGGATTGACCCCCCCAATTTTGCAGGAGTGGGAGATGAAATCTGCGATGTGAGGACGCGGCGGGATTCTCCCGGAAAACCTCGGGCTGCGCGTGGATCGCGCAGGACCAGCCTGAAATTCGCCTTTTTCCCATCAGTATCAACGCTACAACCGCGCACATTTATTTTTTTATACGCAGATATATCCCTACACACATAGCAGCTCTCCAGCCGGGCTCTCCCCCACATTCCCGCGGTTTTTGGGGTTCACAATTTCGGGGTTCACAATTCCCGGGGGTCCCAGCCATGTTCTCCCCACCCTTCCCTTCATTTTTGGGGTTCACAATTCCCGGGGGTCCCAGCCATGCTCTCCCCAACCCTTCCCTCGGTTTTTGGGGTTCACAATTCCCGGGGGTCCCAGCCATGCTCTCCCCACCCTTCCCTTCATTTTTGGGGTTCACAATTCCCGGGGGTCCCAGCCATGTTCTCCCCACCCTTCTCTTCATTTTTGGGGTTCACAATTCCCGGGGGTCCCAGCCATGCTCTCCTCACCCTTCCCGCGGTTTTTGGGGTTCATAATTTCGGGGTACACAATTCCCAGGGGTCCCAGCCATGCTCTCCCCAACCCTTCCCTTCATTTTTGGGGTTCACAATTCCCGGGGGTCCCAGCCATGCTCTCCCCAACCTTCCCTTCATTTTTGGGGTTCACAATTCCCGGGGGTCCCAGCCATGCTCTCCCCACCCTTCTCTTCATTTTTGGGGTTCACAATTCCCGGGGGTCCCAGCCATGCTCTCCCCACCCTTCCCTTCATTTTTGGGGTTCACAATTCCCGGGGGTCCCAGCCATGCTCTCCCCACCCTTCCCGCGGTTTTTGGGGTTCACAATTCCCGGGGGTCCCAGCCATGTTCTCCCCACCCTTCCCTTCATTTTTGGGGTTCACAATTCCCGGGGGTCCCAGCCATGCTCTCCTCACCCTTCCCTCGGTTTTTGGGGTTCACAATTCCCAGGGGTCCCAGCCATGCTCTCCCAACCCTTCCCTCGGTTTTTGGGGTTCACAATTCCCGGGGGTCCCAGCCATGCTCTCCCCAACCCTTCCCTTCATTTTTGGGGTTCACAATTCCAGATTTCACCTTCAGGAGCTGCTGGCTCTGTCCCAAGCCCATTAGTGGCACCCCAAACCCCCTCCAGCACCCCAAATTTTCAGGGAATTTGGGGTGCTGGATCCAGACGAACCCCGGGAAAGAGGAATTTGGGAAGGATCCGATTGTCCTTTCCCTGGAGGCAGCGGCCCCGGGCTGGGCCCGGGGTGATTTTCCAGCAGCTGCGCTCGGCTTGGTTGTCATTGGAGAAATTTTGGTTTTTGTTTGTTTTTTTAAAGAGAATTTTAAAAATGAGTTGTAAAATTTGGGGTTTATGGGAAAAAAAGCTGGGAAGGGGGGTGTCCTTGTATTTATCCTGGGGAGTGTGGGCTCCTGGGACACGATCCCATAAAAAACAGGGCACGGGGACCCCCTCCAAGGACACACGATCCCCGAAACAGGGACCCCATCCCCAAAAGAGGGACCCCATCCCCGAAACAGGGACCCCATCCGGGGAATCAGGGACCCCATCCCCAAAAGAGGGACCCCATCCTCTGCCAGGGACCCCATCCCGGGAATCATGGACCCCATCCCGGGAATCATGGACCCCATCCTGGGAATCAGGGACCCCATCCCCGAAACAGGGACCCCCCCCCCAAAAAACAGGGACCCCATCCCGGGAATCAGGGACCCCATCCCCAAAACAGGGACCCCATCCCGGGAATCAGGGACCCCATCCCCAAAACAGGGACCCCATCCCGGGAATCAGGGACCCCATCCCCAAAACAGGGACCCCATCCCCAAAAGAGGGACCCCATCCCCGTGGGGTCAGCGCGGAGAATTTGGGGTGGCTGGGGACAGGCTGGGACACGTCCCGCACCCCGGGAGCTCCGGAACAGCGCCGGGAGAGCTCCGGCCGGAATTCCCGGAATTCCCGGAATTCCCGGAGCTCGGTGCCGGCTCCAGCGGGGTCTGTTCTGCAGGGCAGCGTGTGGGGCTCTGCCCTCAGTGGGATGGTACAAACATTAAATACCACAAACTACCTGTGCTGGATTTACAATAACGTGCCAATATCTGTCACCTACGTTGGACAGTGTGTCCCCAGCCTGAACCAACAGAAAAATGCCAACACCACAGTGAAACATGGAGGGCATGAAGAAGGAGAAAAAGGACAAGGCACACCCAATTTCCTCCATCTTGTCCCCTTTGGATCCCTAATCTAGAATCCTAAAATTTTACTTTTGCACCCGTGCCACACTTAATTATTACTGATATCAAACACTCAGAGCTGGTAATTCATCCTGTAAGATTGAAAACTCTTTTCCATGGACAGAGATCACAGCCAGTGTCTCTGGGGGCTCTGTCCAGGGGGGTTCTGACCCCTGCCAGGGTCCCAGGGCAGCCAGAGGGATTCCCTGGACTCCCCCAGGAGGGGTTGGGTTGGAATTGGGGGGTGCACCCCACTCCCCCCATCCTCTCCTCGCTCTCTTGCCTGGTCCCCGAGCAGGCCAAGGTGTCCCTGGCCTGGATCAGGTACCAGGGGCACACCTGGGTGCCCACCTGGCTCTGGGTGCCCCTGGGTGCCTCTGGGTGCCCCTGGATCAGGTACCAGGGGTACACCTGGGTGTCCCTGGCCTGGATCAGGTACCAGGGGCACACCTGGGTGCCCACCCGGCTCTGCCCTGTGCCCTTTCAGGACCCACGTGGGGGGCTCCAGGACCCCCGTGGCGAGGACAAAGTGGCCAAAAGCATCAGCGTGGTGGGGACGGGCTGGGAAGCAGGGGATGGTGAGGGGGGAGTCACCCCCACACCTGAGCATCCCCCCCATGGCAGCCCCACAGCCTGAACCTGTGGGTGACCCCAGCTGGCCGCCCTGCCCCACACCCACCTCCACCGGTACCTGCTGCACCCCTTCCCCCCCCGGCCCCCGGCTGCCGCTCGCTCTTCTCCGTCCTCCTCAGGGTAATGTCCACCCTCCCAGGGGACACCCCCTGCCCGTGTGCCCGTGGGGGTGACACTGCCCTCCCTCCCCAGGTGATCGGGGACCTGCTGCAGCAGCCCCAGCGCCTGCCCCACGCCAGGGCCCGGCTCCTCCTGGTGCGCCACCAACCCCAAAAACGGCCTTTTTGGGGGGGGTTGTACCCCACAGACCCCCCAACATCGGCAATAATGGGGTGTGTGGGACCCCCCCCCAGCTGCAAGGACTCGGGTGTGCCCTGGCCTGGCGCTGTGGCAGGGGGAGTGTGACATGTGTGACGTGTGTGACATGTGTGACATGTGTGTGTGTGTGTGTGTGACATGTGTGTGTGCTCTGCTGGGGGACAGACCCCGCACAGCCCCTCCCCAGGGTGATGGGACTCTGCTCCAATAAAGCTGAGTCAGCAGCACCTCCTGTGCCCCTTCCCAAACACCCCAAACCCCACACGGCATTTCCCCCAAACACCCCAAACCCCACTCGGCATTTCCCCCAAACACCCCAAACCCCACTCCCCATTTCCCCCAAACACCCCAAACCCCACTCCCCATTTCCCCCAAACATCCCCAAAACCCTATTGCCCATTGCCCCCAAACCCCACTCCCCATTTTTCCCAAATCCCACTTCCCATTACCCCCAAACAGCTCAAACCCCACTTTGCATTTTCCCAAACTCACTCCCCATCTCCCCCAAACCCCACTCCCCATTTTCCCCCAAACACCCCAAACCCCACTCCCCATTTCCCCCCAAACCCCAATCCCCATTTCCCCCAAACCCCACTCCCCATTTCCTCCCAAACCCCACTCCCCATCTCCCCCAAACCCCACTCCCCATTGCCCCCAAACAACCCCCAAACCCCACTCCCCATTTCCCCCAAACCCCACTCCCCATTTTCCCCCAAACACCCCAAACCCCACTCCCCATTTCTCCCAAACCCCACTCCCCATTCCTCCCAAACCCCCTCCCCATTTCCCCCATTCCCACCTCCAGCCGCAGCCGGGGACACAAAACAGCCGCAGCAGCAGCAGCAGCAGTGGGGCTGATTTTATTTCTGCTCCCCGCACCCCGAAACTGCATCCCGGCCCCGCAGCGCCCCGCACCCCCAAACCGCACCCCGGCCCCGCAGCGCCCCGCACCCACGGCAGCACATCCCGGGGGGCTCCCCTTTGACACAGCCCCCCAATTCCCAAACCGCGCCCCGCACCCACGGGAGCACATCTCGGGGGGCTCCCCTTTAGCACAGCCCCCCCAAATTCCCAAACCGCACCCACGGCAGCACATCCCGGGGGGTTCCCCCATCGGCATTGCGCCCCAATTCCCAAACCGCACCCACGGGAGCACATCCCGGGGAGCTCCCCTTGGGCACAGCGCCCACACCCCGGCCCCGCAGCGCCCCGCACCCACGGGAGCACATCCCGGGGGGCTCCCCCTTTAGCACAGCCCCCCAAATTCCCAATCCCACCCCTCCCGTGCGCTAGCTGCGGACGGGCACGGTGCCCCGCAGCCTCTGCAGGACGCGCTCCCGCATCGCCTCCTCCCGCACCGGCCACCAGCGCAGCGCGGGGTGTCGGGGCTCGGGCGGCCGCTCCCGCCCCGCAGCCGGTGCCACGCTCAGCAGCACGTTGAAGCAGATCCCGTCGGTGTCCCCGGAGCCCCCGGGGCGGTGCTGCAGCCCCAGCAGCCCCAGAGCCGCGGGCTGCGGCTCCCAGGCCAGGCGCTCCCGCAGCAGCCGCAGCAGCGGCCGCAGCAGCCCCGCACGCAGCTCGGAGCGGGACGTGCCGCACGCCACCACGGGCAGCCTCGGGGTGTCACCGGTGGCCAGCAGCACCCAAAGGTCGCCGGTGGCGTTGGTGAAGGGCAGCAGGAGGCGCAGGCAGAGCGGGGAGCAGGGCAGCTCCCGCGGCAGCGTGGCGGGGTGCGCGGGGCTCCGGCGGTAGCGGGCGGCCAGCTCCAGCAGCGGCAGGATGTCCGCCGAGCGCAGCGGCAGCGAGCGCGGGTCCCCGCGCCACCAGGTGGCCTGAAGGGACTCGGAGTCCGCCTCCGCCAGGGTCTTCAGGGTCCCACCTGAGCGCACAGGGGTGGCACGGAGCGCGGGGCACAGCGGGGACACAGGTGGGGCAGCGGGACCCGCGAGGTGGCCTGAGAGGGGACACTGAGACCCCCGAGGTGGCCTGAGAGGGGACACTGAGACCCCCGAGGTGGCCTGAGAGGAGACACTGAGACCCCCGAGATGGCCTGAGAGGGGACACTGAGACCCCTGAGGTGGCCTGAGAGGGGACACTGAGACCCCCGAGGTGGCCTGAGAGGGGACACTGAGACCCCTGAGGTGGCCTGAGAGGGGACACTGAGACCCCCGAGGTGTCCTGAGAGGGGACACTGAGACCCCCGAAATGGCCTGAGAGGGGACACTGAGACCCCTGAGGTGGCCTGAGAGGGGACACTGAGGGCCTGAGGTGGCCTGAGAGGGGACACTGAGATCCCCGAGGTGGCCTGAGAGGGGACACTGAGACCCCTGAAGTGGCCTGAGAGGGGACACTGAGACCCTTGAGGTGGCCTGAGAGGGGACACTGAGACCCCCGAAATGGCCTGAGAGGGGACACTGAGACCCCTGAAGTGGCCTGAGAGGGGGCACTGAGACCCCTGAAGTGGTCTGACAGGGGACACGGGTGGGGCACTGAGACCCCTGGACTCCCGAAATGGCCTGAGAGGGGACACTGAGACCCCCGAGGTGGCCTGAGAGGGGACACTGAGACCCCGGAAATGGCCTGATAGGGGACACTGAGACCCCCGAGGTGGCCTGAGAGGGGACACTGAGACCCCCAAAATGGCCTGAGAGGGGACACTGAGACCCCCGAGGTGTCCTGAGAGGGGACACTGAGATCCCCGAGGGGGCCTGAGAGGGGACACAGGTGGGGCACCGAGACCGCCAAGGCCAGCTGGGGACAGGGACACCCGTCCTGGGACTGGCAGGGGACACAGATACCCATAATGGGGCTGGGCGGGGACACCGATATCCATCATGGAACTGTCAGGGGACAGGGACACCCATCCCGGGGCCAGCTGGGGACAGGGACACCCATCCCGGAGATGCCATTTCCCACCCCGTGGCACAGCCGGGGACGCTCCCCCGAGCCCCCCGTTACCCCCCGAGCCCCCCGAGCCCCCTTGCCCCCCTTGCCCCCCTTACCCCCCGAGCCCCCGTTACCCCCCGAGCCCCCCTTGCCCCCGTTACCCCCCGTGCCCCCGTTACCCCCCTTACCCCCGTTACCCCCGAGCCCCCCTTGCCCCCCGAGTCCCCCTTACCCCCCAAGCCCCCCGAGCCCCCATTACCCCCCGTGCCCCCCGAGCCCCCCGAGCCCCCGAGCCCCCCATGCCCCCCTTACCCCCCGTGCCCCCGAGCCCCCGTTACCCCCCGAGCCCCCCTTGCCCCCCTTGCCCCCCTTACCCCCGTGCCCCCCGAGCCCCCGTTACCCCCTTGCCCCCGTTACCCCCGTTACCCCCCTTACCCCCATTACCCCCCGAGCCCCCGTTATCCCCGTTACCCCCCGAGCCTCCGTTACCCCCCGAGCCCCCCTTGCCCCCCTTACCCCCGTTACCCCCCGAGCCCCCCTTACCCCCGTTACCCCCCTTACCCCCCGAGCCCCCGTTACCCCCCGAGCCCCCCTTGCCCTCTGAGCCCCCCTTACCCCCCGAGCCCCCCTTACCCCCCTTACTCCCCGAGCCCCCCTTGCCCCCCTTATCCCCCTTACCCCCGTTACCCCCGAGCCCCCCTTACCCCCGAGCCCCCCTTGCCCCCCGAGCCCCCCTTAACCCCCTTACCCCCGTTACCCCCCGTTACCCCCCGTGCCCCCGTGCCCCCCGAGCCCCCGTGCCCGGCGGCAGCACCCACCGGTGGCCCGTGCCAGGAAGGCGAAGCGGATCCAGGCGGGCCCGCGCTCCTCCAGGGCCAGCAGGGTCAGGGGCTCGCAGAGCAGCCCCGACTCCTCCCGCACCTCCCGGCGCAGCGCGGCCGCGATCGGCTCGCCGGGCTCCACGCGGCCCGCGGGCAGGTACCAGCGGCCCCGGCAGCCGGCCTTGGCCTCCTGCACCAGCAGCACGGCGTCCTGCGGCAGCGCGGAACCGGCTACCGGCGCTGCCGGGGTTACCGGGGCTAGCGGGGTACCGGGGCACCGGGCTAGTGGGGATACCGGGGTACCGGGGCTTGTGGGGATACTGGGGTACCGGGGCTGCCGGGGCACCGGGGCTAGCGGGGTACCGGGGTACGGGGCCTAGCGGGGCTAGTGGGGATACCGGGGTACCGGGGCTACCGGGGCTGCCGGGGTTACCGGGGCTAGCGGGGTACCGGGCCTAGCGGGGCTAGCGGGGTACCGGGGCTACCGGGGCTGCCGGGGCTACCGGGGCTACCGGGGCTGCCGGGACTAGTGGGGCTAGTGGGGATACCGCGGCTACCGGGGTACCGGGGCTACCGGGACTACCGGGGCTAGTGGGGCTAGTGGGGATACCGGGGCTGCCGGGGCTAGTGGGGTACCGGGGTACCGGGGCACGGGGGCTTGTGGGGATACCGCGCTACCGGGGTACGGGGGCTAGTGGGGCTACCGGGGCTACCGGGGCTACCGAAGCTACCGGGGCTAGTGGGGCTAGTAGGGATACCGGGGTGACCGGGGCTAGTGGGGCTACCGGGGCTAGTGGGGCTAGTGGGGATACCGGGTCTGCCGGGGCTAGTGGGGATACTGGGGCTACCGGGGCTACCGGGGCTACCGGGGCTAGTGGGGCTAGTGGGGATACCGGGGCTAGTGGGGCTAGTGGGGATACCGGGGCTACCGGGGTTAGTGGGGATACCGCGGCTACCGGGGCTAGTGGGGCTAGTGGGGTACCGGGGATACCGGGGCACCGGGGCTACTGGGGATACCGCGGCTATCGGGGCTGCACTGGGGCTACCGGAGCACCGGGGCTAGTGGGGATACCGCGGCTACCGGGGTTACCGGGGCTAGTGGGGTACCGGGGCACCGGGGCTACTGGGGCTACCGGGGCTAGTGGGGCTAATGGGGATACCGCGGCTATCGGGGCACCGGGGCTAACGGGGCATCGGGGCTGCCGGGGCTAGTGGGGCTAATGGGGATACCGGAGCACCGGGGCTAGTGGGGATACCGCGGCTACCGGGGCTACCGGGGCCGCACCGGGGCTACCGGAGCTATCGGGGCTACCGGGGCTACCGGGGCTAGTGGGACTAGCGGGGATACCGCGGCTACCGGGGTACCGGGGCTAGTGGGGCTAGTGGGGCTAGTGGGGCTAGTGGGGATACTGGAGCTACCGGGGCGACCGGGGCTAGTGGGGCTACCGGGGTTAGTGGGGATACCGCGGTTACCGGAGCTATCGGGGCTACCGGGGCTACCGGGGCTAGTGGGGTACCGGGGCTAGCGGGGTGGCTCTGTGGCTACTGGGGATACTGGGGCTACTGGGGGCTGCACTGGAAGAATGTCCTGGCTGCACTGGGGGCACCGGGGGGCACCGGGGGAATGTCCTGGCAGCACCGGAGGCACCGGGGGGCACCGGGAGGCACTGGGGGAATGTCCTGGCTGCACTGGGGGCACTGGGGGGCACTGGGGGAATGGCCTGGCTGCACTGGGGGGCACTGGGGGAATGTCCTGGCAGCACCGGGGGGCACCGGGGGGCACGGGGGGCAGCGGGGTTCCTCACCTCCTGGTTGAAGAGCACGGCCAGCACCACGTAGCAGACGTCCCTGCCCAGGCGGACGGGCGCGGGGGGCGCGGGGCACCCCTCGAAATCCGTGCCCACCTCCCAGGCGCCCCCCGCCAGCACCGCCTCCAGCTCCGGCACCGGCGCGTCCCCCATGGGCGCGGGGGTCCCTCCCGCGGGGGTCCCGCGGCGGCTGCGGGGGGCAGCGGGGGGCTCAGGGCGTGGCGGGGTTTTGGGGGGCCGAGGGGACCCCCCAGATGGGCGGGAGGGGGCGCGGAGAGCGGCGGCGGCGGGGGGGCTGCAGGGGGCGGGGAGAAAGGGGGTCCGGCGGTTGTGGGGGGCACGGGGAGGGGGGCAGGGGGGTGCTGGGGGAGGGGAAGGGTCTGCTGGACTGGGGGATGGGCTGGGGGGCGTAAATGGGGAGGGGGCTGCGGGGCTGGGGGGTGGGAATGGGGAGGGGGCTGCGGGGCTGGGGGGCGTGAATGGGGAGGGGGCTGCTGGACTGGGGGGCGTGAATGGGGGTGTAAATGAGGAGGGGGCTGCTGGACTGGGGGGTGGAAATGGGGAGGGGGCTGCTGGACTGGGGGGCGTGAATGGGGGTGTAAATGGGGAGGGGGCTGCGGGGCTGGGGGGCGTGAATGGGGGTGGAAATGGGGAGGGGGCTGCGGGGCTGGGAGGCGTGAATGGGGAGGGGGCTGCTGGACTGGGGGGCGCGAATGGGGGTGTAAATGAGGAGGGGGCTGCTGGACTGGGGGGTGGAAATGGGGAGGGGGCTGCTGGACTGGGGGGCGTGAATGGGGGTGTAAATGGGGAGGGGGCTGCTGGACTGGGAGGTGGAAATGGGGCTGGAAATGGGGAGGGGGCTGCGGGGCTGGGGGGTGGAAATGGGGCTGGAAATGGGGAGGGGGCTGCTGGACTGGGGGGTGTGAATGGGGGTGTAAATGGGGAGGGGGCTGCTGGACTGGGGGATGGGCTGGGGGGTGTAAATGGTGTAAATGGGGAGGGGGCGGCCGGACTGGGGGACCCCCGAGGGGAATTTGGGCAGCCGGGGGGCGCTGCGGTAGGACAGGGGCCGGCCGGACTGGGGGACCCCCAGGGGGGGGAGGGGAGGGAAGGGCTGGCTGGGTTTTGGGGGGCCCAGGGAGGCGGCCGGGAGCAGCTGGCAGGATTTGGGGAGCCCCGGGGGGGTGCGGTACGAGAAGGGCCGGCCCGACTGGGGCACCCACGGGAAGAGGAAGGAGGTGAAGGGCTGCCCGGACTGGGGGGCACTGGGGGGGCCGGACTGGGGGGCACTGGGGGGGCCGGACTGGGAAATACTGGGAGGAAAGTGCTGGCTGGACTGGAAGACACTGGGAGGAAGGGGCTGACCAGACTGGAAGATACTGGGAGGAAAGGGTTGGCCGGACTGGGAAGTACTGGGAAGAAATGGGTAGCTGGACTGGTGGTTACTGGGAGGAAAGTGCTGGCCAGACTGGAAGATACTGGGAGGAAAGGGTTGGCTGGACTGGGGGGCACTGGGGGGGCCGGACTGGGAAATACTGGGAGGAAAGTGCTGGCCAGACTGGAGGATACTGGGAGGAAAGGGTTGGCTGGACTGGGGGGCACTGGGGGGGCCGGACTGGGAAATACTGGGAGGAAAGTGCTGGCCGGACTGGGGGGCACTGGTGGGGAAGGGCCGGCCGGACTGGGGGGCACTGGTGGGGAAGGGCCGGCCGGACTGGAGGATACTGGGGGAGAAACGGTAGCTGGACTGGTGGTTACTGGGAGGAAGGGGCTGGCCAGACTGGAATATACTGGGAGGAAAGGGGTGGCCAGACTGGAATATACTGGTGGGAAAGGTCCGGCCAGACTGGAAGATACTGGTGGGGAAGGTCCAGCCGGACTGGGAAATACTGGGAGGAAAGGGCTGGCCAGACTGGAATATACTGGTGGGGAAGGTCCGGCAGGACTGGGGGGTGCTGGGGGGGCTGGAGCTGGGGGGGGACCGGGGGTCCCGGGGCGGGGGGGGGCTGCAGGGTGCGCTGGGGGAGGGGCTGCTGCCAGCCTGGGGGGCTCGGGGGGCTCGGGGGGAATTGGGGGCTCGGGGGGCTCGGGGGCGGGGTGGGCTGCAGGGTGCAGTGGGGGGCTGGGGTGCAATGAGGGTGAGGGGATTGGGGGGGCTACGGGGGGGTTTGGGGGTGCAGTGAGGGTTTGGGGGGTGCAGTGAAGGTTTGGGGGTGCAATGAGGGTTTGGGGGTGCAGTGAGGGTTGGGGGGTGCAGTGAAGGTTTGGGGGTGCAGTGAGAGTTTTGGGGGTGCAGTGAAGGTTTGGGGGTGCAGTGAAGGTTTGGGGGTGCAGTGAGGATTTGGGGGTGCAATGAGGGTTTGGGGGTGCAATGAGGTTGTGGAGCTGCAATAAGGGGAGGGTTTTGGGGGGCTACAGGGTGCAATGAAGGGAGGGGTTTGGGGGGGCTGCAATGAGGTTTTGGGGGTGCAATGAGGTTGTGAAGCTGTGATAAGGTGAGGGTTTTGGGGGGCTACAAGGTGCAGGAAGAAAATGGGTTGGGGGGCTGCAGTAAAGGTTTGGGGGGGCTGCAGGGCGCTCTAAGGAAAGATTTGGGGGTCCACAATGCGGGCGCGGTTTTGGGGGGGCTGCAGCAAGGCTCGGGGGGCTGCAGGAAGGATTGGGGGGCTGCAGAATGAGTCGGGGGGCTGCAGGAAGGATTGGGGGGTGCAGAAAAGAGTCGGGGGGCTGCAGGAAGGATTGGGGGGCTGCAGGAAGGATTGAGGGGTGCAGAAAAGAGTCGGGGGGCTGCAGGAAGGATTGGGGGGTGCAGAATGAGTCGGGGGGCTGCAGGAAGGATTGGGGGGTGCAGAAAAGAGTCGGGGGGCTGCAGGAAGGATTGGGGGGTGCAGAAAAGAGTCGGGGGGCTGCAGGAAGGATTGGGGGGCTGCAGGAAGGATTAGGGGGGTGCAGAATGAGTCGGGGGGCTGCAGGAAGGATTGGGGGGTGCAGAATGAGTCGGGGGGCTGCAGGAAGGGGGGGCTGCAAGGAGCATCAGGAGGATGGGGGGGCTGCGGGAAGCGCCGGGGGGGTGCGGGGAGGGCCGGGTGGATCTCGGGGGGCTCCGGGGGGATCGGGGGGATCGGGGGGTCCGGGGGCGGCTCCGGGGGTCGCGGGAGCGCTGCGGGACCCCCGCCCCCCCCTCGCCCCGCGCATGCGCCGCGCACTCACCGCGCCGGGGCTCCGCCGCGCCGGCCCCGCCCCCCTGCTCGCCGCCCATTGGTCACCCGGCCGGCGGAGCTCGCTGTTCATTGGTTGAGCCGTCTGCCACTCACAGCGGGCGGGATTTGGTCTTAAAGGGGCCGCGTGGGAGCGTGACGCAGAGTTAATTAAGTGGCGTTAATTAGGCGGTGGTGATTATGCGCGGGGTCATCGCATGGTGGCGTTCGCCTCTTGTTCGTGGTCCAGTGCCCTTTGCCTAGTGCTCATTGCCCGGTGTAAATTAATTGCCCAGTGCCCATTGCCCGGTGTAAATTAATTGCCCAGTGCCCATTGCCCGGTATTAATTAATTGCTCAGTGCCCATTGCCCAGGATTAATTAATTGCCCAGTGCCCATTGCCCGGTATTAATTAATAGCCCAGTGCCCATTGCCCACTGTTAATTAATTGCCCAGTGCCCATTGCCCGGTGTAAATTAATAGCCCAGTGCCCATTGCCCGGTATTAATTAATAGCCCAGTGCCCATTGCCCGGTGTTAATTAATTGCCCCGTGCTAATTGCCCGGCGATGTTGAGTCGTTTTGCTCCGCGTGTCCCGCAGCCCGTGGGCAGCGCCGTGCAGCTGTTCCAGCTGTTCCAGCTGTTGTTCCCAGCTGAAGCCCTGACCCCGAAAAGGGGGTGAAGGAAGAGCCCCCTGACCCCAGTGGGATGGACGGAGAGACCCCTGACCCCAAAGGGATGGAGGGAGAGACCCCTGACCCCAATGGGATGGAGGGAGAGACCCCTGACCCCACGGGGATGAAAAGGGGGTGAAGGGAGAACGCCCCTGACCCCAGTGGGATGGAGGGAGAGACCCCTGACCCCAATGGGATGGGGGGGAATTAAGAGTGAGCAGCCCTGACCCCAAAAAGGGGGTGAAGGGAGAGACCCCTGACCCCAATGGGATGGAGGGAGAGACCCCTGACCCCAAAGGGATGAAAAGGGGGTGAAGGGAGAGCAGCCCTGACCCCAAAGGGATGGATGGAGAACCCCCCTGACCCCAGTGGGATGGAGGGAGAGACCCTGACCCCAAAGGGATGGAGGAAGAGACCCCTGACCCCAAAGGGATGGAGGAAGAGACCCCCTGACCCCAGTGGGATGGAGGGAGAGACCCCTGACCCCAATGGGATGGGGGGAATTAAGAGTGAGCAGCCCTGACCCCAAAAAGGGGGTGAAGGAAGAGCCCCCCTGACCCCAATGGGATGAAAAGGGGGTGAAGGGAGAGACCCCTGACCCCAATGGGATGAAGGGGGGGGGTGAAGGAGGAGCCCCCCGACCCCAAAAAGGGTTGAAGGGAGAGCCCCCCTGACCCCAAATGGACAAAGGGAGACCCCGAGGTGGGCACTGGCGGTGCCAGCAGCCCTGGCACGCTCTGAGCTTTTATTCCTCCTGCCCCGAGGGAGCGCAGCACCGAGCAAAGGGCGCCCGGTCCCGGTTCCCCGCGGTGTCCCGGCCGTGCCCGCGGCTCCCGGTGTCCCCCCGTGCTCCCGGTATCGCTCCGTGCTCGCGGCTCCCGGTGTCCCCCCGTGCCCGCGGCTCCCGGTATCCCTCCGTGCCCGCGGCTCCCGGTATCGCTCCGTGCCCTGAGGCTCCCGGTATCGCTCCGTGCCCGGTGCTCCCGGTGTCCCCCCGTGCCCGCGGCTCCCGGTGTCGCTCCGTGCCCGCGGCTCCCGGTGTCGCTCCGTGCCCGGTGCTCCCGGTATCGCTCGGTGCCTCCCGGTGTCGCTCCGTGCCCGGTGCTCCCGGTGTCGCTCCGTGCCCGGAGCTCCCGGTGTCCCCCCGTGCCTGAGGCTCCCGGTGTCGCTCCGTGTGCGGAGCTCCCGGTGTCGCTCCGTGCCCGCGGCTCCCGGTATCGCTCCGTGCCCGCGGCTCCCGGTATCGCTCCGTGCCCGCGGCTCCCGGTGTTGCTCTGTGCTCGCAGCTCCCGGTATCGCTCCTTGCACGGGGCTCCCGGTGTCCCCCCGTGCCCGGTGCTCCCGGTGTCCCCCCGTGCCCGGTGCTCCCGGTGTCGCTCCGTGCCTGCGCCTCCCGGTGTCCCCCCGTGCCCGGTGCTCCCGGTGTCGCTCCGTGCCCGCGGCTCCCGGTGTCCCCCCGTGCCCTGAGGCTCCCGGTGTCGCTCCGTGCCCGGTGCTCCCGGTGTCCCCCCGTGCCCGCGGCTCCCGGTATCGCTCTGTGCCCGCGGCTCCCGGTGTCCCCCCGTGCATTGAGGCTCCCGGTATCGCTCCATGCCCGCGGCTCCCGGTGTCGCTCCGTGGCTCCCGGTGTCGCTCCGTGCCCGCGGCTCCCGGTGTCGCTCCGTGGCTCCCGGTGTCGCTCCATGCCCGGTGCTCCCGGTGTCGCTCCGTGCCCGGTGCTCCCGGTGTCCCCCCGTGCCCGGTGCTCCCGGTGTCCCCCCGTGCTCCCGGTGTCGCTCCGTGCCCGGTGCTCCCGGTGTCCCCCCGGTGCCCGGTGCTCCCGGTATCGCTCCGTTCCCTCACTGGCAGCCCCGCAGGACCTCCAGTGCCTCCCGCACGGCGGCGAGCATCATCCCGTCCAGCTGCGAGGGCGCAAAGATGGGGCTCAGCCCCCCGCTCAGCCCACCCCGAGCCCCCCAAATTTCCCCCAGAACCCCCACCTGGGCACGGAGGTGCGGCGGAGCCCCGGTACCGAGCTGGCGGAGGCGCACGGCGCTCTCCGGGGACAGGAACTGCTGCTCCACGCTGATGGTGCCGCTGAGGCTCCGCACCTGTCCGGTTTGCCGTGCCTCAGTTTCCCCAGAGGGCTTGGCACAGCTTCTCGGGGGGGGGTTTTAAAGGGGATCCCCCGTTTTTACCTGGTGGGGAGCCCCGGCGGGGACCAGCACGGCGTCCCCCGGGAGCTGCAGGAGGCTCCAGCCGCTCACCCCGCGCTCCTCCCGCAGCCGCCGCCGCAGCTCCGCTTCCAAATAACGCCCGGTGGGCTCCGCCGCTGCCTCCCCGCCCTGCCCCGGCTCCGGGGCTGCCTGTGGGGTGCCAGGGATGAGCGGGAGCGGCGAATGGAGCGGGGCCGGGGTTGGTGGCACCCACCTGGAGCAGAAAATCGCGGATCCGGGTGGCATCCTCGGCGCGGAAGATGTGCCACAGGGCACCGCGCCCGCCGCTGCCCCGCAGCCGCTCCCGCAGCGGCGCCTCCAGCTCGGCCGCGTCCGCTGCCAGGAGCGGCTCTGCGGGCACAGAGGGGTCACGGGGGGCACGGGGGGCACGGCGTGGGCATGGCTGGGGGTGTGGGTATGGGGGGGACACCCGCAGCTCGCCCCGTACCCCGCGGAGCCGGCGCTGCGTGGGTCAGGACGCTGATGGAGTCCAGCGCTTCCACCGTCAGCGCTTTGGTGCCCAAATTCCGCTCCTGAGGATGCGCACCTGGAAGGGGATCGGGGATTGGCACGGCCGGGGGGAGCCCTGTGCACCCCCAAATCCAGGATGCCCCCCAAAGCTCCAGTGCCCCCCAAAACCCCGGAGAACCAAAGCCCCGGTGCCTCTAAAAGCCCCGGTGCCCCCCAAAACCCGGGTGACCCAAAGTCTGGCAGCTCCACAAAGCCCCCGTGCCCCCCAAAGCCCCGGAGAACCAAAGCCCTGGTGCCCCCCAAAACCCGAGGGGTCCCCCAAAACCCTGGTGACCCCAAGCCTGGCAGCTCCACAAAGCCCCCGTGCCCCCCAAAGCCCCGGTGCCCCTAAAAGCCCCTGTGCCCCCCAAAACCTGGGTGACCCCAAGCCTGGCAGCTCCCCAAAGATCCCATGCCCCCCAAAGCCCCGGAGAACCAAAGCCCCGGTGCCCCCCAAAACTCGAGGGGTCCCCCAAAACCTGGGTGACCCAAAGTCTGGCAGCTCCACAAAGCCCCCGTGCCCCCCAAAGCCCCGGAGAACCAAAGCCCCGGTGCCCCTAAAAGCCCCTGTGCCCCCCAAAACTCAAGAGCCTCTCATGGCCCCGGTCCCCCCAAAGCCCCAGAGCCCCCAAAGCCCCCAAAGCTCCAGTGCCCCCCAAAACCCGGGTGACCCCAAAGCCTGACTGCCCCTAAAAGCCCCTGTCCCTCCAAATCTCCAGCTGCCCCCCCAAAGCCCCAGTGCCCCCCAAAGCCCCATTGCCCCTCAAAGCCCCAATGCCCCTTAAACCTCCAGTGCCCCCCAAAGCCCCGGTGCCCCCAAAAACCCGGGTGACCCCAAAGCCCCGGTGCCCCTCAAAGCCCCATTTCCTTTCAAAGCCAAGGTGCACCCCAAAGCCCCGGTGTCACCCAAAGTCCCAATGTCCCCCAAAGCCCCAGGTTCCCCCAAAGCCCCAGAGCCCCCAAAGCCCCAGTGCCCCCCAAAGCCCCAGTGCCCCCCAAAGCCCCAGCTGCCCCCCAAGGCCCCAGTGTCCCCCAAAGCCCCATTGCCTTTTGAAGCTCCAATGCCCCTTAAATCTCCAGTGCCCCCCAAAGCCCCGGGTGCCCCCAAAAACCCGGGTGACCCCGAAGCCCCAATGCCCCCCAAAGCCCCGTGCCCCCCAAACCCGCACCGCTCTCACCGTAGGCGGCGCAGAGGCGCGGGCGCAGCCGGCGCTGGCCCCGCAGGAAGGTGGCCAGGTTGAGGCGGCCGCTGGCCCCGCAGTACTCGGGCAGGGGCAGGCTGGCCCGCAGGTTGGTGACCCTGTGGCACAGCGGGGTTGTGGCGACACTCAGGACCCCCTCCCCAACCCCACTGAGCCCCGCTGGCCCAGCCCTGGGGTGGGGAGGGGACATTGAGGTGATGCCACCCCGCGCTGTCACCTACCGGCTCAGCTCCGTGTCCCCAAAGCCGCGTTCCAGCTTCAGCAGGGCCCCGCTGCCCTGCTCCTGCTCGGGGCACGCTGCGGGAGGGAGCCCGGTGCCAGGGGAGCACATCCCGGCTGCCCGCATGCCTCACCCCAAAATCCCACCCAGCACCCCCTGTAGGAACCCAGGGAATCCCTCTGGCTGCCCCTGGGACCCTGGCAGGGGTCAGAACCCCCCTGGACAGAGCCCCCAGAGACACTGGCTGTGATCTCTGTCCATGGAAAAGAGTTTTCAATCTTACAGGATCAATTACCAGCTCTGAGTGTTTGATATAAGTAATAATTAAGTGTGGCACGGGTGCAAAAGTAAAATTTTAGGATTCTAGATTAGGGGTCCAAAGGGGACAAGATGGAGGAAATTGGGTGTGTCTTGTCCTTTTTCTCCTTCTTCATGCCCTCCATGTTTCACTGTGGTGTTGGCATTTTTCTGTTGGTTCAGGCTGGGGACACACTGTCCAACGTAGGTGACAGATATTGGCACGTTATTGTAAATACAGCACAGGTAGTTTGTGGTATTTAATGTTTGTACCATCCCACTGAGGGCAGAGCCCCACACGCTGCCCTGCAGGACAGAGCTGCGGCAGGGCAGCAGAACATGGTAGAGATAAACAGAATAAACAACCTTGAAACAGCACAGACCAATTATGGCTTCTGCTTTGGCAGTGGGGCTGACAGAGACTTTCTACAATCTCAGAATAATCAATACCTCCGATTCCCACAACCCCACAGACAGGAACTCTGTGCCACAGACACAAATTCTTGGTCCCCTCACCTGCGCTGGCGGCAAAGCCACCCCAAAACTCGCGGCTGCTGATCCGGACTCGGCTCGGCGGTGCCCGCAGGTTCACCGCCTCCACCTCCTCCTCCTCCTCCTCCTCCTCCTGCCCCGAGCGCTGGAAGGATTCGGGCGCCCAGAGCCGCGGCTCCAGTTTCTTCTGCAGCCCCGACACCAGCACGGGCTGCGGGGGCAGCAGGGCTCAGTGGGGATGTTGGGGGGCTCCCGGCTGTCCCCCCAAACCCGCAGGGATGTGGGGGGCTCACCTGGCCCTGCCTCCAGTGCTCCTGGAAGGATTTGTAGTCGCTGGGGTGGCGCAGCCAGAGCAGCCCGCTGGGGGTGAGGGTGCGGGGGGACGCGGGGGGCTGCGGGGAGCCGGGGGGGCTCTGCCCGGGCCCCGCCGGCCTCTCCTGGATCTTCCTCTCCACCACGCGGGCGATGATGGTGTCCAGGATGCTGCTCAGCCCATCGTCCTGGGGGGCGGGATTGGGGAGCCCCTCAGCCCGCGGGGGTGGGCAGCGGGGCAGGGGGTGGGTAGGGGGATGTGGGGTGGGCAGAGGAGTTTGGGGTGGGCAGCAAAATGCGGGGCGGGCAGCGGGACAGGAGGTGGGCAGCGGGGTGGGCAGGAGGGTGAGGGGTGGGCAGAAGGGCAGGGGGTGGGCAGCGGGGCAGCGGGGTGCGGGGTGGGCAGCGGGACACGGGGTGGGCAGTGGGATGTGGGGTGGGCAGCAGGGCAGGGGTGGGCAGAAGGGAATGGGGGGGCAGAAGGGCAGGGGGTGGGCAGCGGGGTGAGGGGTGGGCAGCGGGGTGGGCAGCGGGGTGAGGGGTGGGCAGAGGGACACAGGGTGGGCAGTGGGATGTGGGGTGGGCAGCAGGACAGGGGGTGGGCAGTAGGGAGCGGGTGGGCAGCAGGATACGAGGTGGGCAGCACGGAAGGGGGTGGGCAGCAAAACGTGGGGTGGGCAGTGGGAGGTGGGGTGGGCAGAGGGACACGGGGTGGGCAGCGGGACACGGGGTGGGCAGAGGGGTGCGGGGGTGGGCAGAGGGGTTTGGGGTGGGCAGCGGGACACGGGGTGGGCAGAGGGACACGGGGTGGGCAGAGGGGTGCGGGGGTGGGCAGAGGGGTTTGGGGTGGGCAGCGGGACACGGGGTGGGCAGAGGGACGCGGGGTGGGCAGGGGCACACGGGGTGGGCAGCGGAACATGGGGTGGGCAGTGGGATGTGGAGTGGGCAGAGGGGTTTGGGGTGGGCAGGGGGACACGGGGTGGGCAGGGGGACACGGGGTGTGCAGGGACATGCAGGGTGGGCAGGGACACGCGGGGTGGGCAGTGGGATGTGGGGTGGGCAGGGACACGCGGGGTGGGCAGGGACACGCGGGGTGGGCAGCGGGACACGGGGTGGGCAGGGACACGCGGGGTGGGCAGGGACACGCGGGGTGCCCCGAGAGCCGCGGGACTCACGCCGGGCAGCGCCGGTGCCACGGGGGCGAAGGCCATGCGCACCCCGTCCTGCCCCGGGCACAGCTTCACGGCGGTGGAGGCCAGGAGGTCGCGGAGGGTCGCGGCCTGCGCGGGCCCCCCCCCGCTCCGGGGGCTGCCCCGGGCACGGCGCCCCCCGCTCGGGGCTCTCTGCTCGGGGGAGAAAACGCGGTCAGGGCCGCTCATGGCGCCCTCTGCACCTCACCCCCTCCCCGGTACCCCGAAAGGGGACGGGGTGCGGCATCCCTGACCCCCCCGGAGCGGGGCCGTGCCCCCGCGGGGGGGTCGCAGCCGGCCCTACCTTCCTCGGTGGGCCGGGAGGGGTCGGCGGGGCCGTGGCTGCGGAGGGGCAGGGTGGGCACCGCGGCCCCCGGCGGCTCCTGAAACACCCCGGAGCATTGGGGGGGGTCCATCCGTGCTCTGTGCAGGGTTGGGGTGCACCCGCACCCCCTTTTCCCCAGCACCCAGAGCCCCCCCCGCCGTACCTGCCCACCCGGGGGCTCCGCCGGGCTCTGCTCCGCTGTCCCCTCCCCGCAGGGACAGTGCGACTCGATGCCAAACTTGGCCCTGACCTCGTGTAGGAGCTTCCAGAGCCGCGTCAGGACTGGGGGAGGACGGGGACAGGGGTGTCAAACCCCCAGCAGCGACCACAGAGGGGTTTTGGGGCTGGGGGACACGCTCACCGCCGGTGGGGACGAACTGCGTGGGGACCAGCGATGACACGCGGTGGTCCCGCCCGGGGCTGCACTCCGCTGGACCCTCTGCGCCACAGACAGGCTGCGTTTGTCCCCCCTGAGCCCCCCAGGGCTGACTGACACCCCCTTTTCCACCCCTCCCTGTCCCCATACCAGGGCCACTCTCCTCCCGCCCGCTGCGGTGGCAGTCGGGGCACAGCTGGAAGCCACATCTGGCGCAGCTCCAGTGCGAGTTGAAGAAGCCACGCTGGCAGGCGTCACAGAGCTGGGGGGCTCCTTCCCCCCTCCTCCAGCCCGTCACCCCTGCGGGGAACACAGCCTCAGCCTCCCGGTGTCCCCGCTGTCCCCGGGGCCACCCCAGCCCGGTTCCCGCTTACCCCCGGGCCCGCCGGGGGCTCCGGGCCACGCGTCCCTGTCCCTGCGGACGGCGGCGCAGAAAGGGTCCCCCAGGACCCCCAGCAGGTACTTGGCCAGGCAGAGGCTGCTCCCCACGGTTCTGCTCCCCACGGTTCTGCTCCCCACGGTCGCGCTCCCCACGCTCCGGAGCCCCGGCTCGGGGCCAGCCCCGTCCGGCGGATCCCCCTCGGCCTCCGCCAGGCTGCAGAGGCCAGCGGCGCTCAGCTCCCCGCGGTCCCCCAGGGCCAGCCTGAGGGGACAGGGACAGATTTGGGGGGCTTAAAATGGGGAGATGGAAAAAGGAGGTGAAAATTTGGGGTGGAGAAGGGACAGAGTTGGGGGTGCTCAAAATGGGGAGATGAAAAAAGGAGGTGAAAATTTGGGGTGGAGAAGGGACGGAGTTCAAAACTTGGGGTGGAGAAGGGGATAGAGTTGGGGGTGCTCAAAATACAGGAGGTGAAAATTTGGGGTGGAGAGGGACAGAGTTGGGGGTGCTCAAAATGGGGAGATGAAAAAAGGAGGTGAAAATTTGGGGTGTAGAGGGGACAGAGTTGGGGGTGCTCTAAACGGGTGCTCTAAAATTTTTACCTCATCCGGTGATGAGGTAAAAATTTGGGGTGGAGAGGGGACAGAGTTGGGGGTGCCAAAATTGGGGTGATGAAACAAGAGGTGAAAATTTGGGGTGGAGAGGGGACAGAATTGGGGGGCGGGTCAAAGAGGTGAAAATTTGGGGTGGAGAAGGGGACAGAGTTGGGGGTACCAAAAATGGAGGAATGAAACAAGAGGTGAAAACTTGGGGTGTAGAGGGGACAAGAGCTGGGGGCGACCAAAATTGGGGTGATGAAACAAGAGGTGAAAATTTGGGGTGGACACGGGACAGAGCTGAAAATTTGGGGTGGAGAGGGGACAGAGTTGGGGGTGCTCAAAATCGGGGGATGAGACAAGAGGTGAAAACTTGGGGTGTAGAGGGGACAGAATTGGGGGTGCTCAAAATACAGGAGGTGAAAAGTTGGGGTGGAGGGAGACAGAGTTGAAAATTTGGGGTGTAGAGGGGACAGAGTTGGGGGTGCCAAAATTGGGGTGGTGAAACAAGAGGTGAAAATTTGGGGTGGAGAGGGGACAGAATTGGGGGGCGGGTCAAAGAGGTGAAAATTTGGGGTGGAGAAGGGGACAGAATTGGGGGTGCTCGAAACGGGGTGATGAGGTAAAAATTTGGGGTGGAGAGGGGACAGAGTTGGGGGTGCTCAAAATACAGGAGGTGAAAACTTGGGGTGTAGAGGGGACAGAGTTGGGGGTGCCAAAAATGGAGGGATGAAACAAGAGGTGAAAACTTGGGGTGTAGAGGGGACAAGAGCTGGGGGCGACCAAAATGGGGAGATGAAAAAAGGAGGTGAAAATTTGGGGTGGACACGGGACAGAGCTGAAAATTTGGGGTGGAGAGGGCACAGAGTTGGGGTGCCCAAAATCGGGGGATGAGACAAGAGGTGAAAATTTGGGGTAGAGGGGGGACAGAGTTGGGGGTGCTCAAAATACAAGAGGTGAAAAGTTGCGATGCCCCAAAGAGGGGTGACAGGAAAGGATGCCCCAAAGTGGGGTGACACAGAGGGATATCCCAAAGAGGGGTGACAGGAAAGGATGTCCCAAAGTGGGGTGACACAGAGGGGTGTCCCAAAGTGAGGTGACAGGAAGGGGTGTCCCAAAGAGGGGTGACACAGAGGGATGCCCCAAAGAGGGGTGACAGGAAGGGGTGTCCCAAAGAGGGGTGACACAGAGGGGTGTCCCAAAGAGGGGTGACAGGAAGGGATGTCCCCAAAGTGGGGTGACACAGAGGGGTGTCCCAAAGAGGGGTGACACAGAGGGATGCCCCAAAGAGGGGTGACACAGAGGGGTGTCCCAAAGAGGGGTGACAGGAAGGGATGCCCCAAAGTGGGGTGACAGAAAGCGATGTCCTAAAAAGGGGTGACAGGAAGGGATGTCCCAAAGTGGGGTGACACAGAAGGGTGTCCCAAAGTGGGGTGACAGGAAGGAAAGGCTCTGACACGGGTGATTGAGGAGGACGTTCCCAAGCGGGGGGATCCCCAGGGATACCCCAAAGAAGGGGGTGCTCCGCCGCCCCCCGACACGTCCTGCTGCAGCCCGGCCCGGCTCACCTGCGGAAGTGCAGCAGCCTGCAGGTGCTCTCGGGGGGCTCCTCCTCCTCCTCCTCGGCCCGGGGGTCCCCCCTGGTGCGGGGGGCGCAGGCACAGCAGCGGGGGATGGTGGGGGGCAGCGCCGTGCAGGGCAGGCTCTGCAGGCACCGCCGCTCCCCCGCACGGCCCGGCGCGTCTGGGGACACGGGAGGCGCTTGGGGACACCGCGGGGCCCCGGCCAGAGCGGCTGGGAGGGACTGGGAGGTACTGGGACAGACTGGGGGGGACTGGGAGGGACTGGGAGGGACTGGGATGGACTGGGATGGACTGGGATGGACTGAGATTGGGATTTGGATGGACTGGGACTGGGACTGGGACTGGGACTGGGACTGGGACTGGGATGGACTGGGACCGGGACTGGGACTGGGACTGGGACTGGGACTGGGACTGGGACTGGGACTGGGACTGGGACTGGGGCTGGGATAGACTGGGATGGACTGGGACCGGGACTGGGACTGGGGGTGTCTCCGCGCTCTCGGTGGCTCTGGGGACACGGGAAGCGCTTGGGGACACCGCGGAGCCCCGTCCGCAGCGACTGGGAGGGACTGGGAGGGACTGGGACTGGGACTGGGAGGGACTGGGACTGGGACTGGGAGGGACTGGGACTGGGACTGGGAGGGACTGGGAGGGACTGGGAGGGACTGGGACTGGGATGGGATGGACTGGGATGGACTGGGAGGGACTGGAAGCGCTCAAGGCCATCTTGGATGGGGCTTGGAGCAACCCGGGATGATGGAAGGTGCCCCTGGGCACGGCATGGGGTTGGCACTGGATGGGTTTTAGGGTTTCTTCCACGCCAAAGCATCCCGGGATTCCGGGATTCTGGGATTCTGGGATTCCGGGATTCGGGGATTCCGGGATTCTGGGATTCGGGGATTCTGTGATTCCGGGGTTCTGGGATTCGGGGATTCTGGGATTCTGGGATTGTGGGATTGTGGGATTCTGGGATTCTGGGATTGTGGGATTCTGGGATTCTGGGATTCGGGGATTCCGGGATTCTGAGATTCCGGGATTCTGGGATTTGGGGATTCTGGGGTTCTGGGATTGTGGGATTCGGGGATTCCGGGATTCGGGGGTTCTGGGATTCCGGGATTCTGGGATTCGGGGATTCAGGGATTCTGGGATTCTGGGATTCGGGGATTCTTGGATTGTGGGATTCTGGGATTCCGGGATTCTGGGATTCTGGGATCCTGTGACTGGCACGCTGCGGCGGGGGCTGGAAACTGGGCCAGAAAGTGGGGCTGGAAAGTAGGGCTGGGATGCCAACACCTCCCCGAGGAGCCGCTGCCTCGGCAATGCCACCCGAGGGTGTCACGCTGCCCCAAGGGGACATTTCGATCCGTGCCCACCCTGAGCCGGTAACGCCGGGAAAAAGCCCACGCGTGTTCCCAGCTGGCGTCGTGGGCGCCGGGAAGCGGGGTGCAAAATTCCCTCGGGATCGGCTGCTGCCCCCGCGCATCCTCACCTTCATCTCCCAGCTCCATCCTCCTCTCCTCGGGGTGCCCCGCGCCCTCCGTGCCATCCCCCGGGCACGCCGCGGCCTCGGTGCCCCTCTTGGCCGGCCCGGCGCCCTCTCCGGCAGAGCGGAGCCCATCGGGGGTGCCGTGGGGGCGTTTGGCCGAGCGTTTGCCCTCCCCGGGGGTCTCGGGACCCCCGTCCCGCCGGGAAGCTTTGGAGCGAGGCAGCGACTGCTCCGAGTGCCGCGTCAGCCACGTCTTCTTCAGCTTGGTGTGGTTGCTGGGGGGGCACGGAAAACGCCCCCCGGCCGTGCCCAGGGTGGGCTCGAAGGGGTTGGGCACCCCCGGGCACCCATCGCAGCTCGGGGTGCGGCACAGACAGCCCGGGGGGGGCTCCGGTTTGGCCAGAGCCGCTGGGTAGTGCCCATCCACCGGCAGAGCCGAGGGGTTGGGCTCCCCGCACACCGGGGGCGAGCCGGGCCGGGCGTTTCGGTAGCCCGGGCGCTCATCTTTGGGTTCCGAGGGCCGGCCCGGCCCGGTGTCCGCGGTAAAATCAGCACCGTGGGGCCGTGAGCCCACCCAGAGCCCCCCGCAGCCCCCCGAGGCGGGCTGCGGGAGGAACAGGGGGTGGCTGGAGCCGGGGGGAGGCGTGCGGGGATGGGGAGGGGGCACCGCCGAGCTGCCCCCCGCCCGGCCATCCCCCCGCGGGGTTCCGGGCAGCTCCGGCTCCCCCTCCCCGCCTCTGTCCTGCCCCGCTCGGCTCTTGCCCAGCAGCTGCGGCGCCGCGCGGTTCTTGGTCGAGGGGTGGAATCCGGCTCCTTTCTTGGCGTAAAACTCCTGGAAGGGAGCAGAGGCGCGGTGTCACCCCAAATGGGGGTCCCCGTCCCGCTTCTGTCACCCACAACATCCCTGCGAGGCGGCGGTGGGGAGCATTCCGTGCCCCTGCCTCAGTTTCCCCACAGCCCTGCCAGGCTGGGCAGCCTCCCGCTGCTTGCCGGTGGCCGGGGCTGGGTTTTGGGGTGCCCGTGACCCCTCGCAGCCAGCGTGGGAAAGGAATGGGGAGCCGCAGCGGCTCCAGCGGGGCGCGCCCAGGGCTGGCAGCGCTGCCTCCCGCCGCCCCCGTGCCGCGGCTCCCGGCGCCGTGACTCAGCCCGGGGGCGGCATCACCCGCGGGGACACCGCGGAACTCGGGGGGTTGGGACCCCCCCATGCCGAGCCGTGGCTGTCTGCACCCCTCGGGGCGTTCGGGAGGGCTGGAGCCGCTGCCGGGAGCCCCGGGGAGCGCTCCGCGGAGCCTCGCCGAGGTGTCCTACCTTGTTCCCCGAGCCGGGGCACTCCAAGGGGCCCGGAGCCGCCTCGCCCCTCGGCGGGACCCCCATGTAGAGGGGCTGACCCCAGGCGGCCGCGTAGGGGCCCAAACGCCAGTCCGGGCCGGCCCCCACCGCCCCCGGTCCCTCCGCGCCCGCCCCGCCGAACGGGGGCTCGGCCGGGGGTGCGGTGGGCAGCAGCGAGGACAGCAGGAAGGGGCTGTGCTCGGTCTCCACGAGGAAGGGGCAGTGGCGGAAAGCCGGGGGGTCTCCGGCCGCCTCCCCCGTCGCACCGCGGGGCTTGCCGGTGATGCCGGGGCGCGGCGCGTCCAGCCCCGGTACCGGCAGCGGGTAGCGGTGGTACGCGTGGCTGTAAAGCGCCAGCGGGGCCAGCACGGCCTCGGCCCAGCGCGGCCCCGGGGGCTCCTTGCAGGGCTCCCCCCAACCCGCCTTGGGCTGCCCGTTCCGGGGGGGCAGCAGCGGGGGGAGCTCGGCTCCGGCCTTGGGGCGGCACAGGGCGGCCGGGTAGGGGCAGCCCAGGCCGGCGAGCTCCCGGACGGGTCCCGAACATCCATGGGAGCCCCTCCAGGGCCATCCTTTCTCCGTGCCGTAGCTCAGTTTGCCGGGCTCCGGGTAGGCCGGGAGTCCCAGCTGGGCAGCGGCGCTTGGGGGTAAAAGCATCCCGCTGCTCTCCATCCCCCGCGGGTCCTGCGCTGCCTCCGGGGCTCTTCTCCACCGCGCCGGGGTCTCCCCCATCCTGGCGTCGCTGGCCATGCTGCTCCGACACTCATGTGGTGCTCAGCGCCGGGCCGGGCAGGCGGGATCCTGCGGGAAGGGAGAGGGACATCAGTGCGGAACAGCACCCACCCTGCCCGGGCAGCGCTGCAGGGAAACTGAGGCACGGGGACCTTGAGGGTATCGCTGCCTTTAACCCCCCCACACCCACCCCAATTCCATCCTGCCGTGTTTGGCGGGGGGATCCCCGGCTCCCGAGCCCCGCGGCATCCGTCGGGATGCCCGATCCGGGTGTCCCCGTCCCGTCCCGTCCCTCCTGCGCCCATCCCGGCGGGGCCGGAGCCGGAGCCGGGACGCACCTCGCGCCCAGCGGTCCCTCCGCACCCAGCCTGGCCCCGCGCCCGGCCGCTGGCACCCGGCCTGGGGAGGCCGTGCCCCGCGCAGGTATTCGCCCCCGGCCAGGGCGCTTCCCAGCAGGGGGGAAGCTCCCCGCTCGCAGGGGCCCCTCCTGGGAGAAACGCCGGGGGGGATTTGCAGGATTAACCCTCCCCCGGGACCCCCGGCCACACGCGGATGCGGGTGCGGAGCCAGACCTCGCAAGAACCGGCGGTCCCGGTCCCGGTCCCAGTCCCAGTCCCGGTCCCAGTCCATCCAAGTCCCAATCCCAGTCTGTCCCAGTCCCAATCCCAGTCCCAGTCCCAGTCCATCCAAGTCCCAATCCCAGTCCCAGTCCCAGTCCCTCCCAGTCCCAGTCCCAGTCCCAGTCCATCCAAGTCCCAATCCCAGTCTGTCCCAGTCCCATTCCCAGTCCCTCCCAGCCCGCCGTGCCCAGGGGGACAGAGCCGAGCTCGGGCAGCTCAGGGTGCGACGGAGCCATCCCCAGGGCCGGGATGGGGACAGGAGCAGGGTGGGGACAAGGCGTGTGTCCCCCAGCCCGTCGTGCCCAGGGGGACAGAGCCGAGCTCGGGCAGCTCGGGGTGCGACGGAGCCACCCCCAGGGCCGGGATGGGGACAGGAGCGGGGTGGGGACAAGGCGTGTGTCCCCGGAGCCGCCCGTTCCCGTCACATCCTCCTCCCGGAGAGGGCCAAGTCTCCGTTCCCACGGTGCTCGGGCAGCATCCCGGGGCACCCTGTGCGTGCCGGGGCACCCTGGGGCGCACAGGGACACCCTGGGGCGCACAGGGACACCCTGGGGACAGTCACCCCACCCCCCCAGCGCCAGGCTCTCCCACCCAGCCCCATCTCAGGATGCTCTCCCAGCACAGCTCCGAGGCCACCCCACCGCCTGCGGTCCTCGCGGTCACCCCGAGGGTGACACTGCCCCAGGGGGGACACTGTCCCCTCTCCTCCATCCCAGCCGGAGCACAGCTCGGCGAGCGTCCCCACTGCCCCGCAGCTACCTGGAGGGTCCATCAGGGACCCCGGGGCCGAGGACGAGCGGGGTCTCCGCCGGTGCCACCGGGTCCCGGAGAGGCGAAACCGGGCGGGCTCCGGGAGCACCTAAACCCACAGGCTGAAGGGGTCCGGCTCCGGGATCTGGAGGAGGCAGAAAGCCGCCCTGGCGGCCCTGGGGATGTTCTTCTCGTGCTGGAGCTGGACTTTTTGATCCATTGGCTTGGGAAGCTCCGTGCTCCTCCTGCCTTTCGTCCTGCGAGCTGCGGCTCCCGGCGGGCTGGGATTTGGGGACAAGGGGACCCAGGGAGCGGCGGCAGCACCAGCAGGACCTTCCCCGGCTCTAGGCAGCCCTGAGCATCGTGCGGCGATGAGGACGGGACAAGGAGGGTGGCGGTGACTCGGCTCCCCACCAGCGTGCAGCCTCCGCCGGCTCCGGCAGCGACTGGGCGGGCGGGAGGGATGCCGGGGCTGCTGACGCCCGGGAACCGCCCGGGAACCGGGAATCGGCGGTGCCGCCCAGCCCCGGGGGCACCGGCGGCGGTGCCAAGGCGGGCAGGTGTGCTCTGCCCCGTGCGGGTGAAGAAAGCGCCCTTTGTTCGCCGAGGCCGCCCCGTCACCCATGAAAGGCTCCAGCCGCCCGCTCCGGGCGAAACTGGAACGGGAGAAACACCGGGATGGGCCAAAAGTGCCCGTCCTGGGGCTGGGGAGATGCTGGGGGCATGTCCAGCACGGAGCACGGGGACATCCTACGGGTTGGGAGTCGCCAGGACCCCAAATCCCTTTGGCTTTGGCCAGAGGTTACGGATCTGGACTGAAATCGTGCTCCAGAGGTCACAGATTTGGCCTCAAGTTGGATTCCAGAGCCATGGAAGGGTCACAGATTTGGCCTCAGGTTGTCCTCCAGAGCCATGGAAGGGTCACAGATTTGGCCTCAGGTTGTCCTTCAGAGCCGTGTCCAAAGGTTACAGATCTGGCCTCAAATTGTCCTTCAGAGCCGTGTCCAAGGGTCCCAGATCTGGCCTGAAGGTGGATTCCAGAGCCGTGTCCAGAGGTTGCAGATCTGGCCTCAAGTCATGCTCCAGAGGTTGCAGATTTGGCCTCAAGTTGGATTCCAGAGCCACGGAAGGGTCACAGATTTGGCCTCAGGTTGTCCTCCAGAGCCATGGAAGGGTCACAGATTTGGCCTCAGGTCGTGCTCCAGAGCCGTGTCCAAGGGTCACAGATCTGCCCTCAAATTGTCCTTCAGAGCCATGGAAGGGTCACAGATGTGGCCTCAGGTCGGATTCCAGAGCCGTGTCCAGAGGTTACGGATCTGGACTGAAATTGTGCTCCAAAGGTTACGGATTTGGCCTCAAATTGTCCTCCAGAGTCGTGTCCAAGGGTCACAGACCTGGCACAAGTTGTGCCCCAAGGGTCACAGACCTGGCTCAAGTTGTGCCCCAAAGGTCCCAGACCTGGCTCAAGTTGTGCCCCAAAGGTCCCAGACCTGGCACAAGCTGTGCCCAGGGTCATGCCCATGCTCCTGCAGCTCCCGGACCCCGCAGCAGCCGGCTGGGAAGAGCAGGGCGTGCTCCAAGGGGTGCTGTGCCAACATCCTGGCAGTGCCACCCTGAGCAGGGATGAGGAGGGAGAGCCTGGGGCCGCTCATGCCTGTCCTGCAGCCCACCAGGGTCACACCCGTGCCAGCTGTGCCTACCAGGGTCACACAGATCCCAGTCGTGCCCACCAGGATCACACAGATCCCAGGATCACACCCGTGCCAACTGTGCCCACCAGGATCACACCCGTGCCAGCTGTGCCCACCAGGGTCACACCCGTGCCAACTGTGCCCACCAGGATCCCACAGATCCCAGCCGTGCCCATCAGGATCACACCTGTGCCAGCTGTGCCCGCCTGGATCACACCGATCCCGGGATCACACCGATCCCAGCCGTGCCCATCAGGGTCACACCTGTGCCAGCTGTGCCCACCTGGATCACACCGATCCCAGGGTCACACCCGTGCCAGCTGTGCCCACCAGGATCACACAGATCCCAGGATCACACCCATGCCAGCCGTGCCCACCAGGGTCACACCCGTGCCAGCTGTGCCCACCAGGATCACCCAGATCCCGGCCGTGCCCATCAGGGTCACACAGATCCCGGGATCACACCCATGCCAGCCGTGCTCATCATGGCTTGGCACGGCCTGGCACGGCTCAGCACAGCCTGGCACGGCACAGCCTGGCACGGCACAGCCTGGCACAGCAGCACCCACCGCCAGCGCCACTCGCCCAGGAGGGTTTTTGGGGGGTTTAGGGCGCTGCTGGCCGCACCCATGGGTGCCAGGGAACAGGGAGGGGACCCGGGCAGGGCTCGGGGCGAGGAGGAGGCGCTGACAGAC